GAGTGGCAGCTATTAAAAACCTGAAGGACATTATGTAGGTAACATTGGTTATCACAGATGATGAAAGTCTCATCAACATACCTTTTGTACTAAGAGAGGTTGTCGATTGTCGGTTTCAACGGACCATTTTCCAAACTTTTTTATCCCTTTATGTTCCACGTGGAACATAGGGCTTCACGCTAGAGGCTTGAAGTTCCAGTAGCAATGGTGTTTATTTTTACGGGATGAGGTTGCTAGCCTCATGCTCAGGCTTATCTCTTTACCAGTATTATTACTGACTTAGCAAGGTAAGAAAGTGCGTCGGCCGGAGATAGCACTCCTGACCACATATGTGGTAGGCGAGCACCCTATCGCTGTACCGCTGACGCGGCTTTGTCTTTTTAACTGAAATTTAGTTTAGCAAACATATAGAATGTAATTGATGAACGTTAAGTAGGTAGTTATTACATTTATTGGACTTTACGGTACTCTCCTGAGATTTAGAAAAGGGACTAGTCTTCTGCTATTAGTAAATGAATCACTTGTTTACCAACACAGAATGAATATTTTGATAATGACGACTAATAGTTAGAAAGTCAATGCACTTCAAACATTCAATATCTTTTGAATAATAAGTGATAATTGTAATTGGATGGAGGATTTCATCATAAACTGACATCACTTGGAAAACCATTGGAAAACCTGGGAGTACTGAACAGCTATTTCGTCAACCTAATTTAAGACTCTTCAGCAGTACGCACCCACCGGGGCTCGAACCCAGGACCTTATGGTTACAAGGCGAGCTCGTAAACCGTTGAGCCTCTGGGACGCCATCCAATGGCCCATGAATTTTATTAGATATCAGGTCATGATGAAATCCTTCATCCAATTAGACAAAATCCCTACAAAGCCAATACTTGATAATAGTAATTCACCAACGAAATCCATATCGTGGTAAAGTTGAGATCGATGGATATTGGTTGCAAGCCTTAATGCTAATACTGATAATAATAACAATATGAATGCTAGTATCTTCAGTTAAGGAATTCCATGTTCAAAACGAACAGTTTTGACTAGTTCCCTTTTAAATGACTTCTTAATATTTGATAGTGTGGAAAATTCCCATATCATGAAATAAAAGTCAATCTGAACGAAGAATTTTCTTTTCAATAATTTCTCTTCAGGTTCTTACAATTATAAAATATAATATTTGTTGTCGTTACAATAAGGGCCAGTTATGCGGCAGATACATTTTTAACGTAGAGAAGAGAGGATGGTTCCGTTAAAAGAAACCATATTTAGAAAGCTAGAGACCAAAGCTCAGTATACACACTTCCTTAGCTTTGTACCGATGAAATACAAACGTAATCTGATCAGATGCTTAGCATTTAGAGCGAGGTCTATTTGCTCCGAAGACTGTGTAGAGAAAGAACTCCAGGTCATCCGAGACATTCTAAGCGAGAACGGATATCCAGAGAAGTTCATTAAAGCCAACATAGGTTACAATAGTCGTAAACATGAACTGGCAACGGTGGAGAAAAAGCGTCTGTTTTGACGTCTCCAATTCAAGGGAGATACTCCTGCGGAGATTCTATCGCAACGTTTAACCAGGGCGATCAAGAAAACTTTCTACTCCGCACGTCTGTGTCTATCCTTCAGTAGCCGTCCAATGTTCACCCAGCAACTCAAAGATGTCTTACCTAAGCTTAGCTCTTCTTCATGCATATTCCATTTCAACTGTTCCTGTGGTTCAAGTTATATAGGGCGCACGATTAGGCAGGTTCGTCTACGGGTTCGAGAACATTTACCAGCTTGGTTCAGCAGGGGGGAAATTAAGTACATAAAAAGCTCGATCCTGTCACACTTGGTCGATACTGGACATCATATCGATGTCAACACAGCTTTCAGGGTTATATACCGAATTCCGAAGTCGTTATCACGTACAGTTTGCTTACGTCTTCTACACATAGCTGAAGCTGTTGCAATAAGATTGACTAAACCGGAACTTTGTATCCAAAAAGAACACGTTCAGACGCTGTTCCTACCGTGGCCAAACTTGGATTGATGATTCTTCTTCTCACCAAGAGTGCTCCTTCCCCTTAACCCTCTTGCCTTTTTTTCCCTTTGCTTATTATTACAAATATTATTATTACAATTATTATTATTAATATTATCATTATTCGTCATAATTTATGCCCTTCATGCAAACATTCTCTCAATACTATCGAATTTTTCGTTTATACTATCCGGACTTATTATTAGTGATATTATCTCTTTTCTCAATATATGCCTCCACCTGTTTCATTTCACATATTCGTTATCTCATTATGAACCTCCCATTGCAGTCTTACTATCTCCTGTTTAACACAGACCACTTTGTACTAGCACCACTCACCTGACACCTTTTATAACCTTGAACTGACTTGTCAATTTTCCTACCCCACACTCTACAAATCTATTATGATTAATCACCATTGTCTCCCGTTTTACAATATTTTGTAATCGATTTCAGCCTAGCACGTTTGTCACACAAATACGACTATTTATTTTGACACCCCATAACTAACCTGTTATTCTACGTTAAAAATGTATCTGCCGCATAACTGGCCCTTATTGTAACGACAACAAATATTATATTTTATAATTGTAAGAACCTGAAGAGAAATTATTGAAAGGAATATTCTTCGTTCAGATTGACTTCTTAATATATTTATCTTGAGTCGTCATTATATTATTTTAAGTTTCCATTTACAGTTTGCATGTGAGTGCATAGATGATCAAAGGCGAAAGGAGGTACTTTCAATATTTATTTGTGAAATTGAGTTGGACGACAATAAAAATATTTAAACTATTCTAAAGAGGGAAAGTTTACTACTGCTTACCACATGTAGCCAGTTATATTTGTGGTAAGAATTCCAGTTACATTTGCGTGTCACTTAATTAGTTCTCTATATAAATCTTCAACACACATTGGACAAAAGTATCGATGTCCTGAGGTACAAATTACTATCACAGGTTTACGTTGGTCTAGTTGAATCACTACGATATCTAAGTTTTCTTGAAGCAATCTGGTGGGTAGTCATTAGCAGTGGAATCCAGGATGCACGTTTTGTCCAATTTGGAACTCGTCACTGGGCCTATCTGCATTCCATAGTCAATGATGTTGTTCCCACTGTCACATGAACACACTAGCTATTGTTTCAAACACCAAAACATCATCTACCAGACTACCTGGGCTACGAGGACCACCACTTGTGCAACAAGCGTCAGTTACTTTATGTTTTTGATTTAATTTTTTACTGTCGATTGACTGGACTGAAATGTTCGGCTTTACACACCAAGGTGGTAGTCACCTTTCGTTCCGACGTGGCATACAAATAAAACTATTTGTGACAAGTATTTATCTGTAGAGGCATTTCGCAGTTTGAACGAATGACTGTGTTTTCCAGAATAAATTAGTATTATCCCATCAGATTAAATGCATCAAAAACATTTTCCCTGAGTATTACGCTATTTAAGGCGTACCTTCTTCAAGAGAAATAATAATTCTAAATATTTTGTGTTTCAGGAAGATATTTATGTGGATGAATCTTATTAATGCTTGATACAATGAAAAGTGTGTATGAGAAACCAGAATACCTTAAGAAGATAATTCTGTAACGGTATTTTGACTGAGATGTCCCCTGAATTTCAGCTTTCATAAAATATGTTCTATACTCTGATACCTTACGTTTATACTTAATTTCAGAATTATTATCTTGTAACATCTTGTAGTGGTGTGATACAGACAAAGTGTGCCAACAGAATGTTATTCTCACATGTTCCCGCAGTTCAGTTCGGCATTAACAGCATAGTACTATGTATATTTGAACATTCTACGTCTTGTCGTTTAACCTAAACCAAAATCGCACGCTCAGTGATTGGTTAACGCACGCAAACTATATATATATAGTTTATATTGATTAATGAAAAATATACTTTGGCTTCCGCGTCTTGCCTACCCTTGTTACTATCTTTATCGGACCTAAAACTTCGTTCAACTTACAATGAATTAAATCCTTCGAATAACGCAGTATGCTATTGTCAAAAGTGGAAAGTATCATCGACTTGTATAAATGCATTTGATTGTATAATTTTAAATAGTCTTGGTTTTGTTATTCTGAGATCTGATCGATATGAATTGACCGTTCCGAAATCAATAATACAGTGTTGATAATAGTCAATCACTTCATGTTTGGATTAACACAACATAACTGCGATGCATTGTAAGTTAAAAATTAGTCTGTCTACAAAAATCCCTTGAACCAAATTCACAATTTGGAAACTAATTTTCAATTTATACGATTCGAGGAAAAATTTCACTACAATTTCCTGTAGAAATTCCAAACATGTGATCTACTGTTTAACAGAAATGGAGATTAAGAAAGTAATCATCAACCCACGATTCCACAGACTACTGACTGAATGATATGTTTAGTTGGATACCACTTACATCAACCAGTAGTGTCTGCTAGCCAGAACGGAGTGATTTAACCACCAGAAGGACGTTCTGCAATTTTGAGTCCAAGTTCATCAAAGGTGTACTCCGTTTGACTCACTTCATACAACCAGATTAATTCAAACCACCTTAATTCGCAAACTATGAATTCAGTTGAATATATGACAAGTTAACCCAAGTAGCTAGCCAGAATTTGGATCATTTCAAATGATTCGGATCTCTGAGTAGAGTTAAACGGGGAAAACTACTAATGAGGTTGGCCCTACAAAATGCATTGCTTGAAATAAAACCTTACATGGAAGCTGAATACCGACTAACAAATAATTAGGTATCAATAAAAAATATTTTGATTCAGGCTGGTTTTCTCATGATGTTCTCAGGTGGAGGCTTTTACAACTGACTCACAGGCAATCGACTGGTTAATGGTAAGCTTTACCCAACCCTTGTATTGATTACCAATGTCACAGTAATAGTCAACTATTGTATTCCGATCCCTTCAATAAATAAATAAACATTAAACTCACTGGTTTCAAGGTGGAAAAAATTAACCCATATTAGTAAACATCATTTAAAGGTATAATGAAAATGACACTGACTGATTGTTTAAACACATTCAAGGTATTATTATACACATGTGAACAGAGAGTGAACTCAAGTAGATGTTTAATCATAGGATTAGTAAATAAACTAAATATCAATTTCTAAATTCACCAAATAACTCTCCACAATATATTGAAAAAGTGAAGTAAATGAACATAAAGATAAAGCAGAAAAACAAACAAACAAATAAGTTGAATAATATTAGTTGAATGTTTGAATAACTTATACACAAGCAGACACAGTACACAATGTTGCTTCAAGATCAGATTTTGAATATAGAATTTTGTCTACAACATACAATAGACCATTTGTAAATTGATAAGGTCCACTTAAAGATGTTATTCGACTGTCTTGTCCTTGATAGGTGAATAAACCCTCTGTAAAGAAGAAAGCAATACATTAAGACTTTAATTAAACAAAGATTTCATTAAATAATTATTGAAGAAGCTGCTATAGCTTCAGAGTAGTTATTACAGAAAACTATGTGCTTAAATGATATACACATTATCCCAATTGCATTTACCTATGCTTGAGTAGTGTATAAAGTTTTCAGACAAGACTGTCTTGCTCAGCCATTACAGATAAAACTATGATAACTACTTGCAATCCTAGTTTGATTTCAATGCATTCAATTATATGAAGTATTAATTTCAATCGTCATACTTTATTCTTCACATCGGAATATAGCCTTAACAGAAACTGGGCTTTGAACTTTCAATAGCGGTGATCTTTTTACTGACTGGAGTTACTAGCCTCATGACCCGGCCTTCCTCTTCACCCGGTTTAATATTGCGCAAGAGTGTGTCAGCCGGGAACCAAACCGGGAATACATGCGTAGGTGGCGAGCACTCCACTGATGAACCACCAGTGAAAAGTCAGTAACTGTCAATTAAAACAAATGGATGACATATCCCTTTGTTACTTATTAACTGCTTCTCATTAAAGCAGTTAGTTCCCTTAATAAATTTTTCAAGGCAAAATGAAGAGTTAATTTAACTGAAACGTAACTGTACTCTTGAAATACCTAATCCATTCAATAAATTTAAATAAGACAAAAAGATAAATACCACGAGATGGTGATGAATACAATGCTTTCTTTAATGTTTGGATGAAAATTTTATGGCATGCTTTCATATAGAGAGCTTCTTACGAAAGTAAAATTTCCCGCAACGCATTAGCAATCCTATGAAATGGAGAATTTGACATACACAGAATATATCTTAACTGGTTGCAATGCTTGTGAATCATTTCTGGAGCATTGTAGGCCGATTTTACGTCTCTGGTGGACATTACACCTTATTTTATCACGAAAGTAAAGACCTGTTGCCTTTTCAAGCGTCGGTCTACAGGGATGTGATTGGTTACAGGTTTGATTACGATTGATGTCAGTTAGAAAACCATTGGAAAACCAGGGAGTACTGAAAAGCTGTTTCTTTCTAGTTTAGAGGGTCCCAAATTAGGACGAAATACTACCTTTTGTTGCTTGTAATTTGTATTACGAGAGTTTTGGATGTTCTTTATCATACTTGTTTCAAATAAATCGTTTAATTACAATAAGTGATGTTCATGAAGCAGGGGAGAATATTTAAGTATTTATTTTTTTTACTTCTCAAGTAATTAATAGACGAACATTTACTGTTATTACTATTATTATTATTAATAAAACACAAATTTGGTACATTATAGGCACCAAGAGGTACACCATAAAAAATCTCATAGGCTGTGCATGGGCTGGAATATCGCCCCGACACCCATAACGAAACAGATAGTTGTCTTAAGAAGCCACCCCCTGTGCATTTAATTGGAAGTCTGATTCAGTAGGCAGTACAGCACTGCCAGGAGCTACGTTTCCATGGTTTCCAGTAACCTAAACAGGTTCATACAACAATCGATCCGTCCGAATCTTGGAGTTCATGTACACCATAGATTGGGGTTCAGGGTTTTCCAGCCTCCCCAAATGGACTAGCATGTTCAACAGCCTGACTGTAAGTACTAGACGTTGATATTCACCATTTTAATTTCTTGAGGAATAACCACGCTGCGTGAAGGTAGTGAATAGGACCCACCTGGCAGATGCTGTTAGCTCTCAACAAATAAAGTTGTTAAGACTACTTGTAATAAACTTAATTTCATAAATTTGATGTAACATTTCGCGAATAAAGAAAGTAACTATGAAAATTATTTTACTTATTTCTCAGACGAAGAATCTTATAGGACTACCCCTAATTCACAGCCTATTGTAGTGCAGTTATCAAGGAGGCGACATAATATTCCATTTTTAGGTGGTTGACATTCATTATGATAGGTGGTTTGAATCTGAGATTTATACTTGCTGAGAAAAAAAACAAAAATGCATTCGACAAAAAAGGGGAGCAGTGCCTGTTATAAGACCTAAGCTTTCAAATGCTTAATACACTAGAAATAATAAATAGGATGTTCAGCTCAGAATGGCGATGGATTTTTTTTAGTGTTCTCCATGTTCTGATATATAGCCGTGGATATTTCAGCATTATTAATCTGTCAACTTCATAACTAAACTCATTGATGAATCGATCTACTGATATATATATATATATCTATTGTTATTATAACATCGATTAAGTTTGATAATCGAAAAAACTTAATCAAATTCGCTTGTAATTTACCTTTATCAGGATTTGTACCTTTGACAGCCAAGCGTATTTCTTCACGAGTGAATGCATAGTTTGCTGTAGCCACAGAATAAACCTTTTGTGTATCCAAATCTTGAATTATTAAGTCAAGTGGGAATGTATTTCGTCGAAACACCTGAAATTTAATTAATTAGATTTCAGTTATTTAAAAGAAGTGAAAATTTTCATTGATTGTTCAATCGACGCATTTAAAAACAAGATAACCTTTTTCACCGTAAAAACGATCACAGCGTTAAACAACAGTGAAGAAATAAAAATTATATTTATACAATTCTTTACTTGAAGAATACTTCACAACTGTCTTAAATGAGACAAAGAACTTTTAGTGCTGGCGAACTACACGTTCTATTCTCAACACGACCGATGGTGATTCCTCGACTGAAAGATGAAGTACCTAGACTAGCCACTTCAAGTTGTATCTACCAATTCAACTGCGCTTGTGGATCGAGTTATATCGGCCGTTGCTCTAAGAACTTGATTTTTCGTGCTCGAGAACATCTCCCACTATGGGTAATTATACGTGTAGTGAAAACCATTAACAGTTCGATATTGGACTATCTGGTGCAAACCGGTCACAAAGCCAGCGTGGAAGAATCCTTCTTTATAAACTACCGGGTGCCTAATAAATTGCCAAAATCATCGAAGCACCGCATGCTCCAAACAGTGGAAGCTATTGCAATTCGCCTCAAACAACCAGTGCTCTGTGTTCAAAAGAAGCAAGTCCAGCCCCTAATACTGTCATGGCCTTCAGTAGAAACTATAAACTCATGAATTTGTAATATTATCTTTCCTAATTCTTCTGACATTCAGCTTATTTTGTGTTGATGCTGTTGAGCTGTAATCTATCGATATTATTGATTCGATGTTATTCAAACATTGATGTTTTTCATATCACTAATTCATTCATTCACCATAATGTATGTATATATAACTGTAGAGCCTGATGATGAAGGAGTTATCGAAAAGAATACTCTTTGTTTACTATCCTTTTTTTGTAAATAACAAAAAAATAATTTATTGACAAGAGATGCAGTTGAAATATCTACTCTGTGCCCTGATTCGATAAGATTTCAGGAGATTGCATTGGTAAAAGACTCTTGAATCTCAGGCTTTTCGGGATATGTTCGGAGAATAAAGTTGGTTTACATCAATGTACTTGCGTAATTGTGAACAAAGTTGAAGATGACTTATGATAGGTACGTATTCACTTCTAATAAGCAGCAAAATTTACACAATAAAAAACAGTGAGTTTGATCGTTAGATGATTTCTTCCGCAGTGACTTCTCACTTTCAGATTTTTATCATCAGTGGCCAACCCTTCCCGCAGTATATTTTCGGGAAAAAGTTTACCAGCTTGCTTAATCGGTGACCTGACCTATTCTTGTTTGTATTTCATTCGTCAGAAAATAGCAAGTTTAAATACGGTCAAGTCACCTCATAGATAAGGCTAAAGAGTGTAACTGAATGAATGCCCTTACTGGTATCATATTGTTGGACGGGTATTTCACTTCGTATTGTAGAAGTCTGAGGATCAAAAGTTTCCATTCCTCGACATCTGATATAATCAGAACACAAAATGGATATCTCGACTGCCTGCAACAGGTAATCGAATGAGGCTTCACTGTGTTTCACTGATTCAACTACTTTTAAGTGACTTTAAGTTAACGTGTAGGGAAATGGAAACCGCGACAAGTTCCACCTCACTCTGAAAAAAATCATTCAACACATATCATTAATTGAGTAATCTGTCATATCATTTTCATTATTATTATGAAGCACAAATTTAACTCACTCATTACATTTCAGATCACTCTTAAATACTTTCCTTTTCTTACTATGTGATATTCTCCCCGTATATTAGTGGAAGATATTACTTTATCGTAGATAATTTACCAAAATCTTTCTCGAACCTTTTCCCGAGCTTATTACCAGTAGCTGATTTATCTTTGTGTTAATCATTATGTTTATGTAAAACTATGATTTTCATGCTTAATCCTCATCAGATGAGAAAAAGATGTCCTTAGTTCATAAACCATACGCATATTTTGTCTATCTGTAGCTACATAGATGCCTCAAAGTAAAATTTGTACAGTCTCTTTTCATGAAGATGATTAAGGGAAAAAGCTCTTTTAAAAGAGAATTTGCCAGTAAGAAGATTTAGAAATATCAATGTATAAATTGTAAATTTTGTGAAAGGTCTGTATACTTGTATATCCGTCTTGTACACCAGTCATGAAGTTTATTTTCATTTAACAGGATTATGTCACAGATGTTCTGTAGACTAACACCCATTCACTATGCAGATATTGACTGCCTAGTTAAGGAAACAGCTTTCTTGGTTGATGCTAAAACTGAAGAACTAAATGAGCATACCTAAGTGTTTAAAATCATGGAGACTAATTTGTAGCTGGAATGGGCTTTCAAAAGTCACCTTTATTACATTACTGATTTTTAAAGAGATAATATATTGCGCCATATTAGTTTGTTTGAATCAGTCACCAATTACATGATCACTGTTTTATTCGTAGTTATAACAATGGGATTCATGAAGTTTAAACTAAGATAATTATGGTCTTCAACAGGAAAGTACACCAATTCTTTTATTTTCACAAGTTTCATGTAATTGTAGTAAGTGTTCTCTCTTGAATGTATTTACTCAGAAGTAAATGACAGCGGAATCTAAACATTTTTTTATGTCTTATTTATGGCCTGCCAACTCCAGGTAGATCCATCTAAAAGAGCAGAGTATACCCACTTCAATCCACAATTTATTGTTCCAATTATTAAATGGTCTTCTACTGGAGGTATTGAGTTACGAAATCTTTGATGTCTTAACCTCACTAACACTAGATTGGTTATTTTGATATTATGATGAAAACTTACGAGAAAATAGATCTGATAAGTTAACTTCACAAATAACTATCTTAGAAAACTGAAATATTCAACTAGTGAAGTAACAAAGTGATGATTTAGGCTAAAACATACATTCTAGAACTCAACCTTCCATGTCAAGGTAAATTTAAGTTTATGCAACTGAGAAGACACTTTTTTTATAATATTATCATCAACAGAAAAGTATAACTTACAAATTCTCTTCGAAGTTTAACACCCAGTAGTTTTTTCCCCACAGAACTGTCGTTATCCATATTAGTCATAGCCTGATTAGTTGGTACTAAGAATGTGTACGGTTCACCAACAGTCATTGACTGAATAAACCCAGTATTGTAATATAAACTAATAAGGAAACATTAAGGAAAGAAGAGAAATAAGCAAATAATTTGACAATTTTAATTTTTTTCAAGTGTTGTCCGAAATGAGTCAGTCGAATAGTTTACTGTAAATATGTAATATTTAACCACATAAATGAATCATAAAATGACCTTAGGTAAAGAAAATACACTAGGTAAATGAGGGAGCACTTGACAGCTATTTCGTCTCTGTATGTCCCAGTAGTAGGCAACCGCCGGGGTTAAAATCACCAATTAGTAGAAGTTAAAATTCATGGACCATTAAGTCTACGAGTTAACCTTGCAACCGGAAGGTCCTGGGTTCGAAACCCGATGTGTGCGTACTGATGATGAGTCCAAATCTAGGATGAAACAGCTGTCCAGTACTCCATGGTTTCTAATGTTCCTCTAACTGATATCAATCCGTGGTTGAACTCGAAACAAATCAAACTCACACAAAGTAACGCTTGAAAATATTAGATAAAATTTTCTAAGAATAAGATCTGATTTCAGGACAAAATATGAAGTTCTAGTTTAAAGTCATAACATTCTGAGTTAGATTGATAAATCGATTGATACTGTGACTTAGAGTCAACCTGATAACTCTGTCTTTTTCTTATGACTCAATATGGAAATATTTCGTTCATTCTGTCAAAATAAATTCAATAATTAAAGTAATATAACCTGAGGATTCAAATTATTTAATTTTAATAGGTTATGGAAAAATATTTGTAAGGTCCCCATTAAGGTTTCATTTACTAGGACAGGGAAACCAGGCTGGTTTTCAATACAAATGGGATTACCACTTGTTCACACACTGAATCGATGGTCCTAGAACTGATCGACTACTCAGACTACAAACAGCAGTTAAAAAGTATTCAAATTCTCCTGCTGCTGCTGTTAATGGTATCTTGGAATAAAACTTCAGGCGATTGATAGTTAATTATAAAAGGAAAAACGTTAATGATATAAGTATAAAACTTGGGCACTGTGGTAGAGTATAACTCCATTATGGATAAGATTTTATTTACTGTGTAACACTGTGTGACTTATCAAAATAAAATCTTGTCCATAATGGAAAAACATTAACTGAGTTCATGAATAAAAATAATATAATTCCCTTAGTTAGAAAATGCATTGTCATTAGGGGATTTAACAAACTACTCAGGTAACAGGCTCAATGAGATACTCACTGGGCTACGGCACACTGTTACTGAAAACATTTCAGTTTCAATCCAGCCAATTAGGATTACAGAAGTCGGGAACAAACCCGTGTTCTTACAAAACCATTACATAGACTGTTTACTAAGTCCTTATTGCAATTCTAATCACACTCAGTAACAAAGATGAAGACCGGAGATTAGCAGCCTGCTTGTTCGAAAATTGATGGATCATACCATGATTTAACTCAGGATTTCACTTCATTTTCTATCATACTGTCGTAATGATTTCATTTCAGATACCCGGGATTAATTAATGAATACTAGGTATCAAGTAACCAGTGTCATGCATCTAGTACTTTGTTCGTTGCAGAGTGAATTCTCTCAGTCAAGTTGTTATTCGAGGGTCCCCCAAATTTGCAGATACGCCTTGCTGACTGGTGATTGCCAGCAAGTATGTAACCTAGGTCCAAGGCTTTGTAACGATTACCATCAACAATCTAGTAACATATGTGAAATGTTACCTGACCAAAATCACCTTATTGTTTATAAAACCTCAAGGTGCATCAGTTAGTCCATAGTTTGACAATGACACTCAACTTACCTTAAATTAGGAATTCGTGCAACATACTGTTGGACAGTTTCATAAGGTAAACCCGGAATACCATCAATTAAGTGAACAATACCATTAGTTGCTATCTGATTAGCACCGATGATACGTGATGCAACATAACCTTGTTTAGGGAGTCGACCTTCGACGAAAGTGGCTGAAAAGAAGAAAATCTCTGGTATTAAACTTTACTCAGAGTATGTATAGGGTAAACTTTTCTGTTCCCCTAGTGAGCTTAACTTTGTTTTTATTTTTTTAAAAGCAGCCGTGGTGAATTTGGACAGAAAACAGTTTCCTTATCATAGATTTTAGACAGATGAGACTTTACCGTATTTCGATCGCATATCACTTGAGTAGCGTAGCTGTGCTGTATAGGAACTTATGTGGAAACTTCTTCAACTACTAGTCATAGTGCTAACTGCAGAATTTGGGACCTTCTTTTTCACAAGTACGGTTATTCATGGAAATAGTACATATCAAAAACGTGGAAATTTTTGTTACTAAGACCTGTTAAAATCAAATATGTGAGGAATTTCCATCCTATAGTAGAAGGTAAGCGTTTAACAAGATTAGTAATTTAAGATGGTTACTCAGTCATGTTTATTCGTCCAAGTCAGATAGTATATATCACTGAAAAGATTTAATGGTTAGTGATTTGAAAAGGCTGACTCGAACCCTGCCACAGCATGGATAAATTTCCCAAACAGAGCTACATGAGGTATCACTAGACACACGCTGAGAAGACCATTGAGTGACATCACTCACCAGGTAGAACCTCGAGTGGAACCCGAATGGAAGGCGGCAAGTTGAACAACTAAGGGTGACATGGAGGAGATTGTATGTATGAATACCGAATGAAAGCCTATGGATGATCGTGGAACCAACTAAGAAGGGATGCAAAGAACGTGATGAAGTGAAGATTTGCTGTTCAAGTCCTATGTTTCACTTAGAACCCAAAGGAATAATGATAAAATAATGTCTTAATTGATAAGGGAATAATTCCTACTTTATGCTGTTTTCGTTAGTAATAAAATATTTCTACAAATTTGGAAATTCAAGTTCGTAATAATGATAAGAAGCATACACATTTAATTTGGAAGTGACGCCGTAGTCATGCAATTCACAAAAGCTATCTAATCTCTTCTTTTCCTTTAGTCAACATAATCGACATCTTCAAAGTGCATTCCGCATAACTTAGCACAAACAATCAGTATTGATGAAACAGCTGAGTTTTTAAATCAATATTTGTAGAAATTAGTAGTGATTTAGTCATAACTCAGTATGTTTAATTCAATTTTAGATTTTCCTGTCGACTGATTGCACCGAAGTGCTCGTTCTCACGTCTACATGTCGGCTTCTTGTGCAGATGTTTTGACAATGTCTGGGCATGTAATTAGAAGTTAACTGGTGGATGGTGACTAGCAGTGGAATCGTCATTCACCGAGGAATGAAGGGACATTCGGAAGACGAGCCCCAAATAGGTCGAAATGCGCATCCTGGATTCCACTGCTAGTCACCATCTACCAAATAACTCAGTATTATTATTATTGTTTCCTTTAATTCCTAGAGGAACATAGGGCTTAAGCCACGCGTCTCCATTGCGTTCGGTTCTCTGCCAACGTTTTCACCTGGTTCCAAATCTGCCCACACGCTTTCATCTCCTCTTCACATGACCTCCAGCAAGTCACCCTTGCACTGACGACCAACTCGCCACTTCCCTTTCGGGTTCCACTCGAGTAATGGCTTGTCTATTGATGTCACTTGATGGTTTCCTCAGAGTATGGCCAATTCATCTCCATTTCTTCCTACCTATTTGTTTCACAATCGGTTCCTGCTTGGTTGGTTCACTCCCAGAGATCGTTGTTGCTGATCTTTTCTGGCTGGCCATCTGATCTTGAGTATTGAGCGAAGACAACTGTTGATGAAGGTGTGTAGTTTGTTTGAGATGCTTTTTATGACGCGCCAAGTCTCTGATCCATGAATAACTCAGTATGGTTTGCCTTATTTTCAAATTTTTAAACATCACAACACGACGTCTGTCCAAGTTAATAAGATTCACAATTCGATGAAACAGCTATGTGACTGCATTCGTAAATAGACATCTGCTTGTTTAATATCATATATTCTTGCGGTGAAATATTATCATCAGGTAGGAAACACATCATATATTAGGTAAGTCGGATAGACATATTGCGAAAACTTGTATCGTGACAAATCGCTTATGATGCAATTACAATTACAAGATCAAGGTATTTCACTAGTGATTTCCATAAGCTATGAAATCCATCTTTTAGATAAAGAGCCACACCTTACTTTAAACCATGATTTTCACTATGGAATTAATCATCTACAAAAATCTAATAAACTGATGGGAAGCTGGATAGCTGATTATTTACTCCCTTCTCATAGAGGGAAATAATATTTGATCCTACAAACAGATATTGATTATTCCGCTAACCTACATCACGGGACTTACTTACTTGAGAGTTACAAATCCTGAAATACTATAGTGACCAGAGAACTTTGCAACACAAATGCCATGGATTAACTTACCACAATGCATTGGCAGCCTATCAGGGAATTGGGCTACCCACTCTTCCGTCTACATGTTGCATCTAATTTATCATATTTCATTTTCATTTATCAGAATATAATGTCAAGTCGTATCAAATATTCTCAAGAGTTCATAAAATGTTTAAAACCAGGTGATTTTCAAGGTTCTAAGAAAGCTAAGAAAAGCATCATGGTGGTTAGCTGCTTGCTCTAAAACGGACACTTTTATACTGAACTACTACTGTTCCTGTTATCGTTAGTATAATCTGCCGTCCTCCTCCCAAGAAGATTACGCATCTGCAGTCTATCATGTCACCTGATACTTAACACAAGAAAGCTCTGATCACACTACAAGAAACATGGCTTCATGAGCTCTATGATGATAATCTGGTCTCACTAAATAGTTTGACACAACAGGAGTCTTTGGATGTAAATAATGTTCAGGCGTTGGATTTATGATTTAATCAGGATGTTTTATCTTTTTTAGACCAGATTTGTCTTCAGACTTGTACAGCTTGGCTTTTCCTCTTCGTAGCCTTTTGAGATGAGAAGAGAAATGGTCAGGCCTTTTGAATAACGTCTGTTTAGGGCAACGTACGTCGAGGCAGAATTTAAGATAATCTGCAAATATAATGACCTCATCTCCAAAATCAGATAGATCCGAGACAGCACAACCAAGCGTGACGTAAATGTTTGAGATAAAAAATGTATTTAAACTTTGATAAGTGTTTTGGACGACATTTGACTGTAATAAAATCGATAAAATCACCCGTCTAGCCTTTAGACATTGGAAGTTACTTGATGTATGGCGGTTCATTAGTAGCTTAGTTATTTAATTTAAAGTAAATGACCTACTTTGATCCATTGTTCGGAAGCGAATTGCACCTTCTAGAGTGTCTATAGAGAGGAGGCGACCAGACGTCAAGTCATTGAGATATAATTTCATAGGCAGAAAGAGGTATTTAAGGTAAACTGCCTAAATAGAAAGAAGTAAAACAGAAGACATTAAATCTGTTGGTTATTTGCCAAATTACAATGGAGTCATCCTTCAAATTTAATAAAGTTAGTGTGTAAAAAGTTCAGATTACTCCGTTTGAAGTATTGCTACAGTGGAAGTATCTTCGGGGGAATGAAACCAAAATCAAGCCCTGGACTGATTGTTAGCTTAACTTAATCACCAGACAGATTCAAATTCAAATAAAAAGGATAGAAGACTCTTGTTGCCTATGTTAATCCTTGCAATATATATCTCAGCAGAGATCTAATTTCTCTGTGAAACCGTTCACCGATAGAGCTGTTACTTCTGAATTAGGTAGGGAGTTCCAGTCTTTTGCCGTTCTGTGGAAGAATCTGAATTCCACACTTATTTTATCAGACTTCGGTTTGTGGTGATCTCGTAAATGTATTCTAGTGGCAGAGGGAAGATTAGACAAGTCAATCCCTAAATCACCCTTTAGTATACGATATATCGAAATTAAGTCACCTCTCCCCCTTCGGTATGATAATGGGAAGAGATTTAAATGCTTCGTCCTCTTGTCATAAGGAAGACGTGACAAATCACTAACTGATTTGGTTCCATTCTTCTGTACTCTTTCCAGGATATCTACCACCTTCTTGAAGCATGGACTCACCGCTTGTATGCAGTATTCTAGATGAGGCATGACATATGTTGCATAGAGTATTTGGAACATAGACCCGTCTAATTTTTTGAAGGCCCTTCAAAGTGACCATAGCATTCGAAAAGCGTTAGGTGTGGCTGCATTACAGTTTGCCGTTGTTTGTAAGTCATGGCTTACAATAATTCCGAAATCTTTTTGTCCCTTAATATCTGGCAGTTGTGTGTCCCCCAAGGAGTATGACGTTTAAGACCGCCGACCTAGGTGCATTACCGCGCTTTTCTTGGAATTAATTTCCAGCACATTCACCTAACTTATCTAGATTGGTTCGTAGTACCAACCTATCATCCTTATCATTTACGGTTTTCCATATCTTAATATTGTCGACAAATAATAAGGAAGCTGAGGTAAGAATTTTCGGCAGTTCATTTAAGTCTAATATGAATAGCAGGGGACCAAGTACTGCTTTCCAGCTTGGGAGTACACCACTAACCCTTACCTTTTTGCTTTCTATCCATCAGGTAGTCGCTAAACTACTCACATAAGCGTTGGTTTAATCCAAAACTTTTGAGTTTACTAAGAAGACCTAAATGTGATACCTTATCGAATGCTTTACTAAAATCGATAGAGACAACGTTCAATAAATGATTCTTATCCCTGGCTTCGACCCAATCTTCCATAGCTAAAAGTATGTTTGTCAAGCGGGATGGTCCTGGTCGGAATCCACACTGTTCCACCGCCAGTAAGTCATATTTCTCCATGTGAGCTAAAAGCTTATCCATTATGATTGCTTCTAATACCTCCGCTATAATGCAGGTCAGATTTATAGACTGGTAGTTAGATTACAACCGCCTGTTTCCCTCTCTGAAGATGGGCTTACAATTGCATCCTTCCAGTCCCTAAGTAGCCTGACCTGGATCAGCGACATTTGCAAAATCCCTGTAAGTGGAATGCATATTATATCCACCAAGGAGATTAGCAGTCTAGGTTGAAGTCTGTCGGATCCAGGCGTATTATCTGGTTTCAGCTTAGATAATAGTTTGAGAACGACTGCGTCCTCTACCCTTGGGCGGTACGACTAGACGAAAAGACATCACAAAATTATCCCGACAGCTTTTCACCTTTTATTTCGTCCGATTCGACCGCCTCTCCAGCGTTGCATATGAGGGACGGTATACCACTGCTAGTTTCAGTTCTACGTTTGATATACGAGTACAGTCTTTTCGGACAATATACAAAATCCAGTACTAACTGTCTCTCATACTCCATGTGACTTTTGTCAACCATTTACTTACAAAAGTTTAAAATTTTGCAGTAGTCCATCCGAAACTCTTCCCTACCTGTCACAGTAAACCGGCCCCATAAATTCTTTCCTTTTCCTAATAACCTCCTTATTTCATCACTAATCCAAGATGGCTTATGCGACAGCTTTCGAGGCGTAGACCAAGGTACTAAAGATGCAGTGATACAATCTAATGTATTCCTAAATCCCACCTAGGCTTCCTCAACAGTCTGATTTGTATCAACTGACCACTCAGCCAGGGTTACTGCTTTCCGGATTTCAGGTAAATTTGCTTCCCAAATGTTTGGCTGAACAGATGTTGACCTATGTATGAGAGCGTGAATTTTAAACGTAAAAGTGATAACTACATGGTCACTACTGCCTAGCCGTGGTAGGCGCCTAATGTCATCGACATTCTCCTTCTGGTGTGTTAGCACCAAGTCTAGGGTAGGCGGTTCATGTTCAGCCTGGTATCGTGTTGGTGCATGTATATGCTGCACAAGTGCACAATCAAGCACTGTTAGTGTAAGTTCCCTGTTGAAACAAGTATAAAAGCTAGTTGATGTTAATTCCTCCCAATTAATATGTGGGGCATTAAAGTCACCTACCATAAGACACCCGTTTCTACTACCACACGCCCTGAGGTGACTTAGTACGAAATTCTCAGCTTCTCTGGCTGGACTTCCATAAATAACCCTACTTGTCACAGTGCCCTTGTTCAAGTTAATGACACAGCTTATGACTTAACCAGTACTGTCGTTCCGCACTTCTGACAACGTTGACCTAATTCCTATGTCATCCCGGATGTAAAGGGCAACCCCACCACCTGTTCAACTAATTACTCTGTCTGCTCTAATGCAGATGTATCCAGATATTAGAGGATTTAAGTCTACACCCACTAAAAACCATGTTTCAGTGATAAAAATCGCATCAAGTTGCAGTCTTTCAGATAATACTGCTAATTTATGGAGCTTATTCCTGAAACTCCTCGCGTTCGTATAGCATACTAGAAGATCTACGTGTTCACTCGACTTATGAACAGAGGTTTTAGAGACATAGGTTTCCGAGACCTCACTACACCCAACAGTTTAAGGTATTTTTATAGGCGGGCCTTTAATTGAGCCACGGCTTCTCTTTGTTTACTTCTATCATCCAAAGGCCAATCAGGCCTTATTCTCAGCTTTTTGTCCTTGATCTTAAATACGTTGCTGAGAATGGTGCTTTTCTCCATATCGTCCCCCAGTACTACCTTTAGCAGCCGTGGGGAAGTTTATGTTACACTGGCATTTCGTTTACCGATTCTGATGACCTTTCTTATGTGGACTTCATTTGTTTTTTCCAGGAAATACTTCACGAATGATGGAGCTAACTACCTCGAGATCATCAACATGTCGGGCATCTAGATCTTCTAAGTTACAAATTATGCTACTGTAATTCGAGTTCGAAAGTTTCGAAATCGTACTAGTATTTACGGCTGTCGAGGCCTTATCACTGAGCCCAGTCTTTTCCTCTTTCATATATTTCTTCAGCTTCCTACTTTTCGGCACTAATCAAGTGGAATTAGTTTCTTTCACTATCCTGTCGCCATAGCTGGAAGCCATTCGTTCACCAGACACGCTACGCTTTGTCATGGTAGTATCACCTTGTGGTCTTACAGTTTTGACACTGCTTGCCCTCTTAGATTTTTGGGATATTCTGAGTTGCCGTTGCAAAATTTCCGGCAAACTACGCTTCTTCGGTGTCTAGCGCTTCTAGATGTGGTTCTGTCCCAGTCTTATGATTTAGTCCAGAATTGTCATTCCTGGCATCGATATCAGATGCTGGCTTTTTTACCACATCTGAGAATTTTGTCAATTTCTCGGACATAAGAAGTCCTACGGTCTCTTGGACGAGGATATCCAACGGGCCGCTGCAAAACTTGCACACATATGGAGACAATGGCTTACTACATCTCCTATAAGCTGACGGTGATAAGTAAGTGCAAACCTTATGAAAACAGGCTGCAGTTATCTCACTGCATCCCATCATCCACCGGAAAATGGAAGTTCAGTAATCCACACTAATTAGTGAAACTCATGTTGGTATAAGTTGTTTAAATTACACAGACACCTATATATATATATATATACATGAAAACCACCCTAAAAGTCACAAGAGTGAACGAAAAACAATACTTTAACTAATTAAACCATTTAGAGTAAACCAAAAAGCTTCTTATGCAATTTACACAACAAGAGCAGAAGTTACTTCACAACGTAAAAAATGCCACCATCCTTTTCAAAGTGAGCTCGTTAGCTCAATCACAAGAAACTTGTTTGTGATTACGTCTACAGAAGGATGAATTACACTACTACTGATCTACAGAACGAATAGAAAATTATACGAGTATTTGTTGTAAACTGTCCATAAATCATATTTCCCTAACAGTGATTATGGCTTTATTCACTTCAATAGCGAATTTATAGTTAAACTGCTGTTACTTTGTTTCACCTCTGAGATGCTAGCTAAAAGTAACCAACTTCTGGAAATGGGAAGAAATCGAAGGAGGAGAGAGTGAAGCAGAACTATTGTGCGTGATCCTGGTTGACTTGAGAGTGTAAAGCTTAAAATATCTTATTTACTTTTCCGATCAAATTTCGTGTTTCATATGAGTTACCAATGGAGGCTCCATTCTTCTTAGTTCTGATTTCACACACAAAACAGAGTATCATATGTGTAAAGCAGCATTTAAGTCTGCCATCGACTTTTTATGACTTCTTTAACTCATTTTTAACTTCAAGGGGTATAAATCAGTTCAGCTGTTAATTTGTTGCCTAATTAGTTCCTTATTTCAGTTAGCAGTAGGATCCTCGCCTACCACGCGCCATGTAGTCTGGGGTTCGATCCCCAGTAGGTGCACTCCTAAACCTAAATAAGCTGGTAATAAGCCTGGAAAAGAGGAAAGGGTGGATGTATGGCTAGCAACCTCACCTCTTATATAAACGACACCACTTCTACAGAAACTTTAGAGCTCCTGCTTGGAGATCCATGTTCCACTGAGAACTCAAGAGAATGAAATGAAAGGTAAATGATTGTAAATACACTTGTGCCGCTATAAACATAGGTCTTTTATACTTTACCATCAGTGTATTTGCATATTAGAGAATAAAATGGTAGTTTGGCAAGTGCTACGGATACGATTCATCATTAGTATATAAAGAGACTTTCATCAGCGCAAAATGTAAATGGTGGAGAGATAGATTTGACGTCATAGAGAAGAAATGAACCAGTATTGTGGCAAAACATGGGAGGCACTAATTGAAGATGAAGCAACAATACGAAGGGCAGAAGTAGAACAACACGGAAGACCTATACGACTGACAGTTTTAATAAACGACATGCTTAACTTCCCTATATATCAAAATCAAACTGCAAACACATATTCCGTTGCCAAGTCTCTCGTCTTCTCCAGCTACAGTAGTTTACATTTCGTGTCGTAAACTACAAATCTTAACTAAATAGTCAATTTATTTTATAAAATTATTTAGGCTACTTATTAGTAACATAACGTTTCTGGATTAAATTTTGCTGGACTATGTCATCCTGTTAATGGATAACATGAAATTTTCTACATTTACTTGAATTGTTTTTCCATAGAACCTAGCAGGCTGTTTTGAATGAAACACTAAACGTCACTGAAAGAGAAATAAATAGAGGAAACTCAATTTCAAAGGTTTAACCTTCGATTCACCTATTTGAGAATAAAAGGTTTTGTTGAAATATTGCTTCTTTACGTATTCCCAACAGCCATTAGAATCGTGAAAACTTCCAACCACGAAATCACATACAAGTGTATTGAAGACGCGAAGCATAACTGGTCAACCTGGCATGGTTTTTCTTTATAAAATTCACTTAATGACTTTTAGTCTGTTTTCCTAAAGCTAAAGGAATCCAGGATGAACTAAATAGTAACCATAGTTACAAAATACATTTATATTAGAGGCTATATATAGAGGGTCATTCAGTTAGCCGTAACCATTTAGACTTGCTGTTACTCAGTAATTCTGTGCTATTATAAATTACTCATTTAAAAGTAATTTCATTGTTGCGGGTGGATTTATCAGTCTCACACCCAACATTTCTTCTTTTCTAGGTTTGCAATAGTTAATAATCTAGGCGACGTTTGGGACTGTGTCGGCAGGTAACTGAACGCGAACCTCCTGAATGGTTGGTGAACATTCCACAGTCAAGTTACTTCATCGAAGAAGCTTATTTTTATGTAACAAAGCGACGAATACAGCTGTGTGTTCATTCAAACCAAAATGGGGTACAAAAAACTAGTGATTCAAGTCAATCTTGAATGAGGTTACATAGTGATGCTCAAGACTGATAGAAAATGTGCCTAGATTTTTCTCTTACTTTTGGTCATCACTCAAGGCAGTGAAAATTTTCACCCGAATTTAAAATAAAGGCAACATTTATACTACGATAAGAGGATATATCAAATTCAGATTTTCTAGTATGAATAGACATAAAGGTAACTTAAACGGTTTTTTATTAGTCTGGAAAACTTCAACAATATGCGCCGTAAACATCAAGCTGGATTGAATTTGGTTAACTTTATTTATCCAAAGACGTAATAGGCAACACTAGAATACAGCGATAGGTAGGCGATAAACTCTATGAAACAAGAAACCAAACTGTATCGAAATGTAACCCTTTTACTATGACCTTAATGATACTTCTACCATGCTGAGTTACAGTATAATAATACACGTCAGTAACAGAACATTTTTCAAAAAAATCCATGCTGAAACAAAGTGAAAGACATAGAATCAATCGTTTCCGTTGTTATATTGAGTGATTTCATTTTCTAAGCCACTTAACAACTAACATGAAGTCCTAGAGATTCGATGAAGTGGTGTACCACTTCAGAACTCATGTCATTATCTCCCTGTATTGTCACTGAGTATGGTAATACTGTGTATCTATTTAGATGAATATAGTTTTGCACTACTGAAATTATCTACAGTGGATTTGGACCTTATACAAGCAACTGTGTGGATTTAAAGGATCATCTCATTGAGAGAAAAAAACAAAACAATTTTTACAAAAATTGGAAATATTTGCCCCAAATAACTCACTTTGTCTGATACAGATAATTTATTCAAATTCTGCATAGCTGCTGTATTTGGAGAGAATATTGTTATGTCAGAAGATGATGTCAATAAACTGTTACATGTTGTGTCTGACCGGCATAAGGATAACAAGTTCCTGATCATTACAAGAATGAGAAAAATAAAATCGGTTATTAGGTTTTATATAGTGATTTGTACAATTCTGTGATAGATAAGAACTGTCAGTAATGATAAAAAGTTCAGTTCACATCATTATATGCTTAACTTTTAAATGCCCTACTCGAAATATAAGGTACGTCTTGCTTCATAGATGTGAGAAGACAATACTGACGAACTGTATGACGTCAATTTAATCTAATCCACTTTTTGAAGAAAATCAATGTTGATTTAATCCTGAAAATTTCGGAGTGAACAGATAGAAGTAATCCCCTAAATGACATTGAACTATTTATTTAGTACAACTGACCATCAACTTTCATTTCCAGATGGCATAAATATACCATAGGGAGGTTTAATCTTATTTATAAACATGGTAGTAAGATTTAATTGCGATATGAAAGCATCACTTGATGCTCTCCAAAATGTAAAATATATAAAAGTCATAATAACTAAAATCAGATAGTAAGTACGTATTTGTTCCTGCATCTAAATTATGAATTTAACCTTTATCAGTCTTATTTAGTAGACTGCTTCCCCCACCTGGGATAACTCATTAGGAAGCCCATTCTCCTTGCATTGATTAGGCGGGAACACCAATTACTGTATTCAAATGATTCTTTCCCAGGTTTTAAGTCGATTACTCATTAATTCGAGGATTTCATAATGAGCTGACATCAGTTGAATAACAACTGGAAAACCTAGGAGTACTGGACAGCTGTTTCTTTCTATTTAGGGACTCTTCAGAAGTACGCGCCCACCGGGGTTCAAACCTAGGACCTACTGGTTACAAGGCGAGCTCGCAGACCATTAGGCCACTAAGACCCGACCAAGTGGCCAGCTCATGAATTCTAACTTCTGCCAATTCACGACACAGCGCGACCACTTCTCAATGTCTTCTTCCTCGCTGAGTTATTGCCTCACCTCCAACCTGCTGCACTCACTAAATTTGAGATATCCACTCGAACATCATTGATCATAAATGCCACTTGAACAAATGATCTTAGTTTGAGAGTTCGTTGAAAATATATTGCCAACAACTGATTTTGCGGAATTCGAATAGCACGAATAGTGTCGACTCGACTATTGATCTTTATAGGGTGATAAACCGTTGATTTATTTTTCTCTTGAGAAGCTTAGGAAATAAATTTTATGTCAAATCTCAAAACAGCTTTGTTGCATGAAAGGTAAAACCACAGAAAATTGGTTTGTATCCCTCAACTCAACTAACAGTAACTTTCTGGAAACTCTTGTTGCAGGTGGAGCAACTTAATTAATCTAAACTGCCCACATAGTTCATTTACACAAAAAGCATATAAGGTAAGAAGTTTTCAGTAGGTGAATACGTAACTTACGGATTAATTCTGTTCAAAATATCTTCTCGTGTTTCATAAATGAATGCTAACGGTTTATTAATAATATGAATAATTGCCTTCTGAATAATGAAACTTTTATCCTCCAGTTTTGCTTCAGTATTTCCACTTGATATTAGAACTAGTTGATAAAGAGTAAAAAAAGGATGATAGTAACGAAAGAAAATTCTTTAACTGGGCACTCGGTAAAAAGTAACTCGTGTGATGACTTCGGTCCTTTGTTTATTGTAAACTGAATTCTGTCAGTCAAGTCTGCAATGCTGTCACCACACTAGGTGGTTCGCCATCCCTATGCACTCTGAATTGTTGTTATTAGGGGGTCGGAGGCAGTCGGTACGAAGCCCCACCACCGTGATAGTTGCCGCTCGTCAGTAAGGTATATTTGAACTGAACAAAGGACTAGGCGCATGAAACTAGTCACTTACTCCATTGTGTGCAACTAAAATACCCAATACAGTCCTGCAGGAAGTATATTGCAAGCACAGATAGCTCAGTGGTAAAGCCCATGACTTCAGCACTGAGTAACGCAGGTTCGAATGTCAGTGGAGAGGGACATGAGTTCCTTGAAGACTACAGATACGTCTTGTTGACTGGTGAGTGCCAACAAGCACGAAACCTGGGTCAGGTAGGGCTCTGTTCCAATCGCCGCCAACCATCAAATAATAACAAAGAAATATCTAAAATACGCTCCTATGTAAGTTACTCATCTTTCGTGTAGGGATAAAAGTATTAAAATCTGAAGGTGTTAGGTTGTAAGGTTTAGAACCAGATATATTAGCGAATGATACTCATTTTATTTGTATTCTTTTGGATATATTGAGAACACAAACACCAGATATAACACAAGTTGTGCATTTAACAATAACAGGATAAGAATATAACCATGTCAATGATTGAATTAAGCCAGAAACTGAGAAATCAAAGGTCAAGTAGTGCTAAGTAATGGATTTATTTCATATCCAAGGTTTGAAAAAATTCAATAGATACATAAAGACAAACAAAAAATCTTTAAATTTTAGGCTGCCAATTAACTTTACTTTGACCAGAGAAGAAACGGCTGTTGTAAATAGTTTTTCTGCTTATAAAAACTAGAGTTATGAGAACAGATTTTTGGAGTTACACTTATGTAGTGAGTAGTGCTTAATGTGTCTTTACAATTCAATCTTGTTTGATGTGCTATCATTTTGTATATCGCTACAAAAGTGAAACTAGAAGCTCTTTTTCATGACAAGTAAGTAAAGCATGAGCTGTACAAAATAAAAGGTAGACCACAGTTTTGTCAAGTGACTGCTTAACTTTGAAACACACATAAGATACACATGTGCGTCTTTGTTTATCAACTGTAAATTATTAAGTGGGACATTAGGCAGGCCACGGCTAAATCAAACTATGTCTTATCTGTCATCAAATATATAACAAGTTGGTAATTAGTCTGATAGATGGATGTTTTCATTCAAATGATGGGTTTGCAGGGATTCAGTTGATTTCAGTAAAGGTATTGTTACGAACTAAAATCAATTAAAGGGTCACTGAAAATCAGGGAGCACTGGATACCTGTACCCTTCAGCTGCATAACGAAATCTATACTGAAATTATTCAAATCCATGTAAATCCAAGAACTAAATGATAATCCACTGGTCGCTAATGGGTAGGAAACAGATTTCTTAGAGTTTAAAGTAACGGGCTATAACTAGTGAGACCTATTAAGTCAGACATAAAGACAATTGTTTAAAGATGATATTGGCTGACTTTATGGCACGAATGATAAAACTTCAACCCATTAGTTGGGTGATAAACGTACTAAGAACTCTCAGATCCTGCTTTTGAAATATTTTGTGATCAAGAGGATGTACTGCTGATGAGTCAGGAGAGGGGACAAATGGTTGTACAATACTCTTCTGTCTTAGTGGTTCTGACACGGGCATGTTTTATTATAAATAATAAGCGGAAACGTGAGATTGTAATAAATGGCTAGTGTGACTGTTTGGATGCCTTTCACTCCCACTTTAAGTAAACACTATGGATACAATGATATTATTCTACATTAGATATGTTTGACTTCAATAACAACTCATACTGAACGGAGGTATACGGTGATGGATTGTCAGCTTGTGACAGACTCTGACACAAATTTCAAATAAAATGCAGACGTTTTGCACTGACTTACCTCACTCAGAATAAAGTGTTCACATTAAAACTCTTTTAAGTGTGATCAGAAATCTATGTGAATTAGAAAACCACTAGAAACCAGCACAGACATTTAATCCTAGTTCGGGACTCCTCAGCAATACTCACCCACTGGGGTCTGAACCCAGGATCTTCTAGTCACAAAGTGAGCCCGTAGAACGTTCAAAGGCTGGGATCCGATTCAATGGCCCATGAATTCCATTCCCTTTGGCTAACGACTGGCTACGTGACGAAGTTTTCTGGAGTTCTAGGGTAAGGTGGTAACCAATAGGCTCCACCAGACACATACTCACCGACGACTTTGGCTGGTGGTTGCGCTAAAAACACTAACTGGCGAAAGCTGGAATTCATGTTTCATTGAAATGGGCCCCAATGGCTGGATGGTGTACTAGTATGCCTTGAACCGGGAGATTCTGGGTTCCGATCCCGGTGGGCGCGTACTGCTAAGGACAAAGCATCTGTCCAACACTCCCTGGTTTTCTAACGGCTTTTAAACCTACATCAACCCGTGATCGATAAAGTAACTTATGTGTGCGTATACACACTCAGGTATCGTATAATGTAGATAAGTGTTCATTCATATATGTTGACGTTTCTTAACTAACCACTGGTTTATATTTGGAATATTGATCTAAAATCCAATGACACCTTGGCGCATATTTATACAATAGTGCTAACTAAACTTTAAGTAATGTACTTTAGTTAAAATAAAATAAAATTGAGTATTTCTCTTAGTATATAAAAACACGGCAAAGTTAAATTTTAAGCACCAGTAGGTACCAACGTACAAATGACCTTGAATGCACCAGCCACTTGATAAGAGCGATTTTTGCTTTTAAAATACATATACTCACATGAAAATAGTGAATTAAAAGGCATGAAACTGTTGAAGAAGATACCTTTCCATGAAGTGTGGCAAAAATACCTCTCAGTTTTGTATTGGAGTGTCAACAGAGTAATTTAACCACATTCATTGCATGTAATTATCTAGGTCTTCTAAACCTAACAATGATCCTAATCTTTCCTTAAACTAACCCAATCGTGAAAATTTCCCTAAACTAACCCTTATCTGTGCGTCGGTGGCATAGCGGATAGGACGCTCACCGACCATGTACATGGTCCGGGGTTCGATCCCCGGCCGACGCACACCTTTACCTCGCTAAGCCAGTAGTAAGGCTGGTAAAGAGGGAAGGTCGGGCATGAGGCCAGCAACTCCACCCTGTAAAAATAAACACTGCTACAGAAACTTCAAGCCTCTAGCTTGAAGCCCTATGTTCCACTGGGAACGTGAAGGAATAAAAAACAACTCTAATCTAACTCGAACCAACCCTAATATCGCCCTTATTAGGTTAATCTAACCCTAACCTGTCCTTATGGGTAAATATCAACTAACCTGTCCTTAGCTTAAACCTCAATATAATCCTTTCCAAATCTAGGCTGAAACTTGCTAGATATCCCATTTTATAACATAACACTTCATTGAACATAATTTATTCATGATTACAATGTTATTTACTAGGTTTCACTAAATTACTCATTGTAATTTCCAAGGTCGCCAGTGCGGTCGCACTCCATTAGTATTTAAAGTTCAAATTGGCCAAAAACACAAATTAAAGTATTGAATGTCTTAAGAATTAATCTCAAATTTAGTTATGTTTACAAATACAGTCTTACTCGGTAGCTGCAACAGTATGTGTTACTGATTAGTGACTTACTTGAGCCATCATCACTTTTATAAAATTGAGCCGGATTCAGTTCACTTGGTTGAACACTACTCGCAGACTGTGGTTTACTCGGGAATCCTGCATAAACATTTAATTTAGGCTTCACTGAAAGCCATTCACGATATATTAATTGATTCGGAAAGTAATGATAAGATAAGATCTGCAAAAAAAGGCGAAAACGGTGCATACTTAAGCGATACATCAAAATACTAGTAAACATAATTCCATACCTTGTTGCTGGCATAAATCTGGTCTCAACCCCTGGGAGTTATACGAATGAATAAGCTATTACTATTGACAAAACTGACGATTTGCACAAAAAACTCGTTATCAAGCATGAATATATTAGAACATCCCCTCTCTTAGTTATATGTGACGCGAAAAATATCAGGACTTAAATAAAAATTATGCGTAGTTCAGGTTATCAACATAAAAGCAGTTGTTATGGGCAAAAGACATCAATATATACGATGGATTTTGAGCTAGTCAGGGTTCTCTCATGTTGAGTAAGTGATGTATACAATACACCATAGCAAAAGAAATTTACAATCAGGTTTTCATAGTTAGTTGACAATTAAAAGTATACCAAACAGAATTATTAAGTTAATCACTTACAGATGCTAACAAGGTGACATTTTCCTTTAGCCTAGTCATCTGTGCAGCTGGTATAGATGTCCATCCAGAATCACTGACGACAAATATAGTTGAATAGATGGGTTGTGCTGGGTATGTTGCATATCTTGGCTCTTGTATTAACAGGTACCATAATTCTTTGGAGATTCTATTAGACGGAGATAAGAATGTCTGATAGAGGTTTGGTATGCAAGATGGAAAATTTCAAAATGAATCACTTAATCCCTCATTAAGCTCGTATTATTATTATTATTACAAAATTCAATTTTTGGTAGTTTATACTAAGGACTGATTAGTGTGAGTAGTTAGATACCGTTGATATAAACCTAAAGTGCCCTCTAATCAGATCGAAGACATCTAAACACAAGACAGTTTTCCTTTTTGGAACCAGCTCATCAGCACTGTACGCAGCTTAACTGAGACCACAGAGCCAAGGTAGTTAAAAATCAGAATTCAGGTAGTGATGATGAGCTGATGTACTGGGCCTCAAACAAGCAAAATGGCCATTCGAAGTTTAGATCACTTCACGTTGGCTAACAAGCACCAGTGGTTGATATGAGTGGTATTCAACCAATCAATAGCATATACCATCATGCATTTATGCCTGGTTTTTTGATGCCGCTTATGGTATCAAGCAAATCATATATAGTCGTGTGAATAATTTTAATTTGCAAAGTAGACTGTAATGAAATTTCACCTCGAGCTGTGCAAGCTACACAGCCTGATGAATGCAAAGTGGGTATGTATATCTAGCGTTAAGAACTCCAACTTGTCATTAGGACCATGTGGCTACAACTACAGCAATGGGATGATCATAATCATTAAACACAAGAATTTCATAAAATTCGGTTTTGCTTTATGGTGACATTTATGTTTCGTTCTCAAGTAATCTAAATAAAACGTTATTCTACAATAGTGACTCAATGAAAAATAAAATTGTGTTAGCGAGTTTAGTGCTTCAAAGGAGTCAGACATCTCTGTCTCATTGACGGATATCCAAGATTTTCAATTACGGTGACAAAGAATTCTCTAATGGGATATATACATATGTATAAATTGGTATATACCCACTTTAAATCCTTAATACATATCTTTCAGTGCGTTCTCATCAAAGTTTTCTCCTTTCATATGCAATGCAGGAACTGAAATTAAAAAATCTCCGTAGTTTTCTTTAAGGTTAGTTGAAGATAAACCAACTTCTGTAAACAGAAAGTTATAATATTTAACCTTATCTGACATAATCCACTGTCATCCTAAAACATAATAAATTTTCAATGTACGGAAGTATTGTAGAATGATGTGCGTCGGTGGCTTAGCAGTAGAATGCTTGCCAACGATGCGTGTGGTTCGTGGTTCGATCCCCGGCCGACGCACTACCTTACCTCGCTAAGCCGGTAATAAAACCGGTAAAGAGGGGAGGACGCGCTTGAGGCTAGTGACCCTATCCCGTAAAAATAAAAAACACTCCTACTGAAACTTCAGAACTCTGGCTTGAAGCCCTATGTTCCACTGGGAATGTAAAGGAAAAAAAACTGTAGAACAATATATGGTACTGACTTCAGGGTAGACATTATTAAGAAGTGATATCAGTTGCAAAACCAGCAGAAACCAGATAGAACGGGTCTTTTGATAAATTACTCCGACTAAAGTACTGTCTAGCAAAGTGTTGTCTAAGAATATTTTGTGAACACTAGATAAATATATCTGCATGTATACGTAAAGATCGTCATCTCTTTAATATATCATTAACCTCGTGTTTTCATGTATACGTATATCTCCTGTCTGCTTAGTCTAGATTGTATATGTATAAACAGACCATGAAAACATAAAAATCACTGCTTACCCCAAGTTGCCTTGCTTCTGTAAAAATTCCATAAATGGTGATGTAATATATGGAGTGTACAATACTCGATTAACTATGTGAACAATTCCATTTGAAGCCATAATATCTGGTGTCATAACTTCGGCATTATTTATGAAATATGAAGGTTTAGAATCCACCTAAAATATTATGAAATACCTATTAAAACATTTTTTTCAAATAGTCTAGTAACTCAAATTTAATTCCTACTCATAGAACCTTCCATTTAAGTAGTTGAAATAACTTCGTCAGATAAACTATTTGCCTCGTTAACTATCGATTCTAGGCTTCATTCTTTGTTGGGTCAAGCTTGCTTACTAACAAAGTTCACTTGTTAGACGCCTATAGTAATTTCCCAGAGGATGGTGTTAAAGTTTAGTTTGTTCTCAGACGTGATCGACCATCTTGGTACTAACTTAAAAAAACAAATTAAACTGTTAATGCAGTTCTCTCCACATACATCTACAATTTTGGTGAAATTAGGTTTCATCAATGTAACACACATAGATCTTTTGCTAAATGTCTGAAAATATTTTACTGATATGTAGCCAATGAGAAAAGAAAAGACTGTTTTACAAGTAAATGATCACCAAAAGCTACTTTATGTGGTTGGAGTCAAAAAGCCTTTGATACAGGTCTTCACTCATCAAGCATCTAAAGCCTTTTAGGTATTGATTTTCCTTAAAAATGTTCAGATTTGCATCACACCCTTCTGTCACCCGAGATATTATCTTATGCAAGGATGAAATATGATTTAATAGAGGAAATGGCCTGCGGTGACAATATCTAAATGTTTTGATACAGCTGGTGAATGACAAAACAACTCTAAAAGGAACTCTATGCAATATACAGATGAAAATCATTGTTAAATTGGTAGTTACAGGTTGGATCACGAGTTGAAATCAGCAAGAAAACCAACGGGGTCAACCAAATCAGGCGAGAAAACAGTTACTTGCCCATAAAAACGGGCTGAAGGCTACTCTCTATATAGCACGAATTGGCAGAAGTTGGAATCCATGGGGCACAGGATCAGGTCACAGTAGCTGCATGATGTACGAGCTGACCGTGTAACCGGAAGGTCTTGGTCCTTAACCGGGACGGGTGTGTACTGATGAAGAGTCCCAAAACAGCTTTCCAATACTTCCTGGTCTCCCAGTGGTTCTGTAACTGATGTCAGCTCCTGATTAAACCTGTAATCAATCAAATCCCTGCAAACCGACACTTGATAATCAGAAATATAAACAACAAATACGTATAAAGTTTACATGGTAGCTGATTAGTGATGCTTAATTATTTATGACTAGTTATAAAAAGGAGATGGATGAGGTAGTTAAATAAAGAGATCTAGAAAGGTCATCGTTTGTCGTTTAGAAAATGTCATTTTTATAGACGTATGTACTTTTAAGTGGGCATAAGAAAAAGTGAACAGTATGGACTTACAATAGTAGAAAATCCAAATCGTTCTTTGACAAAAAGTGTTGTATATTCACTACCCGTACCGAATCCAATATCAATGAAATTCATTTGTTGACCCAATTTTGTCCACTCTTTAGTTGTTAAACGAACTGATGCTTGATTGGTACTGGCACCTACTGAAGAAGTACATTGAATACATGTGAATTTAAACAAATATACACATAATTAAACAATTGTCTATTAGATAATTGGAAGCAGTCGACTGGAAACCTAGGTTTTGTGCTCGTTGGCACACGAGCAAGTCAACAAGGCGTATCTGCAATCTTCAAGGAACTCATGTCCCTCCCATCTGACGTTCAAATCCGTATTACCCAGTTCTGCAGTCAGAAGTATTACTACACAGTTATTGAGGCTTGAGACTGACCTCCTGCAGAACTGTAGTAGATCCTTTGTTTGTATACTAGGTAGCAAGTAGATAATGTCATGTGTCTAGTCCCTTGTTTGGTGCGCACTGCATCCAAGACGGCAGATACACCTCACTGACGAGTGCCAATAAGCACGAAACCTAAGTCAAAAGCTTTCTGCCGCTTGCCTCACACCATCTAATAACAACAATTCAGAGTGCACCATGATGGCGAGCCACATTTCAGACTTGACCGATAGTATGCTGTGTGCACAAACATCAAGGATTCGACGCATGACACTGGTTACTTTCTAACTAGTGTCTAATCAAAGTAAACTTTGTCCACAGTGAATAAGAAACATAAGGTAAGTGAATTTTGGTTTGTGCAAATATGAGACGTATACTTAATTTAATTTTTATATATATGGAGAGACATAGAAACTGCCTACATAAAAAATGTGACTAGAAACTTGACAGATGTCACGTGTGCGGATGGATGTCCCACCAACGACAATAGTTGGGGTCGCGCTAAATCACGAATTGGTAGAAGTTAGGATTCATGCGCCATTGAATCGGGTCCCAGTGGCTGAATGGTATACGAGCTTGCCTTGCAAACGGAAGGTCCTGGGTTCGAATCCCAGTGGGTGCGTACTGCCGATGATTCCCAAACTAGGATGAAACAGCAGCTGTCCAGTACTCCCTGATTTTCAATGGTTCTCTAACTGATATCAGTCCGCGATCAACTCGTAAAAACCCAACACACCCTTACACACCAAACTATAGAAAACTTGACAGAAGCCTATACCTTTACAATAACACTAAACTTTTAGGTGGTAAATAACATTTATAATGGAAGAAATAAAATACAAATTAAATCATTGCAATACTTGTGTTCACACATACTTTGTATAATATGCCCGTGTATGAATAAACGCTTTTGAAAATCCCCTGAACTGTACCATGATAAATCAGTAGAAATTAAGTCTATAGCATCATTTGTTGGCAAAATTATAGTTAAACATTCACCATCACCAAGGCAACCAGGTCTTTCAAGTAAATTTTGTAATCCCATTTCACGAATAAAATCTGCAAACTGATTAAAAATAAGAAGAAGAACAAGAATTAAGAAATAGATTTGGAATATGAGCTTCTGAAGTAAAATCACAATGAATTCAAATCAAGTATATATACTTATTAGGCTATACAGCTTTTATGCAACAAAAATATACTATTCAACCAGTTGATCTTCAAAACGTATAACACGGAACTAAATTTTCTAATACTTCGCCGATGATATTTGCCTGATTTCCCACAAACTGGAAGATATGCAAACGAAAAGCAACGAGTTAGCAGAAGAAGCATCAAAGATAGGACTTCAGGTAAACATAGATAAAACAGAGGTGATGAAAATTCCTGGGCAACACCACCAACAGCAACAACAACAACTGACAACAATCAGCATAAATGGGAGGAACCTGAAAGAAACAACCTCTTTTACCTACCTACCTTTGAACTGACGAGGATATCAAAGCAAGAATCGGAAAAGCAAGACAAGCTTTCACTACTCTCAAATCTGTGTGGAGGTCAACAGTCAGCACTCAGTATCAAAAACAAGATCCGGATTTTCAACTCCAATGTAAAGTCAGTCAGTGCTACTATACGGATCAGAGACTTGAACTGCGCGTCATAAAGAGCATCTCAAACAAACTACAAACCTTCACTAACAGTTGTCTTCACTCAATACTCAAGATCAGATGGCCAGAAAAGATCAGCAACAGAGATCTCTGGCAATGAGCGAACCAACCAGGAACCGATTGTGAAACAAATAGGCAGGAAGAAATCGGGATGGATTGGCCATACTCTGAGGAAACCATCAAGTGACATCACTAGACAAGCCATTGCTTGAGTGGAACCCTGAAGGGAATTGGCGAGTTGGTCGTCAGTGTGAGGTTGACATGGAGGAGCTGATGCGAAAAGGAGATGAAAGCATGTTGACAGAGTTGGAGCCATGTGAAGACTCTAGCAGAGAACCGAACGCAATGGAGACACACGGCTGAAGCCCTATGTTCCTCTAGGAATTTAAGGAAACAATAATAAAAAATAAATTTTCTAATCGTTTAAAAGTGAAATATTCAGTGTGTTGCCGAGATGTGTGCACTTACCATCATTCTAGATCATTATATTTATGTTACAGAAGTTTGATTTCTCCTAGCACCAGCCTGTATCTTTCACAACGAAACGCTGAGAAAAATGCTGTTACTTTTTGACCTACCAGGATTAAGCTGAACTAAATTTAAACTAAATAAAATCATTTTACTGATTGATTGGTTCAAAATAATTGCAATACTGTAATCTTGGTAGATGTGGTACTTAGCTTTGCTCATCAATAAAGTCTACTATCATCTTCAAGGGAAGAACTAATTACACTAACAAACAGCACGATCTTAAGTTATTCAAACTGCTATTCAGAGCTCAAGTTATATTGGTACCTAATGATTGATATTCTGCACCAAATATGCTACCATATGATGCCTTGCATTTCAAATCAATTGGTTACCATATTGGACTGCCTAAGTGATGAAACTCATGACAGTAAACCTGAACTATTATGCAAAACTTGACGATATTACCTGATGAGTTAGCTTTTGGGACATATGACCCAGCTAGTCAATCACTGCTGCTTCTCATCTTCTTTTATCCCTTTACGCTCCACGTGGAACATAGGGTTTCAAGCTCGAGGCTTGAAGTTTCGGTAGCAGTGCTGGTCATTTTGGCAGGATGGGTATGGTATTCTCATGCCCAACCTTCTCTCTTTACCGGTTTTATTACCGGCTTAGTGAGGTAAAGGAGTGCCTTATCGGTCGGGGATCGAAGCCCGAACCACCTGCGTGGTTGGCGGGCATTCTACCGCTGTGCCACCGACGCAACTGGTAGGTCACAATCATCACAGATCTCCAAAGAGAAAACTTATTTATCATCCAGCTTCTTATTGAAAGTATCATTCCACTAACAGCGTATCAGTATGAAGAACTATGTAGGTTAGAAATGATGAAATATATTGTGTATGTTTATCTGACAAGACATTTTAAATTTTGAAACGAAAGAAATGAGTCGACTGAAGTGAGAAACATCGGGAATTTCACGGTTACTAAATAACAGAAAAGACACATTATTCAGGATGAGGAAGAAAACTGTATTGTGTTTACCGAATTTCTATTTTCATTCACGGAAATTTCTCTGCCTGTAACTAGCCTTATTAACTTAGCCATGTTCTACACTCAATAATGAAGCTTGTTTTCTATAAAATCAAATAATTCGGTTGAGGATTGTTCGAAATGTGTAATGTGGATAGAGAACGCTTCATTTCGATGTTATTCGACTGACAGTGGCTAGCAACATAATTCTATGAGCATGCTTCATCTTGCTTAGCATAGCAAATACCAAATGCACTTGCATCCCAATGAGTAATGATGCGCAAACTAAGACTCGAACCTAGAACCTATCGGATTGAAAGTCAAAGCATTATCTACTAGGCTCTTAAGGCACAGAAACCGTTTTTTGTTGAAGCTATTTTAAATTTCCCGTTGGTTAAATCTACCGGGCTCATGTTTTCAGCCTGTGTTCAGACCGTGGCTCCCAATATGGACGCTTCGATAGTGCCTTCAGATTATCCTGATGTTATACTGTCTAAATAGGAGGCGAACAATGAAATAATAACACTTGTTAATATATGAATTCACAGTAGACAATTAAACTCACTTTGGACGCATTTGGATAAGAAGTTATAACCTGCCATAGGTTATTACCAGTAGTATCTTGAGTATGAACCGGTAACAAATACAGGATGATAGTAGTAATAATAATAATATAAGAAAGAAACGTGTAATTTCCAGACTCTTTCCACTTCAAAAAGATCATTTTTTGTTTGTTTGTTTCTTTCTTTCCAATAATTAATGTGATCACGTTTAATGCAATATACGAAATGACATAAGCATAGAATAACGGTGAATTAAATCAAATCGAAATATATTTTAATGTTCTATTTATGCCTTCATCTAGTAAAGTAATAAGCTATCGGTAAAAATGATTGGGACACACTGTGTGTAATAATGTATCAGACTGTATAGTGTAGACATTATGCTAAATATTTTAACTAGATCAATGGATAATGTTGATTTGGTAACTAATATACACAATGTCTGACCGACATTTTAACTATTTCAGTGTGCACCTTATTCTATATGTGATTTACATGTATGCGTATATTCATCAAAACACACTATCATCATGATATTATAAAAAGGTTAAAAGTGTGTTGTTTTGGACACTTAATTTATTGAATTCATCAATTTCAGGAATATAAATATTAAATATGTCGTGGTGAACTTTGAAAGAATGCGAATATATATATGTGACGTTCATTTGTCATTAGAATCTATGTCCTGATTTTATTCTAAGCATGTTTTCTAGTATTTCAATTGACTGAAATACTAGTGTCCTATACCATCCTCGTAAGTAATGCCTTAACAGATAGATCAATGGAAAGCTATCAGGCGAAGTGTATCAGCACAAATTACCACAGTTAAAACAACCCACAAATTAACTGGCCCACCAATAAAGAAATTCAAAGGCAGACAGCAAAGAAGATTACTGAGAGTGTGAACAATTTCAAACACTAATCGGGTAAATACATCAGTGACATTGTCAGCAGTTTCTATCTATCCTGTGAAAAGACCCTACCTGCTGATTTCAGACATCACAACTGCTCTGATCAGATGACTTACGTGTCTCATACACTTCAGACTGACGGTTAGAAACTTCACAAATTTGGCGCTGCCTTTTCTTACGTTAGTTATAATATAACCCCTCAATATTACCAACAAGCTCATTCAGAAATTATTATTCTTGGCTGATAATCACCATGATGGGACAAGCCTTTAGTTTTGGCCATTCCTTTTCCATCATCGTACTAAAACTCAATGTTCTCTCATTATTTTAAAAGAAATATTGATTCTTAATGACATTTTTTATCTAACTATTCATATGATATGTGAAATGAGTGATTGTTAGGTTTTAGGTCAGATAGCATCACTCAACATAGTATTTTGCAAGAGTCGGTTTGCAAGGACTTCAGTTGTTTTTCAAGTTTGATCACGCATTGATATCAGAACCACTTAAAACCAGACAGTAATGGATAGCCGTACCGTCCTAATTCAGGACTCACAAATTTTTATAAGATGGAATTCATGAGCCATTTGACTGGGTCTCAGTTGCTGAATGTTCTACGATATCACCTTGTAACTGAAGGGTATTAAGTTTGAACCTCAGTGGGTACGTAATGCTGAAAAGCCTCAAACTGGGGCGAAACGGCCATCCAGTACTCACGGGTTTTCCAAAGGTTCTTTAATTGACATCAGTCCATGATCAAATCCCTACAAACTTACTCTAGTAAACCAGTGTCAGCATTATCAAATCGTCAGAAACACAAAAGCTGAATTATTGCGAAATCATTATTGAAAAGAAAGTTGTTACTTTATTAAAATATAGCAAGTACAAAATTGCATATGCTGTAAATATTAGAGGTAAATCGTGCACAGATCTGAAGTTTTATTCAGCAAATATATGGAATTCATGCCAACGATGTATCGCGTTCAGAACTTAGTCAAAGGCAACATAAATGACCAAAACTGTCTAGTCATTTTAGAAATTTATTCAGAACCAAATGTAATCAAGAAGATAATTTTGAATTCATGATAAAATAAAGCCTAAAAGAAGAGAAATATTACGCAGAAGAGTAACTAAAGAAATAAGAAAGTTATTCAGTCTCTTATAAATAAAAGGACGGTAAAAAGAAAGTGCTTAATTTCCAGCGGGGAAGATGAAACGAATGGGGTGAATGCAGTAGTGTTAGGTAACCATTTGTATGAAGAAAAAAGAATTAGTGATGCTTTCTGTGTATTTACAAAGGCGATATCAAAAGTTTTTCGTTTGCATGAAATTAAATAAAGCATAGTAGATTTGATAATTGCGACTAATATGTCATTCTGAAGGAATAAAAGAGACATAGTTTTGGTATTTGCTTTCTTTTACATCTTCGGCTACTGAACTCAACATTATTTATGGCATAGCGGTTAGTATGGTCGTCAACCGTACACATGGTCCGGAGTTCGATCCCCGGCCGACGCACACTTGATACCAGTGGTTGGCCTACTAAATTTGAGTTACCGATACCACATGCTGAAAATTCCATATTTGTATCAAAAATACTATGTGGAGTCAAGCTACAAAAAAATAAATAAAATATCTAAACATGTCCAGGAAATCAAGTAGATATTACTTCTCAGTTTCTCACGTGTAATTTCATTTTAGTAAAATGTAGGGAACTCGCAAGTGAAAACCAGTTAACGTAAAACTCACTAAATGAACACAGTGCTGTAAAATGATGTCAAAATTCTTAATTGGAAATCCGCCATTGTTATTAATGTTCTACTCCTGTAATTACCTCAAAGTCAACTAACTGCTATATTAGGACACCTCTACGTCATACCAGCTTTACACTACATTAAATAAACATTTTAATCAAGTCTTTTGACTGAAATAAAACTGTCAGTATTTCGTAAGTATAAACTATGTTAAGATGGCCTTTTAGATAGTCAGGTACCTACCTCAATTTTGAATAAACCAAAAGTATCAGTTTGTGCAGAATAAGATGGCACCGTCATTTATTTCGTCAGCTCCTCATCAGCCGCCTACAGCCTATTGGAATTAATAAGTATATGTACACATTTGCAAATGTTGACAGGAGAGTCTGAGCTTAACAAGCAGTGCTCAGAAATTACGCTTATATAGTTTATACCCACTAGGTTCAAGTTTAAACAGAAATAAAGGCTTGAATACAATGGTGAAGGAATTACGCAGTAAAGAAAAGAGGTGAATAAGATTGTCAAAATATCAAGAAGTCGTGACCAGTGAGGTCCACTCCGTTGGGTGTGAGGACAAATACTCGCCGATGACACTGGTTGGTAGAGATTAGAACTCATGGGCCACTGAATCGGGTTCCAGTGGCTGAGTGGTCTACGAACTTGCCTTGTAACTGGAAGTTTGTGTTGCCGGCAAGTCCCTAACTGGGACGTGATGACCATCTGGTATTCTCTGGCTTTCAATGGTTGTCTAACTGGTATTAATCTGTCGTCGAGCTTGAAAAAATTATAAACAGACAAATTAATTCAATTTTTCTCAAGTTTGCCAAATCAGTCGCTACCGAACGCTTGAAACAAGATTTATGTATTTGGAAAAAAGTAGTCATTGGTCTTTCCTCGCCCTGGTAACTGGACGTCTTTACTCCCAAGTTTCTTTGATCTCGTGTTCCTTAGTTTTAAACCTTGATATAGTGTAACTTTACTTGTTTCTCGTTTGTATGATTCGAGTTGAACTCACCACACTGTTACTCAATTTATTAGTTACTCATCATATTATTCACTCGTGAGTATAAACAATATAAGCGTAATTTCTGAGCACTGATTGTTAAGCTCAGACTCTCCTGTCAACTGACATTATGTAACATTTGCAAATGTATTAAAACTGTTCTGCACATATACTTATTAATTCCTGTGGGCTGTACGTGGCTGATGAGGAGCTGACGAAATAAATGATGGTGCCATCTTATTCTGGTTTATTTAAATAAGGGGGTGGGAGATTAAGCAAATGAAGTATCTGCCTAAAGTTATATATAAAGTATGCTATCTCCTGATGAGTAGTTTTCATATCTGAGGCATAGATTATTGTTGTTATTGTTTTGATCCGCTGATCTTCTAGTGATAAGCTAAGTAATACACTACTTATGACCTTGATCAGATGCATATTAGTACTTTAAAAGTTACTGCTGTTAATCAGATTGTTATTTCTTGTTTGTTTATTTGTTAATAAACAATTTAAAACTTTCTCCCTTTGCTAATTGCTCAACGTTTATTGAGATTAAACTTTATTGGTTAAGTGTGACTTTAACTGGAAACATTAAATAAGACATCATATGTATATATATATATATATATATTTGTGGGTAACGTGACAGAGTCACTAATTGATTTATGTGTATTGATTGCATAAATTGTAAATAATAATAACTTTAAAAAAAGACAGCATCCTGGAAAGAAAAGTAAAAATGCTCATACTTCATCTGCCCATTATGATCTACTGAGTTGAATAAACATCAAGAACTTGACTTCCTTTCATTCATTTAATGTTAAGATTTCCATACATTCATTTATTCATTATTTTGTCGATTGGAATCGGTCAAAAAAAGAGAAATAAAAGGAGATAAGAAACACACCTACTATACCTTACTGTGAATAAAAATCAGTTTGGAGTGAAAGGATCTTATTTTATTTAATTCTTCTTCTATAAACAAAAAATGAGCGGCAGTCGATCTAGAAAAGATCCAAGAAATCGTGGATTAATAGCAGATTTGATTAACTTAGATGCAAAGAATGAGTGAGTACATTTTTGACTTTTACTCTTCATATGGATTTTAGCGGCACAATTTTATCTCCAAGTATTCTGTAATAGTTACAATCCACATGTGTTTTGTTTTTAAGAATTTTATTATATTACCTTTCGGAATTCATTTTTTTTCATTGTTCCCAAGAGTTGGTCTTCAGGAACTTGATGGATTTCAGTCAGAGAACCATTGAAACCTATCAGGGAGTACTAGACAGTTGTTTCGTTTGTTGTTCGTTCGGCAGTTCGAACCCATAACCCCATAGGGTATGAGACCCATGTAGCGTGGCAAGACTGTTGACCATTCAGCCAATGAGGTGGAATGCGATGGTCTATGAATTCTGACTCATGAACGAACAACTATAGTGTCATTACTGAAGTTATACTTGGATTAAATAGCTGGATGACAAATAAGTTTTTTTTCCTTTGAAAATTAGCAATAATTGTGACCTATTAGTCGAGAGGCTTCGATGATTGTTTAATCCATTTTCACTAAGTGTGTTTTTAAAGCATAGCTGAAGGCGTGTCAAAGTACAGCATACCGTCAAATGTTTATTATTTACAATTATTCCACAATGACTACATAATATTTATGACTTGATATTATTAAAAAACTTATTTTGGCCACTTATACGATATGATAATGCCAAATATCAATTGGTTCTCAGCGGAAAACTGAGCGATATCTTTGCAGTGAAAACAGGAGTAATACAATGATACCCATTATCAGTGATAATATTCATAATTGTGGTGGACTGAATCATGCAAAAGACTGTGTGGAGGCAGAAGACAATAACACCGGCCTACAAGAAGACTCTAAGAGAAGCGAACTTTGAAAGTGATTTACCTTTAATACCACACGAAGATATAGAGGCAAAAGCCAAAAATTTGTCAGAAGAAGCAGTGAAAACAGGAATTCAAATGATAACAGCGAGCAAAGAGGCGATAAGGTACCCGGTGGCCGAGGAAAACAACCAGCAACAACCGCTATCAACAGGATATATATTTTGAACGAGGTCACTTCCTTCAGTTATCTAGGCAGCATCATTTCAACTAGACGTGGCATAGATGAAGATGTCAAAGCTACGATCGGAAACGCGAAACCCCCACTAATCTGAAATCGGTGTGGAAATCTGCTGTTCTTAGCATATAGAACAAGATTAGGATTTCGAACACTAATGTCAAGTCAGTGAGTGCTTCTATATGGCCCAGAGACTTGGTGTACCACCAACAGCATTTCGAACAGGTTTCATACCTTTATCGACGACTGTCTTTGTTCCATATTTAAAATCAGACCTACAGTCAGAAAGATTTACCTATAAGGTCCTCTGGGAACGAACCAGCCAAGAACCAATTAGCCAACAGAAATCTAGAAGGAAATGGAAATGGATACGCTATGGAGAAACCGTCGAGTGACATCGTGTGCCAGGTCATCGCTCGAGGGGAACTCGAATGCGAAACAGAGAATTGGGTGACAGAGTGTGACATAGAGGAGACTGTATGAGGAGGAGATGAGAGCTCATGAACAGTCATGCAGCCGGCTGAAGAGGACTGCAGAAGACAGAATGAAATGGCAATGTGCACATGAAGCCCTACATTCCACTCGGAATCTAAGGGGAAAGAAGTAATACACCATGTTAAATCTTTAACAAATTACGAGTCATACGATTCACTCTTAAGTGGTTAGTTGTAAACTGTGATTTGCCTGATATTATTTGAATATTCAGTTATGATCCATTTACAAAGTGCATTCAGTTAGTTAGACTCACTAAAGACCATATTTAGACTTTTGGATTGATATTTTTAGTTATTTCTTAAATATCCGCATGTACATCATTTTAGTCTTCAGGATCCATAGACCTCTCTCTATATCCATTAGTCTAGGTTCAGTAAAAAGGGAAATTTGTGTCTACTCGGCAGCCCAGTGACTTTATTCACTTTGATAAACCTATATGTATGTCTAAAGTCATTTCAGTCTGTCACATGACTGTTCGGTACGTTCGCAAAGATGATTCGTTTCGCATATGCCTGTTTACGCCATCTCTGGCGTAGACACGATATCCTGTTGGCTTTCGACCAAAGGGCGTGTATACTGCTCAGCAGTCACTCCTCCTTTATGGCTGTGTACGAGATATGGCCATTGAGAGTGGAAGTCATGAAAAGATTAGCTGTCTTTGATCATCGGTGTCTGCGTTCTATCCCCCTTGTGAAGTGGCGTAATAAGGTGAGCATTATTGAGGTTAGGCGTCGAGTGCTAGATAAGGAGGGGAAATCAATCAACGACACTGTGAAATTACATCGACTGAGAGGACATGTGCTACGTATGCCTTCCTCGACAATGGGCAATGTTAGCTGATATGGGGCCAGGCTGGAAAAGAGTTGGGGGCGGTCAAACGAAAACATGGCACCAGTCAATGAAATCTACAACAGTTAGTTTAAGCCACGTAGGAAGGTGTAGACTTCCTAGTTGGGGTCCTCAGGACGGTATAAACCAATGGTTGGAAACAATTGGTGACATGGCTCAAAATCGTTCTCAATGGCTGGTGCAGATGCATACACTCCTTGTGACTTATGATTTCCAATTAAACTGTTTTGTTCTTCGTTATTACTATACCTTTTCTCACACCTCTGTTTACTGTCTATATTATTATGCATTTCTCCTACTTTCTTTTCTTGCTTTGTGTGCTACATGGAGGGAGTGTGGTGACTTGAACTGCCGCACATATGTGCAAAGTTCTATGTTGAAAACAGACAGACAGACTAAAGATATTCAGGCATTTCAAGGTTTTTAAGTTCAGAAAACTATGCAAATTGGTGATTCTGAATTCTGTCTGTAACAGCTAGTTAGAAATTATTATGTAAAAGTCTATAAGAAATTTCAGCACAGCAGAGAAAAGTGTCTACAATATTGATGAATACTGATAGCTATTCAAGGCATTCGTCAGTTAGACAGAAATAACAATTTTAAACTACTTACAATGAGATTTCGATTTAAGCTGGCAGCTTCCAGTAGCATAGCAGTAAAAAATGACATAAGTAGTAAACCATGAAAATCAACAAATATCCTGTGGAGTATAAAAAACCCTAAGAACACAATAACAAAATACCAGTTTATTGTTTTGACTTCATTGTTCATGCTCTTTTAAATGACTAATTAATTAACGCGAAAGTATAAAAATTTGGGTGAACAAATGAAGTAAAGTAAAAATAATTAAATCAGATTTTTATTCACCCTTACCCTTACATCTCATAAAGTCCCCCCTAAAATCGATATCAAGATGACGAATACGTGTTTTCCATACACTGTTACTTTAAAACTTGCTCACTCTAAATTGAACAACACAACATATTTCTTAATAATATATTCAATAAAGTGAACTAAACGTTTCCTAAACTTTATCTAATATAGAAACTGTCCTCTGAAGCCAGATGCAGCAGTAAAAAAGAATGGAGGTCTCTTTCTATCTCTTCATGGAGTAAAAGTGGAAATTCCACCTGGTGCATCAACTGGACGCCGTGAACGAGTTGTTTGTGCAGCGTTTCCAAGCACAGCTAGAGCAGGTGTAGCACCATGGTTAGGTCCATATATGCGTATGGCAAGTGAAATGCATATGTTATACTCACCTGTCAGCTTCAAAATGCCAGTTGCTGTATTCATTCCGTTTTCGTTTGCTGCTGCTCGTGAAATGTCGTGTCCAAACGAATCCATACCGGCACCAGTGGAACGTATGAAACGATCTGAATCTAAGGATTCATGTGAGTTTTATCAGAATATTTTATAACTGTTTTACCACATGAAGAAGATCTAAATTTATTCTATGGATATAGTGTTCATATTGTTTCACCGCTTTTTATTTCTTTGCCAAAATAAAACATTTAGGGACGAACACTTTTATAATCACGATAATAAAATAGAGCTGTATGTCTTGAGGATTCATCCAGCAAGCAGCACTGTTATGCCTAAGTATGAGGCTTGTTGGCAGTCATTCAAAGTTTTAGTACTGGTGTGACTTTACAGCCAAATCAGTTGGTTAATGCCTGACTTCCTCTATTACCGAAGAGTGTACACAAGCTGATTACTGAACACTAATCAATTTATGTGTTGGTTTGTAGGGATTTGATTGGTTACAGGATATTCATCATGAGCTGACATTAGTTAGAGAACCATTGGAAAACCTGGAAGTACTGCACAGCTGTTTCGTCCTAGTTTGAGACTCTTCAGCAGTACGCACCCACTGGGATTCGAACCCAGAACCTTCTGGTTACAAAGCGAGCTTGTATACCATTAAGCCACTGGGACCCGATCCAATGGCCCATGAATTCTAACTTCTGCCAATTCACGACATAGGGCGACCAGAAGGTCCTGGGTTCGAATCCCGGTGGGTGCGTACTGATGAAGAGTCCCAAACTAGGACGAAACAGCTGTCCAGTACTCCCAGGTTTTCCAGTGGTCCTCTAACTAATGTCAGCTCATGATGAAAATCCTGTAGCTAATCAATTTATCCAGGTAATTCATAGCTTTTAATCGAGGTATGCCAATTAAGTTTTCCATTTGTAAACTAAGCGAAACAAAATTGTGACAATGAAACAAAGTAATCTGATACTGATCTTTAAATCTCGTTATTGGATTGTGTAATATATGATGGTAAACACCACAGCCCATATATAATCTCTCACACAAAATTATTGGAGCAATGAAGCATACGGCGAATGTTATCCATCAGATATAATAGGCTATAGATTAATAATTCAAATGTCTCGCTTCTATTAGTGAAGTCTCGTCACACTCATAGCTTTGATTTTGTGATGTTCAAATGGAGATTCACAAATGATGTGATATTCGTTTAGCTGTTAACTGGTTATTCACTGTAGGAGACATTTCCAATGAAATTTTTCTCCAGATTACTAGGGTTCCTGAATTCATTCAGTAAATAATTAACTAAAATGTAGTAGCGAGACAAGATCACTCAGGATATAGTCTAATGCATCATTAGAAGGTTTTTACTTTAGCAACAAAGTCTAACGTATGTTAAAAAGTGGAAGGCTACAGTGACCTTGTAAGCCTTGTATCATAAGACAGTTTCATGCTCTAGACGAGCAACACTTTAGGGTATTGTTTCAAAACAATAAATTTTTGAGCTGACAAATCCTTAACCAATAAATTTTTGTCCTTTACTAAACCAATTTCTTGAAAAAATTGAAACACATATATTATTCTCGGATTTTCAACACCAATGCAACGTCGGTTCCTCCATATGATTCACGTGTCAAAAAAAGCATTTCTAATAGATTTCAGAGTTTTATCAACAGCTAGCTTCGCTCCATACTCACCATCAAGGATAAGCGAAACAGAATTGTGAGAAGGAACTGACCAAAAACCTATCGCCTGACAGATATTACAAAACGAGACTCAGTTGGACTGAAAGTACTCTGAGGAGATCGTTGAGTGACATCACGAGCCAGGCAGAATCTCGAGTAGAACCGGAATGGGAAATGGCGACGTGTGCATAGTTGTAGGGTTGACATCGAGGAGATCGCGTTAGGCAGGGTTAGAGGGCTTATGGGCAATCATTGAGCCAGCTATAGACGGCTGCAGACAACAGGATGAAGTGGCGATGTGCTGTTGAAGGCATATGTTCAATTTCAAAATTATGGAGATAATAAAAGTAACATACATCTCATTCGGTGCGTCGGTGGCACAACAGTTGAATGCTCGCCCACTACGTATGTGGTTCGAGGTTCGAACCGCAACCTCGCTAAACCAGTAGTAAGACAGGTAAAGAGGGAAGGTTGGGCATGAGGCTAGCAACACCATCCCGTAAAAATAAACACCACAGCTACCGAAACTTTGAAGCTTTAGCTTGAAGCCCTATGTTCCACTGAGAACGTAAAGGAATAATAAATTTAAAAAAATAAGATAACACTTTATTCGCCAAATGATTCACTAAACAAATATGAGTAAAATGTGATAGTTCTATTTTATTTGTACCACACTACTGATAAGATACGAAATTCAGTAGTAAATGTATTGATAAGAAATGTAATAAGAAAAGTGAATGAATAATAAAATAATAATCTTATTCTTCTTTATTCTGTAGCACTAGATGGTAGCCGATCGATTAAAATTTCACCAAGACCGAAAGGCAAAGCACCTTATACAATGCATTTTGGAGATCATCGTCCTAAAGTTCCGAATTTAATTGATGCTAGAAGTGTTTCACTACTACAATGTCGAATCGGTAGTGATAACTGGAAAGTAGTAGACAAATTCACGGTAACTTAGCAGGTTTCTTTTCTTTTTTCAAAATAAGTCTTTGTGTCTCATCTTATTAGGTCTATGCCTGTTTTACATGTAAATAAACTTCTTTTTAAAAAATGTCACATATCAAAGTAAGGAATCGTAATCTTAAGGGTTGGAGCTCAAAAGAACTGAGGCAATAATTGAAGGTCCTTAGATATTAGTGAGTCGCTTAGAGCACTAACTGTGAATTTATGTATTCAAATGCGAATGTACAGCTTTTGAAAATGAAATCGCCGAAAAGATATCTTTGCTAATCTTTGTGTTCTCTTCTTTCTAATGTCCTAATGGGTATAGTACACGATCTCAAAAAGAGTAGGAACTCTTCGACAGTGAAGGAACTCAATGGGTTTCCACGTTACTCTGTCAAAATTGTCAAAGTAAATGCAAAACTGGAATTCTTCAAAAGCCGTATTAAGAATCGTGAATATCCAAAATGGTTCTGGATAGCGCTACGTAGACATCATATATATCCTAGTTCGAAAACTCTTTAACGTCACACTAGAAACATCATTGATTCCATCAGTTCATGTATGTTCGAATTACAGAGAAACATATCACAGAGTTCGTCCACTCTTTTTGAATTATCAGCAAGCAACAGACAATCGTTTAATGAATATGTTACACCGATGTAGAACAAAAGAGCTGAAAATTTTAAATCGAACAATGAAAAAAACCTGGAACCCGTTGAATTCCAGAATAAATTATTGTAACAAATACTTTCCCAGTTGGTTACAGGTCAATTATAAAAATGTTTATTGCTTAGACAGAATCGTGATAGAGAATGGCAGAACTTTCAGTGGATTGTAGGCTAACGTGAAATGATTTGAAAATGTGATGTATTTATTACCTTGACTTTGAAGATGTTAGAAACCTTCACTGAAATGGAACTGTTCAGCCCTGAATTCAAATATCACAATGTCATAAGAGCATCAATAGTAGCATACTTAGTAGTAGAACATGGAACAGAATTTTTAGTGGGGACCTCAGCCACTGATGTAGTAATAGATATCAGCCAGGTTAACTTCGACGTTTAAAAAATTGAACTCAGCTTTACTTCTATCCAGTGTTGCACAACTAGTCAGATGCTGAAATTTCTCATTCAGAAACTTTATGCTGTACACTAAGGTTAAATTGTTTGTTTGTCCTACTTTTAAATGTACTCATCCGTAATTTGGCAATTCTGCCCAAATTCCGGCGTTGATAGTCCTATCAGTAAGTCAGTGATCACAGTAATAATAATCTCAGGACTGTACACAATATTTGTGCATTCATTTCCTAACTAGACTCGATCATTTAGTTTTTTTTAGTCTATACATCATTCATACTACTGAGTATTAATAAGTAGTATGGCTATATACTACAATCATTGGTTTCAACCTGTGTTAATGATACGAAATAAACTGGCTGATGATGACTAACAGTGGAATCCAGGACGCGTATTCCGGCCTACTTGAGACTTGTCTACCGGAGGTACCTGCATTCTCCAGTCAGAGGTGGTGTTCCCACTGAGGCTTGCACGCAGTACCCAGAGTTTCAAATAGCAAAGCTCTACCCACTACAGTACTTGAACTGAAGTACTCGGCCTCAGTGGGAACACCATCACCGACTGGGAAATGCAGGTATACCTAACTGAAGAGTCTCAAATAGGACGAAATACTCATCCTGGATTCCAATGCTAATCCTCATCTACCAATTTACTTCAAGTTAAATAATCAGACATTTTCAAGTCATTGCACAAGGAGCTGACAGGTCAACCTGAGGCCGACAACTTTAATCCAATCAATCAACGGGAATATCTAAATTGAATTAAATGTGCATTTTGATTGTGGTAATACTCTTGGCCTGGTTAGCCTACACTCCCTGGATATATTTCTGCTGAATCTTGTATGCTCTAAGTACTTTCACAATATTCTGTTTACTTTCAAGCGTTCTCTACTTCAAGCCTGGTTCATTTTGACTGAATCCTGTAGTTTGTCTTCTTCACAATCATTATTAAAAGTGATCTTGATGACAATAACTGCAGATACATAACGATTCTTGGATAATGCTTTATTATTTGTTACTGTTTTTTCTTATTATTCCTGTATCCTGAACTTCACGCATAACTTGATTCTTCAGTTTACATACCCAAAAAGCCACTTGATCATTTTCATTCCAGATTTTTTGGACGAAGTCTACAAAAGTAGTAGTGTAACAACAGAAGACAAGGGCCAGGCAACAGATCGTTTATTAAGGAAATCAACATATATTTATAGATTTTCATGTACATTATTATAGATTATTGTTAGTAGACAAACACAGTCTTCTGATTGGTTGTTTCTCACTGAAAGTTCATCTTTCATCTCTTTGTGGCTGTTTCTGAATCCACCTATACAAAATCTGCTGTGGTTGGTTGTTGAATCAGTCTTTGTCCATATTTTTCTAACGACCAATATTGGGGACATAAACATTGACGTAAAATACTGTCTACCAATTTTGCCTAATAGCCAGATCTCACCACTGTAGTATTACCAGCACTAGGATCAGTATTAGTTCTAGTATCAGGAATAGCAGAAGCACTAGTAGTAGAAGAATATGTAATAGTAATGACTGTTTTCCTTTTGTTACAACCTCTGTAGCTATCGAAACTGACTCATTGTGGTCTGAACTCAGAGAACTTATCTTTGCATCCAAAACTTCCCTGAGAGACGTACAATCACAAAACTCTCCAAAGACAGCAAAAAGACGATTATTTGTCGATAAATCTATATGGTTCTATACAATAGTAATAACAACATCAAAAACTCAAAATTACCTCGACAGTGCCGTTAGGCATCTTTACAATCAAATGAAATGAAAGTTTTAGTACAAGACAAGCACTGTAGAACAAAATTAGTTAACCAAAATCTAACTATATGAAATACCTCACAATCAAGTTAGGATGAAAACTCTGTTAGCAAGAATTACGCATCAACAATTCCCGCAGACAGTCCAAAGTCAGAATCACCTTTTTGACTCATTCAAATAAAATCACATCGGAAAACAACACATAGTCAATGGATTGAACAACCATAAAGGAAAGCACTAACACTAGATATCAAACATGAACAAAGACACATAATAAGAATCATGTCAATAGATGATATGCAAATTTCAGATTAGTGCTATAAAGTCTAGGAGAAAAATGAATAATAATTACAAAGTTAGCTGGAACATGCACATAAGTATAAGTATTGTCAAGTATTGGTTTGTAGGGATTTGACTGATTGGTTACAGGATCTCATCATGAGCTGATATTGGTTAAGGAACCATTAGAAAACCCGGGAGTACTGAACTGCTGTTCCGTCCTGGTCAGTATGCACCCAGCGGGGTTCAAACCCTGAACCTTCTGGTTACGAGGCGAACTTATAGACCATTAAGCCACTGGGACTCGATCCAATGGCCCATGTATTATGATTAGACCATTCAAGAAAGATTTTCCAAACAATTATTCCATTACACCTCAGTAATATAAAAGAAAGAAGGAAACTTGAGGTAACTCTAACCACTGCTTTACAAACTTTCAGCACAGAAAGTTTTATTGACTGTGTGTTTCCATCAGCCTGGAAATAATTTTGTTACAGAAAAGCAGTAAATATTGAACATATTGCTCAAACTTTCCATCACTGTCCTCTAAGTAGTGGATCCTTTGGTTCGTTAGTATAGTTATATAGTTCTCTCTGACTGATCAGTTGAAAGCAAATTTAAGAGGTCGGTTCGTAAATCTTGTCAGCTGATATCATACATTATTCTACTGGGTGGGTCATACACGTGACATAAATTATCATGAACCGATAGTCTATTGAATAGTTGAAGTTTTGCCATAGTTTTTAGCATAATATTTTTAAGCAAGAGATTAAATTTAGTGGATACAATATCTATTGATTGTTTTCACATGAGATGATCAAGGTTAGTCTTATCAGTCTATTTACCAATCAGCTGAAAGCTTGAGATTGAAAAACGTGAGAGTTCACCAAGAAAACAGACTCATATTTTCAAAGAAGTCTATTTAGAGTGAAGAGTCGGACAGGTCAGTACATCCACTTTTATAGCTCCACAAGAGGACCTTAGTTAAGTATCTCAGTTATAGAATAAAATGCATATGTTCAGAGGAATGCATTAAGGAAAAAATGCGTACACTGAAACTTACACTACAATAAAATGGATATCTAGGGAACTTTAAAAAAAGTATACGCTCGTAAGCAGAGACAGGGTAACTATGGAAAGCGTACATAAAAAAACTTTTGTATCTCAAATTATGAAGGGGACACTGCAGCTGAAATTCTCAAATGTCGACTTAATAGAACAGTGGAGCTGGTACTCAGTTCTTTAAATTAACCAGTACTCACACAACGAGTCAAGGATAAATTATTAAAGATGACCTCACCAGTGTGTATCTTTGAATTTAACTGATCGTGTAGAGCTAGTTACACTGGCCGTGAATGTGTGGTTGAGTAAACGGGGCGTAACCAAATGCATGAATAATGCCGTCTCAGCCCACTTGGTACATACTGGACACTTAATAAAACCAGAGTAAACTTTCCCAGTTACCTAACGCATTTCTGGTAATCTATCTAGAAGAATTCGACTACGTCTTCTACCAGTAATTGAAACGGTAGCAATCAATACCAGGGGGACTGGTCTTTGCAAATAGAAGAATTATATCTATCACCTGTGTTCAACTTGGCCTACAATAAGGTTAACAAATCCTCCATAAACATTGACACTTTCAATTCATATACCGGTCTTCCCTTTCTTTCTGTTTCCTTTGTTTCATTGACAAACGTTCACCTCACACCTTTCACGACCTCGTGACCTCTCTTAATATTTCTATTTCTAACTGAGGTTTACGCAAGACTTTTATAACTTGTTAGGATGTTTACACAATCCTGTTCGTTCCACTTCACTAAATTCATTATTACCTAATAATGGTTCACTAATGGTACTTCTAAGTTTACACCACACCATCATTGCTATTATTTCACCACCATCATTATCGTTATTTATCAGCACCTATGCAATTACGTCTAGTCTATCACATTTATTGGTTTATTTTTCTGTAGTATTCATACTATCTCACACACCACTGACTACACTCACCCTTGAAAACTGTGCTTTTCTTGTCTATGTATCAAAGCATACGCATCGCTGAATTATTTCATCTCATTTTACCTCATCTTCTCGTTGATATACAAGAAGGGAGACAAGTCTTCTTGTGATAATCACAGAGGGATTAGCTTGACTAATATAGTATCTAAAATCCTAGGCTCAATAATGCTGCGCAGACTAAGTGGTGCTCGCGAGGCACAAACACGAGAAAACCAGGCAGGTTTTAGGCCAGGAAGAGGGTGTATTGATCATATCTTCACCCTTCGACAGATTCTAGAACATAGGCATTCCTACCGGCGTCCGACAATCACTATATTTCTTGACCTAAAGGCGGCATTCGATTCTGTCGACCGAGAGGCACTCTGGCGATGTTTGGCTGTGAAGGGAATTCCGAGAAAATACATTGCACTGGTCAAGGCAATCTACTCGTACTCATGCAGCCAGGTGAGGGCCTATGGCGAGTTGTCATCTGAAGTGTTAGCGACTAGTGGCGTCCCTCAGGGATGTCCATTATCCCCATTCTTATTTAGCTTCATCATAGACGTACTAATGGACTTAACCCTAACACACTTCAGCGACTCAGGGATTGACTTGCTACCAGGCAATAATCTCGTTGACTTAGAATATGCAGACGATATAGTCCTTCTAGGCGAGGACGCCGACAAAACGCAGAGTCTACTGAACACCTTGAGCAACAATCTTCGTAGGTTTGGCATGCGATTCGCCCCTGTAAAATGTAAGATGATGCTGCAGGATTGGACTTCATTGACCCCTAGATTAGAAATAGGAAGTGAAGTGGTAGAACACGTTGACCGCTTCAATTACTTGGGAAGTACCATCAGCCCCAACGGGTTGATCTCCGACGAAATCTCAGCACGGATACAGAGGGCTAGTTTCGCATACGCCAGTTTACGCCGTCTCAGGCGTAGACGTGATATCCGACTATCGATCAAAGGGCGTGTGTACTACTCAACAGTCCGCTCCGTCCTCCTTTATGGCTGTGAGACATGGCCATTGAGAGCAGAAAACATGAAAAGATTATCTGTGTTCGATCATTGGTGTCTGCGTTCTATCTCCCGCGTGAAGTGGTGTAATAAGGTGAGCAATATGCAGGTTAGGCGTTGAATGCTAGGTAAGTAGGGGAAATCCGTCGACGAGACTGTGAAATTACATCGACTGAGATGGTTAGGGCATGTGTTACGTATGCCTAGTCATCGCCTTCCTTGACCTATGGGCAATGTTAGCTGATATAGGGTCAGGCTGGAAAATAGCTAGCGGCGGTCAAACCAAAACATGGCACCAGTCAATGAAATCCACAACAGTTAGTCTAAGCCACGTAGGAAGGTGTAGACTTCCTGGTTGGGGTCCTCGGGACGGTAAAACCAATGGTTGGAAACAGTTGGTGACATGGCTCAAAATCGTTCTCAGTGGCGCAGATGCATCCACTCCTTGTGACTTATGATTTCCAATTAAACTGTTTTGTTCTCCGTTATTCCTATACCTTTGTCTCACACCTCTGTTTACTGTCTATATTATTATGCATTTCTTCTACTTTCTTCTCTTGCTTTGTGTGCTACATGGAGGGAGTGTGGCGACTTGAACTGCCGCACATATGTGTAAAGTTCTATGTCAAAAACCGACCGACATCTTCTCGTTGACCGTGTACATTCTAAATGAAAAAGAAACCTAACTGACCATTATTCCATCCCATCTTATACTTGTTCCACAATACATCTTCTGATACAGTTCTAACCTACTTTCACTGCCTAATGTTTGCTAAAATTAATGGATTCATAATTTTAGAGCTTGAAGGAGAATTTATTGAAAACAATTTTTCGCTTGAATTGCTTTTGTTCTCAGTAAATGAAAATGAATTGAATGTGACAAAATTTCATAAAATAAACCTTCTATTTTTTTAACAAGTGTGAAAACGATGTATGAAGCGAATCTTTTAGGAATCCAAGACACTGTAATTCAGAAATGATGCTACATTACTCATCAAAGCATGAAATTCTTACTAACCTTCTCATGATTATCCCATCCTTTCATATCTCAGGCAGATCAAGTACCTACTATTTTACTCTAAAATGAGAGTATTAAGCAGCTGTTAGTTAACACACACAAAAAAATTGTAGTGATTTCACAGTGCATCTATTAACAAAGCTCTTTCAGCTTTAAATTAAAACAAATCATGAAGATATATTTTTATAATTTCTAGATTGTTCAACCGACAGTTCAACATACAAAATGGCCTTCAGAAGCACGTAAATTAATGTCTCAATCAAGTAGATGGGCAGAAAATAATCCCCTTGCATCTGCTCCTTCTCCACCTTTAAAAGAATCCAGTCAACCTATTGGAAAGAAAGGGAATACAAGTGGAAAAAATAAACGATCACAAAATCAATCATTAAAAGATAGTGAACCGTATGATTTTATGAATAAAATTGAAAATTACTGTGGTGGTGTTTTTATACATACAGAAGAATTAAATCATTGTTATGTACTAGTCAATGCAAATAAAGCTGAAGGATTTTGGATTAATCGTGATGGAGGCTTATTTTTATCCCCATCACTTAATCCATTCCTGTCTGTACGTGTCCCAAAACGTGTTTGTCCCACCCAAGAAAGAGCTATATTCAAAGTGAGTTTTAGTCTTACTTTTTCCCTCTAACTAAAATTAGTCAGGCTCTAAACCATTACTAGACACACTAGAACATAATTTATCTTTCACAGACAAATATTCATATCAAAACTGCTTCAAAGGTTGTTTACAGCAGATAACAGTTACTCACATATAAGTTCAATAAAGCTTGTTGGATGTCATACGAACTATTGAAGTCTTGGTGAAAAACATCATTTGATTAATTTGTTCTTTATGTTTTAATCATTAACATAGCAGCCATATTTTTGAATACGTTTCTTTGCTGTAGTAAATTTAAAACAAGCAACAACCGTGAACAAAAAGCAGTATTTAATGAATTCGTAAATGTCAGTTGGATACTCCACAAACCTTGTTATTTATATAAATTTTCTTGAGTTAAATACATACAAACAGATGAACATTGTGACAACAAGGAACCTGAGTGGTCTAGTGGATAACGCTTTGGCGTTTGAAACTATGGGCACTGGGTTTGAGCCTCGGTGGGAACATCATCACTCACTGTGTAGTGCAGGTACATCCAGATAACGAGTCTCAAACAGGACGATATGCGCATCATGGATTCCGCCGCTAGTCACCATACACCAATCAAATTCATTTGTTGTGTTTACGAGAAACATATCAGCTGCATAATGGGTTCGTCTAATGGCTTTCTCTAAACGAAATTTCATCATCATCCCCCATGAGGGCTCACTTCTTCTGAAGAAAAGTCTCTGATATAACTTTCTCTTTATAGACCTTTCCGAATAGCCATTTCTCACTCATTTCTCATTTCCCTCAAGAATCCCTCCTCATATTCTAGTTTGCTACTTCAATATGTCCTTCTTGCTCTATCAAATAATGTTCTGACTAGACTGCCTTTGTACTGGAGTGGTACAAAATATCCCGTCCAAGTTGTCTTTTTATGAATCTCTATAAATCTGAACAGCCCCATAACCACGTTTAAGCAGATCTACATCCAAGGAATATATAGTACCATTGTCTTCATGTTCCGCTATTAATTTTGTACAAGCATGACACGAATTAAATTCTTCTAACATTACCTTGGCTTCCACCTTATCTCCGCAGGCTATGAATATGTCACCCAAATACCGTAGGTATATGCCAGCTTTTGAAACACAATCATTTAAGGTAGTATATTCTAAAGTTGCCAAAAAGATATCTGTAAACAGGGGCCCTAATGGACTTCCCGTCACTATGCCATCCTTTGGAAAATACAGTTCGTCACTGTATGAAAACTGTACCCCTTTAGTATAGGTAAACAATAAATGTTTAAGGAAACGCTTCGGTATAGGCCAATCACTTATTACATCACATATAAAGTCAATCGTTTCGCTGACAGGGACATTCATGAAGAGTGAAATGACATCAAAGGACATCAAGTGCTTACCATAGCTATCCAGTTCAGCAATCTTTTGGGTAAATTGGAAAGAATCGGAGACGGTTTTATTTGAACAAGTGTACCTTCGGCTAAACAGGAATCCGATATCCTTTTGATGTGGTATTGTTCTCTGAGATGATTGATTTAGTTTCTTTACTTTCAGCTGTCCTCATGAACGAAATCTTCAGCGCCGAATTCAGTGTAACGTGAATTCTCTGTGAATAATGTAATTTTCAAAAGTTTATTTTCAGGGATTTGATTGATTTCAACTTCGATCACGAACTAAATTCAGTTGGAAAGTCACTGCACTCTATGCAGTACTAGGTGCATACTGCCGAAGAGTCCTAAAGAGGGATGAAGCCGACGTCTAGTACTCCCTGGCTTATAATAGTTCTCCAGCTTAAGTCCGTCCGTGATCAAAATTAAAACAAATAAGATTCCTGCAAACGAACAGTTGAAAATGAATCCATTGCTCACTATTGACTTATTACAGGATGAATATGCATTAATTTTTAGTCGGAAGTCGTGATCAGCGGGGTCTGTCAAGTTGGATGTGAGGACAGATACTTACCGTCAACGTTCGCTAACAGTCGCGCTATATCATGGACCACCAGATTCTCTGTCAGTGGCTGAATGGTATATGGGTTCACCCTACAATCTGAGTGCTTTGGGCTATGTATGCATACTTCTTAAGAGTTCTAGACAAGGACGAAATGGCAGTTCAGTACTCCCTGATCTACAATGACCTTCTGACTGAAGTTGATTTGTGATCGAAACTTGAAATGGTAAGATCATCTTTCTTGACTACCTTGGTTGTGTTCGGCTGTTAATTTGCAACCAAAGTCAACAAGAAAGGCAGTTATATCATTCATGAAGAATTTAAATAATCAAATGAATTTTTCATCATGAATCTAGTACTTTTTAAGACGTTCAGTAACCTGTATTAGACGTATATGCGAACAACCGATACTTCTTGATTCATGATATTAACACAGATGCGCTGTCAGCAAATAGTTGTTGAAATATTTGTAATTGTAAACAGACCCAAAAAACAACAAGTTTATCAAAACAAACTTAATAGAATGAATTTAGTAAAAGAATATTTATTCAGGGACTGAAGAATTTCTTAACACTTTTTGAAAGTAGAATCTTTTAAAATTACAATCTCAGTGATTAATGAAATACATGTTACGGGATAGTGCGAAGACCAGTTATTTTTGAATGAATTGCGTCAAAAGAAAACCACTATCAGAGGAAGAAATTCGAAGGAAGTCATTTCTTCCACTGGTCTAAGCAGAATCAATTCGACTACAGGTGGAACGGATGACGATGTCACTCTGAAATCAGTTTGGAAGTCTTCTGCACTCAGCATAAGGAACAAAATTTAGATCTTTAACACCAATACTTAGTCATTTCTCCAGTATGGGTCAGAAACTTGGCGTGTCACCTAAAATATCTCCAAAAGGCTGTCGACTTTTATAAAAAGGTACCTTCTCTGGCTCCTTAAAGAAGTTCAGATGGCCGGAAGGTATAACTAACAAGAAACTCTGGGAACGAACCATTCAAAAACCTATTGCTGAACAGATATGCCAAAGAAAATGTAGGCGGATTGGACACACACTGAGGAAAGCGTTGAGGGACACAGAGTGCCAGGTCATCGCTTGAGTGAAACCCAGATGGAAAAAGGTGAGTTGGGCGTCTGACGTTAACATGAAGAAGATGGTATGAGGAGGAAATGGAAGCTTACGGGCAGTTATGGAACCAGGCAGTTAAAGTGGACTGCAGAGATCAGGATGAAATAAAGATGTGCTCGAGAAGCCCTATGTTCCACTCGGAACCCAAGGGAATAATAATAATAATCAAAAGACAACATTACGAAAGATAAGGTATACAGTGGTGTCGAAAATTATTCCCAGTAAAGTCTAAATTTTTGATTGAACACTAGTCAGTAACTAGTGCAATGTGTCTAGTCCTATCTTCGGTGCAGACTGAATTCTGTCAGTCAAGCTTGCAATGTCGCCACCATGCTAGGTGGCTCGCCATTACGGTGCATTGTGAATTGTTGGTATAAGATGGTTGGAGGCAATCGGCAGGAAGCCTCGGACCTAGGTTTCGTGATAGTTGGCACTCATCAGCAAGGCGTATCTGCAACCTCGAAGGAACTCATGTCCCTTCTGAGATTCGAACCCGCATCACCCAATTCTGCAGTCAGAGACGTTACCACTGAGCTATTCAGGGTCGCGATTGACCTTCTGTAGGACTGTATTGGATATTTTTTATTGGACACTAGACACTAGCCTTGCTGATGAGTGCCAACTAGTACGAAACCTAGGTCCAAGGCTTCCTGTCGATTGCCTCCAACCATCTTATTTATACCAACAAAGTTTAAATTTGAACAAAGCAAGAACTACAGTTTTTGCAGAATAAAGTGGTGCCATCTTTTATTTCGTTGCCTTGTCGTCAGCTGCTTACAGACCAAAGACATTATTAAATATATCTACAAAAACAATTTTAACGTACTTGCACAGAGTTCATATTCAACAAAAATCAATCAATCGATCAATATATGCATACAGTAATAATATATACATATATATATATATATATATGTAATATTAAACACCATTCCGAACAATAATAATCATACACAATCATACACAAATTTGCTGAGTAGAATAAAAACATGTTATTGACGCACCTTTACCAGTTTTTATGAATTACATCCTGTCAATTTATTTTTAATTATATGTTTTACTTTCACTTCGTTTTCAAACTTTAAACTCGAATATGTTTCTTTTTCTTCATTTACTCCCTTCTTATTATCACATTATGCAATAAAATCAAAGACAATTGAAATACGGAGTAACTGCCTAAATTTAGCTTATCAGTTCGATGGTCTATTGAATGAAATTGAAGGTTGTTCAGATATATATGATTTACAGTTACAAGATATTATGTTGAAACGGCCAGCGACAATACGCTTACCTTTACCTCAGTGGTATATCGATAGACGTAATAAGCCTACAGAAAGTTTAGAGCAGGGCAGTGCAAATGATATTAATATGGTGTCAAATGCTCCTGTTCAATATCCAACAGCATCAGAAATGACGGTGCCTGTCCAAGATAAAGGATTAGTTATCCTATTTCAGGTAAATTTTTTTAGCTTTATTCGGGTATCATTTTAATGTCTAATAAAAGTAAAGTTCGCTTAAAAAGCAGAAATGGAGTCAAAGACAAATTCTAAAAATTAACTTGTTTTAACTAAATAGTGTAAGTAAAGTTCGACTGAAAGTGACCAACGCTTCCCGTTAAATAACCGTGGAAATTCTTAGTAGCCAATGAGACTAATGAAGTCTTTATAAAATGGATCTATGTCAGAAACGGTAGCCCCTACCAAAAATGAAGCATTTAAGTACAAAGGATTGCCCTCCAGTTATTCTTTTCTTCTTATGGCTTTTAAAAAAATTGTTTTATTCCTTTACTTTCCGAGTGAAACATCGAGCTTCAAGCGTGGGCTATGAAGTTTCAGTGGCAGCGGTGTCTTTTTACGGGGTGAGGTTAGCAGCCTTGCACTTAACCTTCCAATGTTTACTGGTCTTACTACAGGTTAAGCGACTTAGGAGTGCGTCGGCTAGGGACTAAACCTCAAACTACGTTCGTGGTGGATGATGATCATTCTGCCGCCAAGCTACTTTTTTATAGCACCACCATTTAAATACAGTTCAGCTGAAATATAAACACTTGCAACCGACAGTCAGATAGGTCGAGCCAATATGCCATCTATGCAATTCAAAGTTTCTAGCACTCTTGACAAAGTATTACATAATTTTATCAAAAATTACTTCTATTCTATTCACATTGCTACAACTAGCTAACATGATACCACAACGTTTACAGGTAGTAGTTAAGTTTAGTGTTTTGTTTTAAAAAGAGACAGCAGAATATTTTCTGTTAGATATTTCAAGTATTTTTAATTGATAGATTTTTACATATTAAGGGAACAGAATCTTTTTTCTCTATCGAACTGTTCACTTTATTGACTGCGCAGTAACAACCCATAAAAATATAATGATGCATTAGCTTACCAAATGGACTTGCTTAGTTGATAATTAGGATTACGGACACAACTCAATAATTCTTGAATGTTTTGAGTTTGATCATGGATTGGTATCAGTTACAGAACTACTGAAAATCAAGGAGTACTGTACAGATGTTTCAACTTTGTTTGGGACTCATCAATAGTACACGCCCACTGGGGTCCGAACCTAGAGCCTTCCAGTTACAAGGCAAACTCGCAGACCATTCAGTCACTGAGACTAACTGCAGGCTGAAGCTGACTGGAATACCAGTGAGAGATCGTGACCAGTTGGGTCCACCAGGTTGGGTGTAAGGATAAATATTCGCTGATGATATTTGTTGGTGTTCACGCTAAAAAGTCACGAGTGGTTAGAAACTGGAATTCACGGGCTTGGATCTCAGTGACTGAATGGTCAATGAACTTTCTATGTAACCCCAAGATACTGGGTTCGGAACCGACAGACTAACTCTTGGAAACTCATGAATGTATAATTTAATACAGACATCTTTCGATGAAAAGGGAAACAAACTGTTTCCGTCATTTTCATTTGGCTCCAAGATTGTCTACAAGATTTCACTTCCTACCTATATGATATCCCTAATGTCACCCTTGGATTTTCAAAACTTCGCTTCCAATTTTGGATTTCACTCTAAAAGCTAGTGTATGATGTTGTTCACGTACATCTTCAGTATATATCCAGTCCATGTCTATCTCATTCTGCAATAGGTTCTTGGTTGGCTCGTTGCCAGCATTTCTTGATGCAAATTCTTCCTGGCTATTCGATCATCAGTATACAGTCAAGGCATTTGTTTCTAAAAGTGTTAACTGAGAACTTTTAAAACGCATTTAATCTTAACCATCAAACTTGTTGTTGAATTGTGAAGTAAACTTGTTATGGTCTTTGTTTTTACAATGCCATTTTTAACCTATTTGTCAGTGGCATGTAAAATCAAATAGTCACTACTAAATGAATGCTTAAATTCGTTATTCATTTCTGCATCAAATCACGGTGATATAATTTAAGTTTTATTTATTAACTTGATATATGAGCTCTTTTCTGAGTAGATGTCTGAATTACACATCAATATAGAAATTTGAACAGAAGTAGATCATTTCAGGTTCATGAAGTCCATAATAAAGGAACAGGAACAGTAATATTACAGTATTTAAACACAGGTATGATGAGCAGATTAATTTAGAAAGTATTTGTGAAAATTTCAGAATCTGGAGGACAACAAGAATTAAGTGCACCTGTATCACTGTGAGTAACTTTCAGCTAAGTCCCAAATAACTTAGAAACCACTCCAGGCAACCTACATCTATTTTCTAGTTCCTAATAACTTTCTTATTGAACATAACTGAACTATTGCTATTTTGAATTAGATTTTGATGAATATACCTTCAGTTGTAAAAACAATTTACTAGTTTTTCCTTAACTAATTTTGTACCTGTGCTGAGATTATTTTTCAGCAGTCAGTCAGTCTTTTAGAGTTAATTTGAATTTTCAAATAACTGAAGTGGCGTAATGCCCAAATATGCATCAAATAATGTGTATACTGTATAGACGTTCACTTTGTCCAATTTAATGGAAGTGAATTTTGGAAGTTCAATGTGGATAGTGTAAAAACATTATTGGTTTAGATTTGTAGGTACCTTCGACCAGTCGTTCACGTTAAGTGGAAAAATGTTGTGAGAAATAGCATTTTTAAGTGAAAGATAAGTGGAAAAAGTGGGTCTGTGAGAATATGAGGTGTTTCGGATGAACGAAATTCAATGAAATAAGACTATCTAAAGACAACTGATAGTAGGGCTTAAAAATATTCACGATGACTCAGATGCATTTACCCCACGTTATCGTTTGTATTCTGTAGATAGTTATTCGTCATTACTTAACTATTCTCTCCCATGCATCTCTTTCTATTCTAGTCTAATTATTTTTCTCTTTTAGGTGAGATGTTTCAGAATGTGATACATTTGATTGATACACTTTTATGCAAAAATCTGGCTTGAGAGGGTATTGATTCCAACTAATTTTAGGAGAGTTTATTTACAGAAGATATATAACACTGAGCTTCTAAATTATAACACACTGAAGAACAGATGGACAGAGAAGGATAAGTAACAAGGAACACTGGCAAAGAACCGACCAACGGCCTACTATCTAACAAATATTCATAAGAAAATAAAGATGAACTGGTTGCACTCTGAGGTGAACATTGATCGATATCACGCGTTGGGTCCTCAAGTCAAACGCGCATAGGAAACGGCAAGTCTGGAGTGGCTCCAAGGGTGACATGGATGAGGTGATGTAAGGAGGAAATGAAGGTTTGTTGGCAGTCAAGGAGCCAACTCAAAAGGACTGCAGAGAACAAAGTGAAATGGCGATTTGCTGTTGAAACCCTACGTTCTACTCGGAACCCAAGAGAATAATAATAATTACCTATATACTTTGATTATTATTTAATGTAGCACGTTTGTCAGTTAAATATTGCAAACTATAAACAGGTAGAATAAATTTATATCACCTGTTCCCTTCACTTGATGTTTTCTGCTCGTCTAATTTATTTTAAGGACACCTGTTCACATATCGGTTCCCATTGTGGACGTTTCAGAGATGCTTAAGGATTAACGTAATGTTATTCGGTGGATAGTGATTATCAGTGAAGTTCATGGGACAGATTTCGTTCTATTTGAGATTCGTCTGCTGAGTATCGCGGGTACATCCAACTGACGAGTTCAAGATAAGACGAAATGCTCACCTTTCATCAAATAATGGCATATTTAATATTTGATTGTTTTCTAAGCTGAGATATACTTTTGCAAATCAAATTACAGACGTACCAAATAAAAAATTTATTGTTTCACATTTTTCGCATCTATTTTTTTAAATATTATCTAATAGCACTCTGGACATTTAAAACAAATTGTCTGGCAGACAGCTAATGTTGAAGAGTTAAAAGAAGAAATGACTCGACGTAAATCACGTATTCGTGCTAGTCGTAAAGATAATCTGAATTCATCAAGATGTCGGGTAGACAGTATATTTATACGTTTAGGCTGGCCAAATCTATTGGTTGGTATAAGAGGTGGACCATGGCAAGCTGTTAAACAACCAGTGTATCATACAAAAAAGACTATTTGCTTTGATGCAACAGTTTTAGGAAGGTAATGTGTAATTTTTCCCACATATATATATCCTTTATATTCCTTTACGTTCTCAGTGGAACATAAGGCTTCAAGCTAGAAGCTTGGAGTTTCTGTAGCAGTGGTGCTAATTAATTCAGGATGGGGTTGCTAGCCTCATGCCCAACTTTCCTTCTTTACCAGTCTTTTTACTGGTTTCCCGAGATAAAGGAGTGCGTCGGCCGGGGATCGAACCCCGGACCACCTACGTGGTCGGTGAACACTACTACTGTACCACCGACGCACATATTTATACATATTCCACAAATCTTTGCTAAAAAGGTTTTGATCATAATTAATAACTTTCTACTGAGTAATTTTGTAAGGTGAAGTCAATGCCAGTTTTCATGGTTTCACATTGTCCAGTCTTGTTCGTTTTTTTCTGTCTACCTTTTTATCTGTTCATTTCTAATTCGATTTAATTTGAAAAAGCTTATCAATATGTAAAAAGACACAAAGAGATCTTAAAGTGACTTTTTTCAACACACAAAACATACTCTAGGTACCGTGAACAATGCACCATACACTAACAAGTCATCAACATAATTGTTTCTACAGAATTAATAATTATCACATAATTACTATGTGTTTTTACTGATAAGCTTGAACATTGAAAAGCAGACATATATGCTGGTTTAATCACTATCAGCGATGAAAACTTTTAGACATTTTTAATACCTATGCTTGTGTGAGTTGTGTGACTAGTTATTTTAGTCAAACACATGAGAGAAAAAATATTTTCATTCACGCTACATACATTAATAATTATTCTAATCAAGCATGAAATAGTTTATTTTATCACATCATTGAATAGCAAGCATATTACAACTCACTTGGAATAAAGCAACTATTAAATACAACTTCCGGAATAATTTATCAGCTTTTAACAAAATATATTTACAGACTGATAATGCTAATTTATTAGAATTTTGTCCGAGAAATAGTCACACTTTATAACTATTTGATTGAAGAAAATCAGTAACACAAGTGAATCTGGCAAAATGAACTAACAGCTAAGTAAATGAATATTTTCGGTCATTAGAACCTGATGTAGAATGCATAGATCCACTTGTTCTAGTTCTATACCTATAGAGAGGGAGATGTAAAGAAGGATGTCTGTTAACCAACTGGAAACACTATTAATACTATTAATATTATTTGGGAAGTTGCATCAGCCAATGCCAGCGGCTTGATGGCTGACGAAATCTCGGTATGGATACAGAAGGCTCGTTTCACATATGCCAGTTTACGCCGTCTCTGTAATAGACGTAATATCCTGCTGGCTGTCGACCAAAGGGTGTGTGTACTGCTCAGCAGTCCGCTCCGTCCTCATTTATGGCTCTCAGTGAGATATAGCTATAGATAGAGTGGAATACATGAAAAGGCTAGCTGTCTCTGATCATTGGTGCCTGATTTATATCTTTCGTGTGAAGTAGTATAGTAGGGTAAGCAATACTGAAGTTAGGCGTCGAGTTCTGGGTAAGGAGGGGAAATCAAATGACGAGGATGTGAAGCTGCATCGACTGAAATGGTTGGGACACGTGTTACGCATGTCTAGCCTAGTCATCGCCTTCGTCAACCGATAGTCAATGTTAGCTGACATAGGGTCAGGTTGGGAAAGAGCCAGTGGTGGTCAAACCAAAACATGGCATCAGTCAATTAAACCCACAATAATTAGTTTAAGCCACGTAGGAAGGTGTAGACTTCCTGGTTGGGGTCCTCAGGACGATAAACATCAATGGCTGGAGACAGTCAATGATATGGCTCAAAATCGTTCTCAATGGCGCAAATGCATCCACTCCTTGTGATTTATAACTTCCAATGAAACTATACTGTTGTTCGATATTACTATTCTTTTTTGCCTCATATCTCTGTTTACTGTCTCTATTTTGCGTTTTTTTTACTTTCTTCTCTGGTTTTGTGTGCTGAGGGAAGTGTGGCGACTCGAACTGCTGCACATCGGTGCAAAGTTCTGTGTTGAAACCAGTCAGCCAGTCAGTCATCAGCAAAGCCCCATAGGAGCCTAGCTAAAATAGTACATCATATTGCCAGTTTTTAAGTACCTGGTTGAGTTGAACGATAAACCTAATCTCTTCTCACAGGGTACAGCGTAGCTGATTATTTTTTCCATTTGCAGCCTGGTGAATGAGATTCACTTCCTCTTGGTTGAAAAGTACTAATGGTCTCCCATTCTACTCTTACTTCTGTATCCCTTTATTAGTTCTTCTTTGTCGTATCATTTCACTACCATTCATAAACCTTGGAGTTTCAGTTATTCTTTACTCAGTAGCTGAGTAAACTGTCATGTACACGAATCAGTGAATTACTGATTGATTTATAAAATTAAATAATTAAATTAAAACCCATTATTTCTGAACATTTTTATGTTACTTTCCGTATATTTGTATTTTACTTTTCTATGGGAAAAGATTTGTTCTTATCGGAGCTCGAGATTCAGAACGTACAGCAAGCAGTAAACTAGCCCACTTAATGACACGTATTGAATCGCTAGCTTGTGCTCCACCTGGTGCATTACTTATCTGTTTACAATTAGCTCCAAATAATTGGCGAATCATGGCCAATGTCTATCCTGAAGAACAACTGACTCAAGCAATTCAGAGACAAATTCAGGCTGGTTTCATTCCATTGGTTCAAGTAAGCATAAAACTGTCTATCTAATTCATAAAATATATAAATGTAAAATCTGATCTGTGAAGTGTAGTGTAGTTTCTGGGGTATTACAGTCTCATCAACTAATTTATATTCCTCGAATGTACACGGGCTAAATATATCTATATATATATATATATATATATATATATATATATATATAATTTTCACTGAACTATTGCAATTCCTTTTTGTCTATTCAAAAACTAATCACGCCTAGGCAAAATCAAGACAAAGTTTCAAAGAATTACTTCGATACACCTAAAAGCCTTGGATGACTGAAACTAAATTTGCCAAAAATAACAGGGAGTAACAAAACAGGGCATCTCATGAAAACAGAGGAAACTTCAGACACCAAATACTGTATTATTTGTTCACTCTCTCTCCATATATATACATACATATATACAGTCTGCATAGTGTATATTGTGTTTGTGCATACTTCTTTTCCTATTTGTATGTCGATTTCTAATTGGCTGTTTTACTGAGCAACTGCTAATCTCTTTCAGCAATCAATACTAGCCACCGGTTTTTCTTTTCAATATAGCTATCACTGTCTGGACTAAAAGATAAGCTAGTGAAGAATGATTATGTATATGCGTCTTTTCCAAAAATGAGAACATCAATAAATTAAGAGAGTTATTTACCAACAAGACAACACTTATTCAACGAGTAGAAAAATAAGTCGTGATGTGAAACAAAGCAAGAAACGATAGTTTAAATTTCACGTAGAAAAGCAGACTAATAATAATGATAATAATAATATAACCAATTTAAAGCCTTCCAATACTTTCTAAAAATTTTATTGGCCAGTTACAAATAAGTTCATTCACAAGTAAATTCTTCAGGCATCTTTTATAACCAAAGCTAGCTCTTTCGTGAGATTTCGTTGTCAGTCTGTTATCCCTTAGCCTCTAAAACTATCACAATAAAAGCCAGCTACAAAATTGAAATTTGCAAATCAGTTGGTGACTTGCCTCCTGGTGAATTTTCATAATAGTTTCCATTGGAAACCCTATTACTCAAGAAATTCCATAATAGATAAGTCACATTCTACCACAGTGTACAGGTTCTACGTACACTTACGGTAATCAAGAAAGTAAACATAATTGCAGAAAACCATATACTGCTGATTGGTTGATTGAGATGAGCACTTGTATACCACTGACATTAACTAGTGGTACCTGCTGGCCGGAATGAAGTGCTCTAAACACTCTACCGAGTAGATCACATATTATGGTCTGAATAATTCTAGTTTCCCAAAGGAAATTGTAGTGAAATTTCACATTGAACTTTGTGATTTGCAAACAGTGAATTAATTTGTTGAGTTACAAACTTGACTCAATGATATACCAGTTCACCGAAGTAACTAGTCTGAATTTGAGTGTGAATTTGAACAAAGCAACAACTACAGTTTTAGCAGAACAAAACGGTACCATCTTTTATTTCGTTACCTTCTCGTCAGCTGCTTACAGAGCAAAGACATTATTAAATGTATCTACAAAAACAATTTTAACATACTTGCACGGAGTTCATTTTAAACAAAAATCAATCGATCAATATACGCATAAACTAATAATATATACATATATATATATGCAATATTAAACACAATTCCGAGCAATAATAATCATACACAATGAAAACTTTTCAGTATCTCGCATTCGGATGAAAAATATCCAGTTATCAGGGCAAAGAAAGACTGATAACCGCTTCTTTCTGAACACACAAATCAGGTTTTAGGCGCTTGATGGAAATGGCTTCAGCAAACTTAAGGAGAGTTGAACTCTTTTGCTTATTGATTTTATTATTTTATTTTGATTTGATTTACAGCTTGATTCCACGCCGTATTTTCAGTACAAGTGTGGAATTTTCAGCATGGATATCGGTAGCCCAAATTCAGGCCGACCATAGATATCGGGTGTGCGCCGGCGGGGGGTCGAACCCCGGACCATGTGCATGGTCGGCGAGAGTCCTAACCACTGTGCCACCGACGCACGACTTTTCGATGTCCACCTCATGACCCGTGTCAAGAAGATACCTGGCAATGGCACTGCCTAAAGCATTTGTTCCCAGTTATAGACATAAGCTTTTTGGTACATGTTCAGAAAATCGTAGATATGCTCTTCTTTCCGTTCTTCCAATGTAACTGCTCTCGCAGATACATGTAAATTTGTATAATTTGAATTTGAGTGGTTTGGACTGATTCAGCTCTTTGAACTGATTTAAAATGGATACACTGCTGATGACCTGGACATCAAATAAGAGAAACGGATGTCTGGTGTTTAGATCACTCTGATTTGGCTAACAAGCTCTACTAGTTGGTACAAGTGGTAAACATCTACTCATCCCAATCAAAAGTAAAATAGCTCTAGGGTAAAATAAGTCTCCATCTCTGAATATTCATTTTTCATGAATAATGCACCTTAGTAAATATATACACTGCTTCTTAAATGAAGGATTTGATACCTCTGATACTAATCTCGTTTTAAAAGTAGTCGTATATATATATACAGTTCAGTTTAAGACTAGGAATTTATTTATTCTTACTTATTTTATTCCAACATTTCAATGTCTAATTTTATTTTACAGTTTGGCCCAGGAGTAGTAAGAAAAGCTCTTGGTCTAAATAATGCTGTCATACAAGCATTAGAGCATAATTATTCTGCTGAAACTGGAGTAAGAAGATTGCCTTAATACTTTACTTTAACTAACTTTCATTATTATTATTTTTTTTCTTTTTAAATTTTATCTTTGAAATAATAAACTTTGATTGGGCACTAGGTAGAAAGTAAGTGGAATCATGCGTCTAGTCCTTCGTTTGATACAAACTCGATTCTCTCAGTCAATTCTGCAATGTGGCCATCATACGAGATGACTCGCCATTACGATGCATTCTGGATTGTTGTTATTCGATGGTTGGAGGTAATCAGCAGGAAGCTTTGTCGAGACCTAAATTTCATGTTTATTGGTACTCAGCAGTCAGCAAGGTGTATCTTCAATCTTGGTGGAACTCATTTCCCTTCTGAGATTCGAACTCGTATTATCCAGTGCTATAGTCATAGATATTATCACTGAGCTTTTCGGACTGGCAATTGACCTCATGCAGGACTGTTATGGATACTCTGATTGAACGATGGGTAGTGAATGACTAATGGTATATGCCTAGTTCGTCATTTGATGTAGACTGGATTCTATCAATGAACTTCGCACTGTGGCCACTATATTAGGTGGCTTGCCATTTATGGTAGGTGATAAATGATTACAACATTAAGTTCATTTCTTTTCAGCTGAAGAAGAAGAATCACAACAAAATAATAGAGGACCAATGACAAATCAAAAATTATTACTATTGTCATTAATAAAGAATGTTAACCGACCAGTAGTTGTACACCTACAAATAAATCAGCAGATGATGATAGGTGAATAGAATTTTTCAAATGTAGTTTAAAATGTCACCAATTAATACACAATTTTAAAATCTCTTTTAAGATTAATCAAAATATGCCAGCTTTAGTTGACTTTGAGAAAATAACCCGTGATGTCTTGTAGTGTGTGTGTGTTGAAGAAGATAAATGGTTTACACTTCTTTAATACAACAACAAGCCTATTAATTTCTTCGGTTGGTCACTTTCAACCTTGTTACAATAATTTTGGTTTGGAAATCCACAGTAAACAGGTGTGTTTATGATTTTAAAATTGAAAAGTCGCTGAAAGCTCTCAAGTAAAAATAATAATTAATGCGTATTGATAAATAATTTCAAAAGGAAATAGACTTAGTGTTTTTTTAATAAAAATAAACACGATTAATAATAAGAGGATGCATCAGTGATTCTTCTTCGGTAGAATACTAGCCAACCATGGGCGTGGTTCGGAGTTCGATTCCCTACCGACGTACTGACTGGTCTTAGCTGATAGTAAGGCTCGTAGACAGGGAAAGTTGGGCATCAGGCTGGTAAGCCACCTAGTAAAAACCAACACCACTGCTACCGAAACTTCAAAGCACAAGCTTGAAGCTCTGTGTTCCACTCGAAATGCACAAGAATAAGAAAAATAAACAGCGATAACTGAAGGTGAAATGAGAGTTCATGTCGTAGCAGGAATAGAACCAGTGGCTGTCAGACTCCTGACTGCTTAAGATAACCAACTACTTCTGTGGTCAATATTTATTACAGTCATCACTGGCACTGCTCAGCTTTCCTGCGATTCGATGTCTGCTTCTCACTACTCCCACTCCTTTCATCAAATATAATAATGCTGAACTAGAAGGAAAAAGGGCACTTACTGACTGATATGGATACTCTCTTGAATAGTCTTTAATCAACAGGCTACTATTGGGTTATCTAGCTCAGTTGGTGGAAACCCAGTCTAGTAATTTGAAAGCCTCTGGTTAAGATGCAACTGCGAACGAGATTACAAGGTCACTTATTTCTCATTCATTAAATCGTTAGTATTCTGCCAAACTAAGACCATCTCAAGTGGTCCCCCTATCAATAATATATATATATATATATGTAGGATGAGAACCCATAACTCTGTAACTGATCAATTTTACTTTCCAAAAAATTATGTGCATATTAGGAACTTAGCTTTAAAATTACCAGACTCATTCCTTAAATAAAAATTACATAACTCTTAAGATAATCACTTCTCATAAAAAACGCATAAAAATATCCCATTCAGAAATGGATGACTACTAGCCTATATATGTGAATTAAAACAAAACTTTGATCGATTGAGGCATTTCCCCCTACCTGTTTTACACCCGTGTGACATCTCTGTATAAAGGGGAAGATATTGAAAAATATCCGTCCTCGACCATAGTTATCTGCGTGTAGATTATCGCGTTAGGCAGCATAGTACGATCAGTAACACAATGGAGTCTGATGTTGAGTATGAGCTGTGTAGAGATACTGAATCGATGAGGTTGTGATGTCCCATCCACTTGGATAACTAAGACATGTGTTGCACATTCAAGTCCATCAACTTAATTGGTGAAACGGTGTTGATGGAAATAGCATTTAGTCAGAAGAAAGTGATGGTCACCTGAAAACACGTCATCATTCTATGCTGTTTCAGAAAAAAAAATTTCTAAATAGCATGTAATATTTCTTTCTGATAATATACTTTAATGACTGATGTATTATAAACACGCAGATGACGTTAAGAATGGAAAACTTACTGTTGTTTTCAGTTATAACAGTAGACTCTCTAGAATCAATATGCTTTACTTGACAATTAATGTTTATACGAGTTGATCACGGATTGATATCAGTTGGAGAACCATTGAAAACCGAAGAGTACTAGGCAGCTGTTTCATCCTGGTCTGGGAGTCATCATCAGTACGCACCCACTGCCAGGGTTCAAACCCAGGACCTTCCGGTTGCAAGGCAAGTCTGTATACCATTCAGGCACTGAGACCCGATTCAGTGGCCAGCCCATGAATTCTAACTTCTACCAATTTGTGATTCAGCGCGACCACCAACCAATTTCATAGGTGGGACATCCATTCTCACACTTGACTAGATGGACCTCACCGATCACGACTTCTCACTAGAACTCCAGGAAACTCAGTCCTATAGCAAGTCATTAGCAAGCATCAGATTAATTTTCAATAGTTGGTAAAAACAAATCTAATCCTTACAAACCAACTATTGAAAATTCATGTTTAGATAAAAGTACTTTTCTAATTAATCAATACACTGAACTATATAAACAGCTTCACACATTACATTCACACAACAGATGGCCTAAATATCTTATGATGAAGCAGAATCTAATTATGTGTTATTTAGGACAAGTAAAGAATATATCCTGTGCGAACATGTTACTCCTTTCTAGTGAATTAAATATCACTGGACAGATGATATAGTCGTCATTTGTTTATGGTTTTTAGTTTATCTCTAGCTTAAAGCAGTAGGGCTGGGTGAGGATATAGGCTATCGTCAATCAAGCACCTCGTGATAGCCTTTATCGTCACCCGTAGAGACAATTTTAACATAATCTGGATAAAAAAACAGTTTCAATTTAATACACAACTAACGCATATAATTTGAACCATATTACTTTGATAAATATCTTTTGAGTGATTCGTAACTTCTGTCTGCCATAATTTGTATTTTGATCCAGTTATATTTTAGCATTTTAGTTTTCAGAATACATTCTTATATTAATTCATTTCAATTGATTATATATTAATGGAAGGTACCCAAAGAAAGACGTTATCGTTTAACTGGACATGATATTAATCACGTACTAATGTTCAACGGTTTGTGCTTAGAATTACGATTTCAAGGTGATATACAAATCAAATCAGTTAGCCAATTTGAAACTTATACAAATTGTATTCGTACTAAAGATAAAGAGATTAAAATGGTGAATTCACCTCCGCTTGGACTACTTGCAAGTGATAAAGGTCACCGTTATTCATTTTCAGAAACTAATTTGGATTTGCAATTCAATTTACAACCAAGGTCTAGTTTGTTTACATTTGAGAAGAAAGAAGATAAGATAACACAAACAACACTTTTAAGTAAACATGCTAGAATCCAGTTGCATGAATTACTGTCAGATACATCGTGTATCGTTGAAATTGAGCCTGTTTTGTCTACAGAAGAAAAGTATTCTGAACGCAGTACTATAAAGTTAGTTAGTCAATCATATTTCCTTTTTTCATGATCACTTTAGAAAATGACATAATTGTGTATTCATTTTGAAATAGTAGGAGATTTTTAGCTCAGATATGAATGACCTTGATGTAATTGTGTTCTCTGAGTTAAGCGGTTTAATTATGAAGTATTCACTGTCATTCTAGACAACGCTTTTGAGTATTGATGTGATCTTTGCAAGACAATGAAAGCTTCACAATTAAACCACCGAACTCAATACTAGAAGGATTCTTTGAATATTTATCAAAAGGAATTTATATAAATTGGTATAATCAAACTCTAAATTATCTATAATTTCAACAGTTCTTGACTGATTGGTATTTAAAAATTTTAGTGAAAACTGTACAACTGAGATGATTACATATGTCTGCCGTTACAGTGTGTCGGTGGCATAGCGGTTAGGACGCTCGCCGACCATTCACATGGTCCGGGGTTCGATCCTTCATCTCGCTAAACCAGAAATAAAAGCTAGTAAAGAGGAAAGGTTGGGCATGGAGCTAGCAACCCCATCCCGTAAAACTAAACACTGCTACAGAAACTTCTAGCTTGAAGCCCTAATTTTGTGCGTCGGTGGCACAGTGGTTAGGACTCTCACTGACCATGCACATGGCTTGGATTTCGAACCCCTGCCGACGCACACCTGATATCTATGGTCGGCCTGCAAAATTTGGGCTACCGATATCAAATGCTGAAAATTCCATACCTGTACCAAGAAATGCGGTGTGAAATCAAGCTGTAATCAAAAAAAAATCTACCGAATAAGTTATTATTCTTTGTCAAGTATTTGTTTTGTAGGGATTTTGTTTGATTGCATGGAGGATTTCATTATGAGTGGACATCAGTTAGAGAACCACTGGAAAACCTGCAGGGATTACTGGACAGCTGTTTCGTCCCAGTTTGGGACGCTTCAGAAGTACTTTCTTTCTCAAAAGAGCATCAATCACTTCAGTGTGATTAAAGTGGCTAAGAGTCATATCGCTAACCTAAAGACAAAATCATCATCTCTGAGAAACTGCAATACGTACCATGCAATTTCTAAGCAGTTCACAGATTATCGAATCATCTAACGGTACACAATTTAAGCAAGCAAATACTTGTTTTTGGTAAATTCTTATCAGGCTTCACTATTACATAATAAAGTGCTAGTCATATATATTTGAAATAGTGTGGATTAACAGAACCCAAATGTAATCAAGTAGAATGTAAGTAGAATAATAAGTAAACATGCAACTATAACACAGTATGACATTGATAATAAAGTTAACAGTACAAATAAACGAAATATTTACAGTTATTTCGTGTAACTAGAGCAGATAACTATTCTACTTTGGAGTTGAAGGCCATGGGCGAGAGCAGGATTGAACAAACTTTTTCTAATTACAGAGAATGTTTTGAAATTTCTTTATGGCAACTGCCTCAGCTATGCTTAGCAACTGAAGATGTACAAACTTAAATAACTGAGGTAGCACCTTGTATCGAATCATAAAGACTGACCTTGTCATCCATATCCTTGAGTTTTTGTTTTTATTCCTTTGAGTTCCCAGTGGATCATGGGGCTTCAAACTTTAGCTTTGAAGTTTCAGTAGCAGTGGTATCTTTACAGGGTGGGGTTGCTAGCCACACGCACAACCTTCCTTCTTTTTTCAGCATTGTAAATGCCTAAGGGAGGTAAAGGTGTACATCGGCCAGGACTGGAATTCCGGACCAAGTGCACAGTCGACCAGTGCTCTACCGCTGTACCACCGGTGCACCATACATATCTTCACTGTGTACCAATATAGAACTTATCAATAACTTTAAGACTGCTTTGCCTAGCCAGGTTAGATAATGATCGTTCTACTCAAGTACTGTCTCCACAAGAACAGTTAAACTTACAAATGCATATTGAAATGGCCAGACTCGGTAGCTTATCCTTCATCAGGGTTGGAATTATACAACCAGTGGTGAATTTTAAATACAGTGTTGAGGCAAAAACTATTTTAGCTATTATTTTTGGGAGTTTCGATGCCAGTAATTCAGTGACTGCGTCTCCTTGAAACGGTTAATTCATAAATATACGTCTCTTCTGAACAGTTTGCAGTCATTTCTCTCAATGTATTCTCATTCTGAGAACTTTGACAAATTTTTCTGGATATCTGTCCCCATATATGATAAGTTCTTCACTTTCTCTATTTCATCTTCAAGAGTTTCAGTTATGCGGATTTTTCCAGCATAAAACAGCAAGGTACTGTTGAGATCGTGTCTGTATGCAAGAAGAACAAACGACCTGAAGTAGGTGGATGGGTCATCCCATGATTTTTCCCGGAAAACACCCCGCCTTATACTGCCATCTTGCCTTGTTGTTAGCAGAACATCAAGAAATGATAAAGGATTATCTTTCTTTGTTTCGTATGTCTGTCTACCCATAAAGTGTCTACTACTAACACTGATTCTATCTAAAAATTTCGAAATAGCAAAGGTATAACTTTCCACAGAAATATGCAAGATACAGTTTCACACAAATGAAGTCCAAGAAAATCATTTTTAAAGGCATCAGCTATCAGAATGTAATAACAGCTCGAACGATCCATCTAAGCATCGTGAAATATTATTATTATTTATCCGTCTTCTATTAACCGTTCCCTCTTAATATGTGTAAAGAACTTAGGCACTATGGTAGTATGTAATTTCATATCAGTTTGTATATTAGATATATCGATTAGTACAGTATTTAAGAGAAGCTTGGAAACCTTATAATTACCCTGATAAATTAATCAGGAAGTATGTAGGGAAATGTAAAAATAAAATCAATAGTTATGATAGTAATACCGATAGTAATAATAATGATAATAAGCACTAGATGTATGGCAAACATATACAGAATCATGACAATGCCAACAATAGGGAATATAAATCATCAGTACTACTTCCATACAAATAAAGAGCCTCAGAAAACCTACATAGAATTTTTAACCATGCAAGAATAAAAGTGGTATTCAAACCTATAAACTCATTTGGAAACAAACTATGTCGGTTAAAGGATCATGTGCAGCCAATTAAACAAAACAATTTGGTTTATCTAATACCTTACTTGAATGATTGTCAGGTCAGATACATAGGTCAAGGTAGTAGAACGGGTAGAGTCAGACCAGCAGGGCATAGAAACCTAGCAAAATCTAGATAAGTTGACCCTAATAAGATGAGAAATCTGGAAAATATTTCAGCTACACCACTCACTACAGGCAGTTACACACAACGATACAATAGGATGATGACAGTCTTAAAATCCAACATAACAGGATGGAGGGAGAGCTTCACAACGGAAGCTTTATTTTGTGAATCAACTGAGAATAACAACAATACTGTTTCACTGTATGATATATCTAATAAACAAATTAATATTCAATCACTCGTCGGTGCCACAGTGGTTAGGATGCTCACCGACCATGCACATGGTCCGGGATTTGATTCCTGGTCGATGCACACCTGATATCAATAGGCAGTCTGCAAAATTTGGGCTACCGATATCACATGGTGAAAATTCCATACTTCTACCAAAATACTATGTGGAATCAAGCTGTAATAAAAATAAACAATCTAACATGTTACTCCATGAAATATTTGTGGTTTACTATTACCTTATCATTGCTAATATTTCATTAAAGGTAAGTACGATTTCTGTTTATATAACATTATGATATCAAGATGCTGCTTGAACACTCCGCTTTTAAAACCTACATCAAACAAAACAGTAGACTTGACTAGTTAAAATCTATTACTCAAAGCTAAGGATGGTAAGGGATTTTCACAAATACAATTATAGAAACTATTTTTTATTAGCTTGGAAGAACTATTATCCCTAATAACGACCACTTACAGTGTTGAGAGATAATAATACGAAGAGGAATGAGAAGGTACTACAAAAGGTAACACTCTACAGGTGTTTTCGTCAGAAGGAGAGCCCCCTAACAAATTCATCGAATGGGCAACAAGTAGAATAATTCACAGAATATTTCATTCATGTTATGGCATTATTTATTTGATTTGTCTATTGTGAAGCCTTAGTTAGTCAATATAACAACTTCAAGTTTAAACAAAGGAAAACATTTAAGGTATTTACATCTTAAAGTCATGTCTTCCTAGATTGGTATTTTCACACTTGACAAAATTAAAACAACTTTATTGATACTAGAAAGCTGGAGGTAATCGGCAGGAAGCCTTGCACCTAGCACCCATCAGCTAGGCGCATTTGAAACCTTGAAGGAACTCATGTCCATTCTGAGATTCAAACTCTTGTCACCCGTTGCTGCAGTCAGAGATGTTACCACTGAGCTATTCAGCTTCGCGATTGATCTCCTGTAGGACTGTAGTGGGTACTTTGACTGGACACTAGTAAATAGTGTGACGTGTCTAGTCATTTGTTTGGTGCAGACTGAATTCTATCAGTCAGGTTTGCAATGTGGCCACCATTCTAGGCAGCTCGCCATCACGGTGCACATTGATTTGATGATATTAGATATTTGGAGGCAATCAGCAGGAAGCCTTGGACCTAGGTTTCGTGCTAGTTGGCAATCACCAGTCAGCAAGGCGTATATGCAACCTTGAAGGAATGGTAGCCACATCGCAAACCTGACTGATAGAATTCAGTCTGCATCAAACAAAGGACTAAACACGTCACACTACTTACTAGTGTCCAATCTAAGACAACTTTACTTAGAAATACACTACTTGTTTAATACTCAGTAGACAAGATTATCTTTACTACTAAAGAGAAGTTCAGTTGTCTCTAGAATGAATAGTGTACTTCACAGCAGTCAGCATTCTTGTTTTTAATTGATTAAAGATAACCATTCGAAGGGTTTCCAGAGACCGATTAGTGAACAAAGAACAAATACTCTTCTCGACAACAACTTCATCAGAATCTACAGTTACATTCATCTAAATTAATTGAAGAATTATTGATCATGACAACATTATTATGTTCAGTTACATTGAGTCGGTAATATCGATAGACTACAGTTGAAAAGTATCTGTTAGTGATAAAATGCATCGATATAGTACTGAGCTGCATATTAGCGGGCCAGGGTAGCAATATTGACTGGACCTGTTTCTTTTGCACTGTGACCTCCAATTGTTTTAGGCGAATTGCAATGGCTTCTTCTGTTTATAGTATTCAGAATCTAGAGGCTTTTGGTAATTTATTCAACAGTCAATACAAGGTAGAAATATACTTTTCTTTACTAGCTTTGTGGTCTGTTTGGGCGACCTGATAGAATATATATCTGACGCCCTGGAAGCAGAACTGGATCTTCTGAAATAAACTTTTATCCAAAATTGGTACCCATCAAAATTCATCGACAAGAAAACCAGACCAAAAGTGCAGAGGAACTAGATATTCCAAAAAATAAACTTCATATAGACTTGAATTTCAAGGGAGATTTATTTTGCGATATTTTTACAAAAAGAATTTCATCATCTTTGAAAAGAACATTCTTCGCAGCAATGCTAAGAGTAGTGTTCTCCAGTCTTTTACTGGTCTGTGGAAGCTTTAAGGACAAGACTTCTCATCGGACCACTTCTATGTGCATATATCATTTCATCTGTTGCTGTGGAGCTAGATGCATTGGTCGTTCAATGCCTGTCCTGTCCAACTGGGTTCAAGAAAACTATGCCGCATAACTGCAAAAAGGTAGTAGTGGCTCTATTAGGAGTGTCATATTCAAACACCTTGTCAACGCCGGTCATTCCATTTCAACAAATGCCTCCTTCAAAGTGATCTACAAAGTGAAGAACAACCTACCAAAGGCAATACGCCTTCTTCTCCTTTGTATTTCTGAGACCTTAACCATTCAGTTGGAAAAACCAGAGTTATGTATACAAAAGAAAATCATTCAACTACTTTTGCTATCGTGGTAACCATCATGTTGATTTGTGCTGACTTGATTTTTGTGTGTTTGCTTTTGTGACTCCTCATAACTCTTGTATTTTTTTAGAACTCTCACATAGTTCCATATTATCCTTTGTTTCTATGTGCATCCTAATCACAACTCACTCATTAAATTATTCATCTTATTACTCGACTTTGGTACATTTATTAAACTTCTTTTATGCATTGACTAACATTAACAACTATGTTTTTATTGACAACTCATCACCACCATCCTCTTATTAGTCTTAACCCCCCCCCCTAGTTACAAAATGATTATTCATCACATCTTCATAAATATTCTAATGACGTAAACAACAACCCCAACTAATTTTTATTGTTCTTTGACAAACCTAATATACAAACACGTACAGAAATATTTATATATAATTGCGAGTGTGCAGCTGAGTGAATGAATTCACCGAAAACCAACTCTCCACTAAATTAGGTGTTTTGTCTTCATCATTATAGAACTGATGGTGGTTTCCACTATACTTTTTTGTAGCCACACTAACAGGTGTACCCAAGCACGAAAAGTTGAGTTCCTACAGCAGAGCCAATATAACCGGCTCCAAAGGAGCAGTTGAGCTGACAGGTACACTGAGAAGTGGCTAGCCCATGTGCTTCGTCTTTCAGTTTCAGAACAACAACATGTCATGTGGAAAATATGAGCTACAGCTTGCCGGAATTGGACATTCTGTGATTGACTTTCTCAGTTTCTTGGTCATTATTTCACTTGGTACATCATCTTTGCATTGTAGTCGCATATATAGGCGCATCCTGTTAACAGATAAAGAAGCGTTCATCACTACACAAATAGTCAAGGGAGAGATAAAGAATTCTTATTTACTTGCTTACAACACAAGCCATACAATTCGTTTAAAACAATTGGAGGTCACAGTGCAAAAGAAACAGGTCCAGTCAATATTGCTACCCTGGCCCGCTAATATGCAGCTCAGTACTATATCGATGCATTTTATCACTAACAGATACTTTTCAACTGTAGTCTATCGATATTACCGACTCAATGTAACTGAACATAATAATGTTGTCATGATCAATAATTCTTCAATTAATTTAGATGAATGTAACTGTAGATTCTGATGAAGTTGTTGTCGAGAAGAGTATTTGTTCTTTGTTCACTAATCGGTCTCTGGAAACCCTTCGAATGGTTATCTTTAATCAATTAAAAACAAGAATGCTGACTGCTGTGAAGTACACTATTCATTCTAGAGATAACTGAACTTCTCTTTAGTAGTAAAGATAATCTTGTCTACTGAGTATTAAACAAGTAGTGTATTTCTAAGTAAAGTTGTCTTAGATTGGACACTAGTAAGTAGTGTGACGTGTTTAGTCCTTTGTTTGATGCAGACTGAATTCTATCAGTCAGGTTTGCGATGTGGCTACCATTCCTTCAAGGTTGCATATACGCCTTGCTGACTGGTGATTGCCAACTAGCATGAAACCGAAGTCGAAGGCTTCCTACCGATTGCCTCCAACTATCTAATATTATCAAATCAATGTGCACCGTGATGGCGAGCTACCTAGAATGGTGGACACATTGCGAACCTGACTGATAGCATTCAGTCTGCACCAAAGAGAGGACTAGACATGTCACACTAGTTACTAGTGTCCAGTCAAAGTACCCACTACAGTCCTACAGGAGGTCAGTCGCGATCCCGAACAGCTCAGTCGAAACATATGTGACTGAAGCAATGGGTGACGTGGGTTCGAATCTCAGAAGGGACACGAGTTCCTTCAAGGTTTTAGATACGCCTTGCTGATGTGTACCAGCTAGCATGAGACCTAGGTGCAAGGCTTCCTGCCGATTACCTCTAGCTATCTGGTATCAATAAAGTTGTTTTAATTTTATGAAGTGTGAAAATACCGAACTAGGAAGGCATGACTTTAAGATGTAAATACCTAAAATGTTTTTAAGTTCAGAATAATAGAGACTTTTAAAGCATAGTTAATAATGGATACTGTTTAATAGTGATGAAGGCTTAGCATGAATAATATATTAAGGTTAGGCTTATAGCAGTAGACGTAGAAATTAGGTCAATCGATGAGATTTCGACAGTTTTCTTTATTCTGCTGAGTCATACATAAGTTACACACCAATCAATGAGATACTTTTCGCATAGTTTAAGATTTTTTCTACTCACTAAATGAGTACATATATATATATATATATATATATAAATCTTCATTTTAGAGCACAGTATTTGTCAGACTTATTAAAAAAGCCAACTCCTCAAGTACATGGACCGAATGATGAATCTGAATCTGAATCTGATAGTGAAGACGACGAATATGATGAAGACCTTATTTCCACCAGACGATTTTCAAATTATGCAGAGAGAACTCCTACATCTGATGATGGAAAAGAGCCAGAGGAATCATTTACTGACGGAAAACCGAAAGATCGATCTTACTCGCCTACACATCTTAATGAAGATTTATTTAGTCGTTTGGAGAGTATGATAGAGAGTGGCAAGATAATTAGTAAGTATATCACTGCAAACTTTATTATATTAATCGATTGTTCTTTATAGAGAAAAAAAGTTGGATGACGTCTAACCAGACAAAAAGCAGGTTAAGGTATAAACGAGATTGATCTATAAATAAGACTTCGTAAACAATATGAAGGCAAAAAAGATAGCCAAATGAAATCCAGTGGCTTAACCTGCATCCTTTGATCATTCCCTCTGAAGAAATGTGTGTTTTTAATCACTGAAATTACCGCAAAATATTATAGACAGTATTCATCTATAATTAAACTTGGAATCCTCTTTTTGTAAAATATTCTGTGACCTTTTGATAATTGTGTAGTATAACTACTTTCTTCGAAATGAAACCGTGCAGATGATAAGTGTGTTTTCATTAAATGAAGAATTTTTATAATTTCATTCATAGTCTAAGGGTAAAGTTTGAGCATTGCTGTAGAATATAATGCTATTTTAGATAAATTTATTTAATATGACGGTGGTAGACTACTGACTCTTCATCTAACAATTTGGAATGTCCACTTTCTTCCACCTGTTCTCACAAATTCCTAGTACTTCTCTTCCGTATCTTCTCATTTCTTCTGCAGTCTGAGCAACCATCCCAGCTTCAAAAATTGTATGGACATTCTATGTCCAACTCAAATGGGATACGACAAGTTAGGCGTCCGAGGATGATATGAAGAAAATCATGTGAGGAGGTAATGAGAGCTGACTGGTAATCCTAGGGCCAGCCTAAAAAAAGACTGAAGAGAATACAGAACAGTACAGATGGGATGCTCAAGCCCTATGTTCCACTCGGAAACCAAGAGAATAATCATATGATATAATTTACAGTCAAACAATATTAGTAACTGGATGATATTTTGATGCATGTACTTTCATGGAATCGTCACAGTAGGGTGGCACAAGGTAAAAATAGCCGGAAAGAAAGGAGTTTATTACCGATTCTGTATTTATGAAATAAAAATCAAACTTGTGGGATCAAAATGACGCAATAACTTCCTCTGGTGTATTGAGAATCGCAATGAAAAACAGGAAGACGTAAGGATATATAATGCAAGTTTGAAAGTTGTGTCAATACACTGATATGATTATGAACAACGAATTGTGCTTCAAACGTCGTCCGGCTATTAATACTGTGTCATCGAGTGTTATATATATCAGATAAATTTATCTAATATGGAATAATTACACTAGTTTGAGCAAAGGAAATTCCATGGTCGAAGTCTAAAATTACACTTTGAAAAAAGGGTCGCAAGTAAATCTTACCAGCATATTTATAATATACATAACTTACTGAGAATGAAAAATTTAGAAAAGTACAAGTTTTATGTCACAAAGATTTTATAAACTGTTTTACGCTAGAATTATGTGGGGAGAAGCGTGTACAAATGTTAACACGAACAAAAACACCCAATACCGCAATTAGAGATAATATAATTTAGCCTTAGATGCTGTAGTTCTTCTTCTATCGAAGTGTATTTGAAATACTGATTAGTTATTGAGAGGTGAGTAATGTCAAAATATGGTAGTTACATTGTAGATCAAATTTAAAAAGAACACACTTGATTAGGTCGTAGAAGATATTAATTGCTTTCGAGTAACCAGTAAGTCTGTCTAAATTGCTGCTGGTGCTGCCGCTGTGGCTACAGACAATCCTTCTATACCTGGCAAAACTCTTTGACAACGTCTCAGAAATGATAAAAATTCAATCTCTTTGTTTAAATATATCTCCTTGTAAAGTCTTCTTGTTAACAAGTTGACAGAGCAATGAGTGTGGAGCATTTAAAATTTTCTGTGTAACGTATCATCCGAATAAAATATTATTATTATTATGAACGGTTTCAGGCTAGGTGAATTTCAAGTCTCCTTACATATATGTTTGATGAAATACGCCATTATTTTATTGTTTATAATTGTCCTAAGTTTAGGTAAAGTAGAAAACTATGAAAAATATATGTAGCAGTATATCTAACTTTTGTTTTTATTTTATCAATAAAACAGGATCTAGTGAATTCATTACGAAGATACATGAATTATATCATGTAGGGAATATCGAGGTTTGGTTAATCCCACCGGATAACATGTCACAAGTTGAATCAAAAGAAGACGATGAAGACAAAGATACAGAAGATGTAAACCTAGAAATTCTAAATCTTAAAATGCCTAATTACATACCTAATTTAAAATATGGAGGTTATGGAGAAAATACATTTCAAATCACAGGATATCCCACTCCACCTACATCACCTAATAATGTAGTAACACCTAGATTATCTCAAATACATGAAGTGAAAATTAATCTTGAACCCAATTTACCGGAGAATCAAGATTCACATAATATAATTCGTTTGAATACTGTTGCTGGTATGGAAACTGCTCGAGGTAAACCTCCAACTGGTGTTATAATGTCTGACTTTCCATCTAATCCTGAAGCACCATTGGCAACCTATAATGTAAGTTGTTGAGGTAATTTCGATAGTTCAGGTTGAGATCTCCTATCTTTTTTGTGTGTTTTGAAGTACTGATTTCCTATACCAAGTGAATCTCTTACCTTATGAACGATTTTCATAGTTCTCTTATTCCCTATAAAACATGTTCAACTTATTTACGAAGTGTGTTATAGGCATTCAGTGACTCACTGACATGACAAGGTAAAACACTACCCAAAAGTGCACTATTCTAAGACACTATGCTTTTGAAAATCACCCACACAATGTGGAAAAAAGAAATTTAATAAGACTTCAGTGAAAGAAGATGCTGTTACGACAGAATAATTAGACAAAGATGTGTAATCTCTTCAGAATATCCAAAATGATTGAATACATTCGCGTCATTATAAATGATTTCCAGCCATACGACCGACCCTTTCAAAATATTGATTTTTCTGACGTTGAAATCCCTAGATAGAAAGTTCTCACTGCCCTACGTCGATCAAACTGACGGTCGATGTCTTCATAGACTGGTTCTATGTTTTCATCTGACTATCACTACGTCTGTTCCAACTATGTTTCAATTTTGAAATAATAGAGAAGATTTGTAGCTCAGGTGGATAATTTGCAATTAGTAGTGTTCTCTGAGCTGGTTGTTGCGGAGCTCTCATCGTCCTTCTGGACAATATCTTCAGAGCAATTTTTAGCAAAAAGTGAACTGATTTAAATTTTCAATGAGTGATAGAATTGCGTCTCCTGGTATACATATGTATTGATCATTTTTTTATTGACTTGGATTTTAAACTTTCTCGTCACATGATTTAATTTTTTTTAGTTGATAGATTTAGTCTTTATTAACATGTTTGTTAATCGCATATTCCTCTGAGTACCAGGCCTCTAGGAATTCTTTGGCATTTTTGGTCTTTCCTTTCTTTAAAATTTCGACACTATCCCAATCACACTGATGTGCATAAATGTCTGTATGCATTGATATGAAAGAATAAATATCATGTCTTTTCACAGCCGATTTGTGTTTCTGGATTCTGATTCGAATGGAACGCCCACTTTGACCAATGTAATGCTTGTTGCAGTTCATACAAGTTATTATGTAAATGGTATTAATTTTATCTTTTTTTCTGTTGGATCTTTCGGTTTGCACAATATTGAATTAAGTGATTGGACTGGCTTGTGTGCTATATCTATTTCAAACGGTTTCAATATTCTAGCTGTTATTTCAGAGATATTTTTTATATATGGTAGGATGAATTTTCTTGTAGTCTTTGATGATGGTTTCTTGTTGGTGTTATGACTCGATTTTAAACACTTTTTGATGAAATTGTGCGGATATCCATTCTTTTTGAAGACAGTTAATAGGTATTTTTCTTCCATTCTTTTCAACGCTGGAGTGCTACAGTGTATTTGAACTCTTTTAAACAATGTCTGCATACAGTTTCTTTTGTGGGTAATTGGGTTATTGCTACTATAGTTGAGTATTTGATCTGTGTGCGTTGATTTTCTACATACTTGTGTTTCTGAATTTCCTGTGTTAGTTCTCCTGATTAAGTTTCAATTCACCTAACATTGCTTGTCGTCAGAGGCTATGCGTCTGCATACACAACACGTAGCCGATTGACATTAATCGATGGAAGTTCACAGTTTCATCGATTGTCTTCTCCTATTTACCTTACACTCTGTAGGTAAACTCAATTTTTTCTTCGCATTCGTTTCCATTTAATATGAGTGATTGAAAGAAGACACCTATAGTTCAGAATCGCTGATCTTTTTATACATTCCATTTTCGAATTTAGTGTCTAACAACCGTCAAGTAATACATACCTTTAACCAGTGAGTTTAAGAACTAGTTACTAAGATAAATGTTGACGGAAGAAACTTCAACGAACGAATTCATCAAAAGTCAGTGTGATATATTAATGCATTCCATCAATTCATTTTCTGAAAACAAGATTTTTAACATTTCTTCGAATTAAGAAAGGTGTACAGAAAGTCTTAACTAATGATTCAAAAATTTGTGTCAGTTCGCTAACGAGTGAAGAACTAGAGACTTGTAGACTGGTTCAAATCAGTCAGCTTGCCGCTTACGCCTTTGAAAGAAAGATAAAGCTTTACAATTCTTAATAATCAATAATTATCTGTATTAAGACAATGATATTTTGATTTTCTTAAGATAATTTTCATACAGTTATCATTCAGCTACTGGGATCCTTTCCATTGCAACTTCAAGGACTGGTCAGGAGCTGACATCAATTATGGAATCATTGGAAAACGTGGCAGTACTGAGTCGCTGTTTCATCCTATTTAGGGACTCATCGGCAATAATCACTCACTGGGGTTTGAACTCAGGACCTCCCGGTTGCCAGGCGAGCTTGTAGACCATTCAGCCACTGGAACTAGACCCAATGGTCCATGGAAGAAGTTGGAATTCATGGACCATTTGGTCGGATACCAGTGGCTGAATGGTCTATGAGCTCGCCTGGTAACCGGAAGGTTCTAAGTTCAAACCCCAGTGAGTGCGTACTGCCGATGAGTCCCTTACTAGAATGAAACAGTTGTCCAGTACTTTCTGGCTTTCAGTGGTTCGCCAACTGAAATCACTCCATTGCCAAACTTGAAATGAATCAAATCCCTTCAAACTAACTTATGAAAATATCGATATCAGGTTACATTCAGTTTTTAGTCAATTTTTCACTAATCAGCGCACACTAGCCATACTCCGTGACATTTTCTTCAGTATCCAGTTAAATTTCTTTTTCACAGAATTTAATAAACCAGACAAGTGTGTACCAGTAATTCATCACTTGTTATTTATCTTTAAATTAAGCAGATGTGTATTATTCATTTCAGACAAATCAAAACCCTTTGGCCTAGATAAGAAAAAGAACACACAGTTTTCAGTACAATGTTGGTTATTTGATGTATGAAACATAACAGGTGTAATGTGATATTAGATTTACCACGTTGAAATAGACAGCAGTCAGAAAATTTTCGTGGATAAAGTCACACAGTTAAAATCGATTTCTATGGTGGTTAATTATTACGAGATGGACTAGTTTATACTAAAATTGTTTACATGTGATTACTGACTTCACTAAGGCCTAATTCAACTAACTTCCAAACTTAAATTTTAAATTATTTCATGATCTCTAACTAATCTAATAGAATTCATGGGCCATTGGATGGGGTTCCAGTGGCTGAATGGTCTACGAACTCGCCTGATAACCGGGAGGTCCTAAGTTCAAACTCCAATGAGTGATTATTACCGATGAGTCCCTAAATAGGATAAAACAGCTATCCAGTACTCCCGTGTTTTCCAGTGGTCAGCTCATGATGAAATCCCTTGACTAATTTAATAGAGTTACATTCCCAATGAAGGTAGTCGGTCAGTTGAAATTTATTTCTCAACAGTGATTTTTGAGAATTGTTAACTTTATGGTAAGGTTTTACGATTGACACATAAAGAATTGTGCTTTGCAATGTAGTGCTATGTGTAGGATTACGCATAGTGAAAGTAACTTTCAATACAATCTACTGTATAAGGCATAAATCGAAAATGTGATATTATTCTCTAATTAGAAAGAAAAATTCGAAAGTTGTATACATTACTTCATCAATCCATCTTTTATGAAGTGATGATAAATGGATTCGAAGGCTAAATCATTGCACTCACATCATTTGACCGTTTAAACTACATTGGACGATGTGGAACTCTACTTTGCCATGTATTGGTTGGACGGACACATATGAAATGAATAAAACTTGTTGACTATATTAGATACGATGCTCAGCTTGTAATCAGAACCATTTGTATCATCAACTACTAATGGAATAAAGTCATCAACAGATTCTTCAATTTAATCTGAGCAAATAATTCTATTAAAATCTAGTACATCAACAGTTCAGTGGTAAGTAGAATGCCTACCAGCCACAAAGGTATGTTTGGGTTCCATTATCGACCAACACACTCCTAAACCTAGCATAATTTACTAGTTGGGAAGCTTAAGCGTAAAGTACTAAGTAACATTAACCATAAGAAATGACTGCATAAACATACCTTCGAATCAACTGAGTGAAAATGATTTAAATGTGAAACTGCATTAACAGTCTGATGGGTACCTAGAGCAAAGACCGGTGAGTGAAAGTATAGAAAAGTTCTCTATCTCAAACGACTGTAGTCGTGAGTTGAAATAAATGAATTCTGGTCAACAAATGCAATAAGAAAATGAAATTCATAAGACCTTGAAAGCAAAGAAAAAGGATTATTTCCACTCTTTCCTCTAAATTACCGTTTCTTTTTTCCTCAATTTATTATTTATTTCTCTTTCTAATTATTTCAGGTGATGATTGATCCTGATATATTTATTACCTATTTGAAAGCTTTAACATCTAAACCTAAAAGATTAATGACCACTGAAAGTACAGGTGAACGTTTTAACAAAATGAGTAGAAGCAGTTCTTTCGCAACTCGAAGAAAATCTGCTAAAGCTTTTCGTTCTGATGATCCAAGTCCACCAAGAAGACCTACTTAATACCAACCAATACTCCTCTTAATAACACTTATCTTCAAATACTAATGCTTTAAGTGAGTTATTTTAACAAAATAAAAAAGGTTATATATATATATATATATCACTTTCTAGCAGGCTTTAGTTTCTCTATTATTATTATTATTATTATTATTGCCTTGGGTGCCTGGTGGAACATAGGACTTCAAAAGCATATCTGCATTTTGTCCTGTTCTCAATAGTCTTCTTTAACTGTTTAGCCCCGTGGTTGCCCATAAGCTCTAATCTCCACCTCATAAGATCTTTTCTGTATCAGCCTTAAACCCGCGCTCAACTCGCCGTCTTACACCAGGGTTCCACCCGAGATTCTACCAAGCACTCGATACCATTCGACGATCTCCACAGAGTGTGTCCACTCAATTTTCATTTTCTTCAGAATATTTGTTGAGCAACTGGTTCTACATTGGTTGGTTCCCAGAGTTGCTTACTGCCAATTTCTTCTAGCCATGTGATCCTCTGTATGGAACGAAGGCAGGTGTTAATAAATGTCTGCAGTTTATTCGAGATGCTTTTCAAGTTTGTGACCCATATAGAAGAAGTAACTTAAAATTGGTGTGAAAATTCTGAATTTTGATCTTCATGCGTATTGCAGAAAATCTCTAAACTGATTCCGCCTGTAGTTGAACCAGTTCTGTTCCGACAAGTGATCTCTTTCAAATTTTTCCCGTTGACAGTGATTGGTGCTTTATTGTTGTTGTTGTCGGTTGGTTATCTTCTCACCCACAATAAACAAACCATAAATATTTTTCTAATCACAAAATTCTACTTTTGTTCATTAGGTTTCTATAGTTTGGTTTGTAAGGGTTAGTTATGTTTTTACGAGTTGATCACGGATTGATATCAGTTAGAGAACCATTGAAAACCAGGGAATACTGGACAGCTGATGTTTCATCCTAGTTTGGGAATCATCGGCAGTACGCATCCGCTGGGATTCGAACCCAGGACCTTCCGGTTACAAGGTAAGCTCGTATGCCATCCAGCCATTGGGACCCGATTCAGTTTTAAGTTATTTGTGATAATAGCTCATGTAGTAAATAAAATTTTATTCTAAATAATTTCAAATAAGCAAGAAAATGAGCTAATAATGTAGTATTTCTCAACATTGAAAGGAGAAAGGGAAATATATTCAAAGCATTTTTATTCTGAATGACAACTGTCAAATGAAATAGTTGAATAAACTGCACTTCACATGATATTACTGTTATGATTATATTACTTTCCTTTGATTGAACACTAGGTAGGAAGTATTTGGTGTCATGCACGTAGTTCTTTGTTTGTTACAGATTGAATTCTGTCAGTCAGGTTTGCAATGTGGTCACCATACTATTTGGTCCGCCAACACTGTGCACTCCGGGCTGTTGTTATTAGATGATGACTGAAGGTAATCGATAAGAAACCTTGCTTGACCTAGGTTTCGCGCTTGTTGGCACTCACCACTCAGCAAGGTGCATCTTCACTCTTGAAAGAATTCATGCCCTCTCTGAGATTTGAACTCGTGTCACCCAGTGTTGCAGTTAGAGATGTTACCACTAAGCTATTCGGGCCTACATATATTTGTATTATTGACTGAAATTAGCATATAAAAACCTGTATTTTAGGAGGCAGTGGAAATGTAAGATAACTCAGATCTATTTATCATAATTTTAAACAATTTTAATCGGTTTAATACACCATCACTCATTTCTTTCACATTATTTTTGTTCACCCTTGGTATATAAGGGTATGTTACTAGGCTGTGTAAATCAATAAATTATAATAACTGTGTCCAATTTATAGTTCACTAACATGGCTAGTTTAATCCTGTTTACACTTGCTTCTGTTCACTCTAGTACTGAGTCATAGCAACAACAACAATATCTGAAGTGCTGCTAGGCTGTATAAATATAAAATTGCAAATGGACTTGAATTCGTGTGAATAACTTAGATACATGTTGGATACAATCAACTGAAAAGTGATGATTTAAAAATTCAATTAACAATCGTACATTTTATGAAGCAGCTGTAACCAACAGAATAAAAAATATATCATGTTTATTATTTCTTAATCGTCTGAATTTATGTCAACAGTTACTGAGGTGAGTCTGTGGAACATTCAATGACTAAGACAAAATCTAGTGTCCCCTGAATTCTAATTTCCGTCATTTCGCGGTATATATATATATATATATATGAACATAGACAAGACGTAGGTTATGAAAATAACCAACCAACCAACAACAACAGCAGCAGCAACATCCAGCGCCAATCACCATCAACGGGAGGAATTTGAAAGGGAGTTACTTCATTCACTTATCTAGGGAGCATTGTATCAACTACAGGAGGAACGGACGAGGATGTCAAATCGAGAATCGGGAAGGCGAGAAACACATTTATCAACCTAAAACCAATCTGGAAATCTTCGTCACTCAGCCTGTATCAACAACAAAATTCGGATTTTCAATACAAACGTCAAGTCAGTCAGTTCTTCTATACGGATCAGAAACTTGGTGGGTAACAAAGAATATTTCCAACAGCCTGTTGCAGACCTTTATCAACAACTGTCTTCGCTCTATACTGAAGATCAGATGGCCGGAAAGAATCACCAACAAGAAACTATGGGAACAAACAAAACAAGAACCAATCGCTTAACACATATGCAGGAGAAAGTGGAGATGGATTGGACACTCGCTGAGGAGGCCGTTGGGTGACATTGCGCGTCAGGCCCTCGAGTGGAACCCGAAAGTGAAACGGCGAGTGGGACGTCCAAGGGTGACATGGAGGAGATCGTGTGAAGAGGAGTCGAAACAGTATGGACTAACATGGGTGCAAGTGAAAAGTACAACAGAAGACAGAAGCAAATGGAGACGTGTAGTTGAAGCCCTATGTTCCACTAGGAACCCAAGGGAACAATAATAATATAATAATATATATACTGTCATCCTCAGTGCAGTCATGGGCGCTTAATGTTGACGAAACCCAAACCAGAACGAAACAGTTGTACAGTATTACTCCCTCGTTTTCAGTGGTCCTCTAATGGATATCAGTCCACGATCTAGCTTGAAAACAATCAAATCACTTCAAACCAATACTTAAAAATTAATCTAAGTCTGACCAATGAGTGACTACAAGAAGAAGTTTCCTGAAGTTCTAGTCAGAAGTCGTGAGTAGTGGAGTCTACCAAGTTGAATTTTGAGAACAAATACATGTTGATAACATTTGCTGGTAGTGGTATTATGTATCACAAATTGGCAGAAGTCAAAATGCAAAAGCCATTGAATTTCGTCTTAGTCGTTGAATGTTAAGCATATTCGCTTCATAACCTGAAAGTCCTAGGTACAATCTTCGGTGGGGTCATACATGCGCACTGCTAAACAGCACCAAACTAAAACATACTAGCTGTCCATTACTCCTTGGCTTTCACTGGTCTTCTGACTGACGTCACTTTGAGATTTAACTTGAAACTTATTTCCATAATTATAGTTACAATTATATTATATTGACGTATAAAAGAGTTAGATTTACTAAAATTCTAAAATTCAATAAACAACTTATATCAATAGAATTGTCTGTCAAGTAAAGTCAATCTATTTTTCACCTAGGTTGATGAAATATCATGATGACAATGAGGAAAGAAATGCTAACTAAAACATTGTGTGCAATATTTTCAACATATGGAACTACCACATCATAAAATAGACGATAAGAAATGCAAAGTTAATAGCGATGCAAATAAATGATGATGGTTGCAAAATCCACACCAACACAATTCAAAGTTACCATTTGGTGATCAAATAAATGAATTACAATGTTTTTTTTGGATACTACAATGTTACTGATTCTTTGAATGGACTTAAAAAACAACCCTGAAAATTACAGACAGTTTGTTTTTATTCGGTTTTAAATCTAGTAAACAAAGATTATTGAAAAAACGTTTGTCATTTTAACAAACAATAAACATTTGCCTATGTGAATGGATTTATTCCATATTTATTTGTATACATCAAGACGGAATGATTTCAGAAGCATATTCTTCTACTTTGAATTCATAATTCTCTAAATGTTTCTTTTTTTCCTATTCATTTATCTAATTAATATATTGGGGTGGTAGATTTCTTAATTTGAAGTAGTGCTTTGTTGATTTGACTACCTGATATGACTAAATATTCAAATTGTCAATTATAAGTATTTCAGAAGCGGCACAGAAGACAGGACTTCAGGTGAACACAGAAAAGAAAGAGGTGATGAATACAAGGGAGAAACCTTAACGAAGTTACTTCTTTCACTTATCTAGGCAACATTGCTTCAACTACAGTCGGCTGGATGGATGAAGATGTCAGAGGCACGATCTGAAAAACAAGACAGACTTCCATTGATCTGAAATCAGTTTTGGAATCTGCTGCATTCAGGATAAAGTACAAAATTCGGATTTTCAACACTGATGTCAAGTCAGTCAGTGCTTCATTATGATTCACAGGCTTGGCGCACGTGTCACCAGAAGCATTTTCAACAGGCTTCTACAGACTTTCATTAATAACAGCCTTCGCTCTATAATGAAGATCAGATGGCCAAAATGGATAACCAACAAGGAACCCTGGTAGTGCAGTGAACCAACCAAGAACCTCTTGCCTAACAAATATGCCACATGAAACGGCGATGGATAGGATACACTCTGAGGAGACCACTGAATGACATCGCAAGCCAGGCCATCGCTCAGGTGGAACGCAAATGAGAAACAATGAGTTGGATGTCTGACGATAACATGGAAGAGATCGTGTGAAGAGGAGATGAGAAGTTATGAGCTATTATGGAGCCAACTTAAGAGGACTGACGAGAACAGGATGAAATGGAGATGTGCTGTTGAGACCTGATGTCCCACACGGAACCTAACAACACAACAGGCATTTCAGTCAAAAATATTTTGCTTACGCCTGTCTATGAAAGTGAACCTATCTGCGAATAAAATATTGAAGTATTCCTACAGAAAATGTTACTCACTTATCTTTGATAAAAACAGTAAAGCGGATGGTAAAAAATAATACTACAGTTAGAACATTTGAAACGAAGAGATGTTAAAGGAAACTAAATCGTGAGAAGTAATTTTAAGCACTCAGACTACAAGTGTATGTAATTAGTTGTGGTTACAGGGATAACATTAACAGCTAACCCACTGTGGGGTAAAGAGACCGCATGGATGACATAAGCCACGTACAAAATGATATGCACAACAAGATGCATTCTAGGAAACAAGCACAAAGAAGAATGAAGTGTAGTTAATGAGTGTTAACAGAGAACTGCCGATAATGAATTGCAACAAAGGCTGAGTTTCACAACCAGTTGGCAATAATAAGCATTCATGCTTGACTACGGATGAGCAAAGGCATAAAGGACATGGTACGAAATATAAATATCTGGTGTTCTGAACAGCTGTTTCGCCCCAGTGTGGGACTATCTCGTGATATGCACCCACTGGGGCTCGAACCCAGAGCCTTCTAATCCCAAGGCGAACTAGTAGACCGCTCAGCCACTGAAACCCATCCCAGTTAGGTCTCTAGTCATTGCATAACAACTTCTGCAATTACTCCTGATATGGATGATTTCAACGGGCTTCCTGATATCGGTTTACATAGTTGGTTACTGAATTGAAAGTATTTTATAAGTAACTAGTCTATGAGCATCATTCAACTTGAACTTGTTTTTGCGTGATCACAGAGATTTCATCATCATTAACTAATTATTGCATTATAATGTCACCAAATCAGCCTTGAATCAAATGACCACATACCGTATCCGAAAACCCTTTAATAACAGTTGCTCTATTTTTTACGCTCGGCGTAGCGTTACGTTTGCGATTTACTAGTACCACTTAGCAGCTACGACGTAAGCAATCAAACCACCTATCTGTCTTCCCACCTGAAAACAGTTCAGCAAGGAGAATTGACTGGAGTTTACGAAAAATACAATTTCCCATATTAGTTTCTAGTTCGAACTAAACATACTCTTAATTCTATTATGAAAGTTACAGTATTTTTTTTTTCCTTCACGTTCCCAGTGGAACATAGGGCTTCAAGCTAGTGGCTTGAAGTTTCTGTAGCAGTGGTGATTATTAATACAGGATAAGGTTGCTAGCCTCCTGCCGAACCTTTCTTCTTTACCAGCATTATTTCTGGCTTAGCGAGGTAAAGGATTGCGTCGGCCGGGGATCGAACCCCGGACCATGTGCATGGTCGGCGAGCGTCCTAACCGCTGTGCCACCGACAGCTGTACCTACGAAACTGTATTTATCCTCTCAAGATGATAGCACGAAACGTATATTTTATTAAAATTATACTATTGTAAGTTGTTGAGGAGTCGCTGGGTTCCTGACTGTACCAATACAGGGGATTTTGTGGTAGTACGTCACTGCACTATTTCACAACAGCACGGATTCCTTGAACATACATGAATTTGACAAGGAAATGAATAAATATAGATAGCATAGGAAACGTTCGAGTAAATACTTTGCGCCAGTTGACATTGAAGTAAATCTATATTGAGTATGTACACCGGTCAAAGCAGTACTACAGAAAAATAAGCTTCCCGTTTCAACTTCAGTACTAAAGTTAAAAACCAAACAGCTTCACTATCATGTAAAATTTCCCCTATGCCACCTATTAAGATGTGGAGACACTAGTGGAAAAATAATAAGTGCTAGTAATTGAGTCCAAATATTTCACTGTATTTTCAATCACTATAAAAGTTAACCATATAAAGTGTACTGACAGGATATTGAAGGAATGAACTCCTATTACCTCCAAAACCCAACTATTAGACAGAAATGCATCAAATTGACAATGCACATAGTGATAACTGTGCAAAACATCCTCCTAAGTAACAACACACGGATATTCAAGAAAGCATAACTGATTTTCGCATTTAATGTAAGCCTATATTTCTTATAACTGACGTGTTGAAACTAGTCGAACAGTATAAATCATGCGCAAGGGAATGTATCGACACCTTATCAACTAGCCACATGTTAAGTATCTTTTGATGAACACTTGATTTCTTCTGAAATATCTGAACAACACTATAACTTTGTACTATGAAGTACTACAGAAGTCGATAGATTACAAATTTACCGACACTAGGACCTGAACTGATATGGCGAACCATTACATAACTATTTTGCCTAACTCGGCGCAAGGCGACAACGGGTTCACAATACCTAGGTCAAGCAGATAGGGACGTTACAACTTGCATGTATTGTTACGACTAGTATTCCACTATACTCGTCGACTAGTGTTATGTACTCATATGATCCCAGATTTCTCGCATTTTACCGAAACTTTAAATATGATTAATTGAAAACCGATTGCTGGACATTCGTAGTATACGTTCAAACCACCTTACTGTAAGGAGCCTCCTGACAATGTTAGCTGGCGTATCCCTCCAATCTTTTACTTTACACTTAACACCGGTCAGGGACGAAATAAGCTTAATCTTTACCTCTTCTCTTAGTTAATAACCATTCATGCACAAAATAACCAAAGTATTTGCATAAAGCAGCAGAAAGTACTAACTGCTACCGCGACTAAGAATCGAAGATAAGAAATACGACAAACTGAGTTATTCACAGGGCCAGCACCTAGAACTCTACTAATAGTAGCAACCAATATGTGAATTTTTAAGAGTTTCTAGGACACTACGTATACATTCCCAATCCTTTATCTAATACTTTAGAGGTGACATAACTTGGATCATTATAGACCCACCAGAACCTGTTAATACAAATACTTGAGTAACCCAGCGGAGATATCACTGAAAGCACTATATTCTCGTTTTAAAGCAAGACACATGAACAACAGGTAGAACATTACGACGACAAATGCACATAACGAACGATAGCACTTTAGTGGCACTGAGTATGGTAGAATTTGGCCCGAATTGTTCAGATAAACGCTAATGTATTCAATCGCTATGATTTTCGGAATTCTGAATGTTATTAGTATACCTTGGTCTGCTCTTTACGTTCTCCTTAACACGTAATACTGGAAGCAACTAATTTATGCCTATCATTATATGACTATTTCTATTACCCTGCACTTTCAGTTGCAAAGTATGACGACATGTACCGATGCACATTGGTACAAGATCCTGCGTTCATTTTTCAATCAGTCACAGCACTGAAATGTCCAGATGTGGATACTCTGGAGGAATTATCACCTCATGACTGCGGAAACCAAGTGAGGTTACTCGGAAAGGTAATAGTTTGACAGGAACATTATGATCTATTCCAATGTGAATATAGGACCCACCCACTATAAAGCATTTCCAAGCTGATCTGATATCTCACTAAATTAATAGTGCATGGTTTACGTATTTCGTGTAGTGTTGTCAAGCAAACAATGCGACTGCTGTTGTAAACCTTAGTACAGAGATTAACTCGTAAACGGACTCTAAAAATGGTCAAGCAGAAATGCTGCTGCAAACCATACCAGTCAAACTACCACAACGTACCTTTAGACTAGGCTAAACTTTGCTTTGCAGATAGTGATAAACAAATCTCACTAAGTAGAATCTCGAAAGTAAATTAAGATCATATTTATTTCCTTCGTTAACAATTTCACAGTAATTAACCTTTATCTCAAACGAAAAACAATAAACTGCTAAACCGGAAAAGAACCTTCTGACAATTAATTAGCAAAGTCCCAGCATCACGTGAGTATGTAATGGTAAAACACGATGGTACGGTAATGCAGCTTAGCAACTACACTGTCAACGTTCAAGTACTAAAAATTGCTGATTGACAAAACGTAAGCATCCGACGGACACAAACCTTGACATGACCTACAAATCTGGTGGCAAACAAGCTCGACTGCATGATGAGCAAGAACATAGTGAAGTCACATAGTAGGCGGAAGTAAGACACTATCTTCGCCGAACTTCCAACCAATGCAACGAATTGATCTTGACTCTAATTTTAAGCAGATCAACATATTTAAAGTGATGGAAATGAATTTATTGATGATTTGAAATGTTACAGATGCGATTTATAATTTTACTTCGATCCGCTATACTTGGTAACCGCCTTTGTACCTTCAGAAACTGCGTGCTTCGCCAGTTCTCCAGGTAGAAGTAAACGGACGGCAGTTTGCACCTCACGGCTTGTAATGGTAGACTTCTTGTTATAATGAGCTAAACGACTGGCTTCAGCAGCTATTCTCTCAAAAATATCGTTAACAAATGAATTCATTATTGACATTGCCTTAGATGAAATCCCGGTATCAGGGTGAACTTGTCGTAGCACTTTATAAATGTATATGGCATAGCTTTCCTTCCTCCTCCTTTTTTTCTTCTTCTCAGACTTTGGCGTCTTAACTTTCGATGACTTTTTGGCGGCTTTACCAGAAACAACTTTGGGAGGCATAGCTACAAGAGAAAGCGACGACAAAAATGTCACCCAGATGGTGTAATCAACTTGATGCACATAAACAAGGGAATTTCGAATCTGGGATTCCTTGTGTTAAAGTAATTTTTTATGGCTATGACACGACTAAAATGACTGATAGAGTGATTTTTTAGGCAGGATATTGACATTCTATATTCACGATCAATTCCTTTGTGCTTCAGGAAATATTAGATTTCGGATTCAGATTTCAAACATTTTGGTTGAAGATAGGAGGCTTGGAGCATATATTAATCCTTTACTAGTAAATTTATGTGATTATCTAAACTCTTCTTGGATGAATCAGTTGACGTTGCAGACACCACTTAAACTGGGAGTCGGTTCCAGGAGTTTATGACTCGGTGTGAGAACCAGTACTCAACAGTAATATGACTTTTTCTTGGCTTTTGAACCCTCCTGTTATGTCCCCTAAGGTGTTCCGACTTGGTGGGAAGGAAAAGAGAGAATAGATCAGTTCCGTAGTCATTATTTAAAATTTTAAACGTTGTGATTAAATCTCATCTCTGCCTACGGTATGACAGGGAGAAGATATTTAAACTGTCTAGTCTTTCCTCGCATGATAAGTTAGTCATGCCGAGAAACATACGTGTTGCCTTCCTTTGGGCACTTTATAGAATATATGAGTCCCTTTGAAGACAAGGACTGGCTGCTGGATATTTTTCTAGTCTTGACCTCACTAGAGATGGTGATTCTAGTAGAGGCTCTGCGAATTACCTATAAGGACCTGAAACTACGTGCAGCCACCGCGCGACAGCGTGCTGTAGCTTTCAAGATGCGACTTACTATGACACGTAAGTCCATATGAGTCTCAACTGATGAAAGTTTTATCCCCTCTAGTTCGTAGGAGCTGATTCTTGCGTGTCCAATACGCATGGTTGCACACTTCGCTACGTTAACTGGGAACATACATTCTTTGGGCTGATCCAATATTTTGTTGAGGTCTCCTTGCAACGTGAGCGTATCACTGTCACAATTCAGCTCTCTCCGAGATTTTAAGTCATCTGTGTGTAGGACCACTGGGGAATTGGTGAGCAGAGATAACTCGCTGATATACAAGATAAATAGGAGAGGTCCAACCACCGTGCCTTATGGCACTCCGCTACGCATTGCTGTCCAGGGGGAGAGTTTCAAGTTGATCCTAACCTTGTGCCTCCTGTATAGAAGGCAGTTTAGAAACCTGCTTTTGATACCAAGACTTTCCAACTTCATGAGTAGTCTTTTGTGGGGTACTTTGTCAAAGGCTTTGCTGAAGTCTATGGAGACGACGTTAACGGGTCTTCTGTTGTCCCTGGTTTTGACCCAGCTTTCTCTTGCAGTGAGGAGATTTCACAGGTATGAGAGGTTTCCCCGGAATTCATGCTGTGCTCTGGATGAAAAGTTGTTTTCCAGATATGCCATGATACTTTTCTTGATGATTCTTTCCTGTGTCTCGATGAAAGTGCTGGTGGGACTAATAGGCCTGTAATTTGAAAGGCTTTGTCTTCCTCCTTTGTGTATTGGGATTACTGTAGCGTCTTCCTAGTCACATGGTAACACTCTATTTAGGAGAGATAGCTTGAAGATCGTGATCAATGGGCCGGATATATGAGCTGATTGCTCCTTGAGAAGCCTTGGATGAAGGTTATCAGGACCTATTGATTTCCCTCATCTAGTTTCACTAGGCTAGTTGGCCGACGTCAACGGGATTTATCCCGTGTTCCTCTGATACATCCAGAGCTGATCCTATGCTGATCAACGACTGCTGTATAAGGACTTAGGAGAAGTAGTCTACCACTGCTTCTGCTTTTTCCTTATCTCCTTTCATTTGTGTCATCGACAATAATCAGGTTTGGGACACCATTGGATGTTTTATTCCCGAAGTTCATGTACGAGAAAATTTTCTCAGGTTGTGCCTTTGCATTTTGAGCCAGATGTGCTTCGAACTTCATCCTTGATTGGTGGATTTCTGCAATAGCTTCTTTCCTAGCGGTGCTGTATAATTTTCTGGCGTCAGGAGTCTCAAATGTGACAAACCGGTTCTATCATTTGTGTTTGCGTCTGAGTAACTTACGAATCTCTCGGTTTATCCAAGGGGGCAATTTTTCCAACCATATGGGACAGACCAAGAGATGAAAGGTTCATTTTAAATTGGTTCCATACAGCTTCTACTTGGGGCTCTAGGTTGATGTACCAGTTCACTGAGTTGGCTGCTGAGACGATCACATTAATATCGGCTTTCAAAACGTTTGTTCGATCTGGGGTTTTTGCCCATGATGCTGCTGTGAATTTGAAAGTGAGCACAACGTAATCACTTCTCCCTAAAGGATGTAGATGTTGCATGAGATCCACATGCTCACCATGGGAGAAAACAAGGTCCAGAGTTGAAGAGGAGTGCTGTGAATCATAGAAAGAGGGCTTCATGACATGTCGGACTAGGGCCAGTGAAATGCTAGATTCCAGCAGTTTATGGTCGAAGGGGTTGCCTGAAGATGGTGTTATAAGGCTTGTCCAGTCAGCTGTTGGGGAGCTGAAGTCGCCGACAAAGAGACTTCGAAATTTCGATGTCCAGGAGCCTAGCTTATCCATTAGGAAGTCATAATTACATTCGGATTTTCGGAGTCTGTCATGTCACCCAGCTCAGTCCTTTGTCGAATGGACTGTGCGCGTTTGTATGGCAAACTGTCAATTCACTATGGTGCTTCCACGGTCTACTCACATATGTTTCGGGATCATCAAACTTCAAACTTTGACGACTCGAAAAGCCTCAATCTTAAGGTTTTTTGCCTCTTCGGCACCGTTCACTTAATTCTAGGGCCGCAGAATATCTTTTGACACGGTCGGCACGGACATATCTGCCTGATCCCTTAAGAGTGTCAGTTGCTTAGAATGGCATTCCTCTCTTCTTTGGAGTTTAGTGCGACTTTGAGGAGGTGTACAGGCCGATTTACTGTAGAGTCAGGCTTTTGGTCGATTCTATATAAGCTGTGTATGGTTATGCCTGATACTGTTTTGGGCAGTAGCTTATCTAAAAGGGGCTTGACAAAGTTAAGGTCATGCCCGAACCTGACCCTGGGATCGGAGGTCAGTGATTCTTCCACCTTGTGGAGAATGAGCGACCTGTTAGGGAGATCAGGTTTGTTTGCCGTGGCTTTCTTGCTCTGGGCCGAAAAATCTTTCCGTCCTTCATGGACAGTATGGCTAATACGTTGTCCTTATCTCGCTTTCTGCAAGAGACTACATTACTTCATTCACTGGTATTCTTCTCGATAATCGTAGTCGATTTTATCTACCTGCTATCCGCCGGTGTGGAGAAGGATTGATCTACAAATCCCTGGGTGACTTGAGTTGCAGGTTTTCGACCCCTGGTACGCCTCTTCTTCTTACTGTCACTGGAGAGCTCATCCGGTATCGTAGGGGCGTCATGCGAGTCTGGAATATGTTGGGTGCTTTTCTGTGCTGAAGAGCACTCACTCCCTGACAGAGACGCCTCAGGAACGTGTACTGTCTTGTCGATGATGCCATTCATGTCATCGGTGTCTGAGTAGTAGTCGTTCTTCTCCTGTGGTGTAACACCCTTCCAATTCAGGAGCTTTAGAGCACACTGAGAATGGCAATGGCTCCCGTTTTACGAGAATTAGTCGTACTGCAGCAGTCATTGCACAGTCAGTTCGCCAGAGGTTTGCAGCAGCGCTCGTACGCTGCAGGAGTTTAGTTTGTGCGCATGCTATGAAACCATCATTTGCAGTTATCACACTGCATTCCTTTTTCAACTGGAAATTGGCACATAACTCTTCGACAGCGGTTCCTTTTGACAGGCACGCTTTTCAGAGTGAATTAGGACAAAAAGATTCAAATATAACTTCGTGTATATGACTTTTATAAATCAGTGATAAAGAAACCAATGAGTGTACAAAAATGGATTTATATATATAACTATTAAATTAAAGGAACACAACTTCCTGTAATTAAATAGACTCAGAACTGAAACGCAAACTAACTTCTATCAGAATAAACTGACTTATTCTATAAAATTTTGGAGCGTATGACACAACAAAAACCAAAATCCGACAACAGCGTGCAAAGTTCACTCCCATTTTTTATCAAGGAAACCAAATTTCATATTTAACGTTATAATGCACTAGTCTCGGTGATAAGTAATGTTCCCCTGTGGAACGATTAATAAATGTTTGAGTTAGACCACATACGAATAATCTGTCTTCTCTCAAATATAGTAATCATCGCTTGCTTCCCTTGTCATAACATTTTTAATGCTGTTTAGAAACTGATAACTTCAATTGTATGCTAATCAAAGTTTGTTGGGAAAACATCCAGTCTTCCGATGAATGTGAATAATATGCATAATTTCCTTACTTTTCATCATTATCAATTTTGAGATTGTGAGTTGGGTTTGATAGACCCAGACCACGAGAGCTGTTAAGGATTCCAACTGGGGAACCTTTAACCTGCTCTCAGCATACCAAACAAACCTGCCAAATTTTGTGCTGTTTTCCATCTTATATATAGCGACGCTGCATTAGCTTCTGTTGTTTAGGACGTTGAACGTTTGGAGTTATATGGAGGAATTGACTTCAAGCTTTATTTTTTCCCCAAATATTTGTATTCCATTCAACACACACTTATTTCTTTTCGTAAATGCGAAGACAATATTTCTATACTTCTTAATGTGCTCCATTGAATGGCTAGTTAGCAGATTGTACTCACAAACTAAAATCAAAAAGGACAGCAACCATGCATTTTCACCATAAACCCAATTTATATAATTTCAATAATATTCATCCATGCCTGTAAAACTGGTGTGTCCTACATAGATAAGAATTAATGTGTTATTAATATGAGTAGCAGCACATTATTTGGTGTCAGGCAACCTACACCTTTCCCATCATTTACGAGCTTTGCTAGTGGTCCAGTGTTTAAAATCCCTTTAGACTCTACCAGGAGAGATTTTAGTGTTTCACCCACCATATCTCTCTGAAACTGCAATGTCTGCAAGGTGCTTCTGATAGATCTACTGACACGTTCACATACTTCTCCTAGACAGCTAGGTCTTGGAAGATTGAGGTGCTATTCACGTCCCATCTCGAGAATACTAGTGCAATAGTTTTCTTCGAACTAGCAACA